TTATCATTGATAATTATCAAGATAAATATGGGATGATAATTTTTTGATAAATATAATTGATAATTCTTTGATAAATATAATTGAAAATATTTAATTTGTAAATCTTCAAATTGTCGATCAGCTAACTGAACTTTCTCAATTAGCTCAAAAAACTCAATCAGAAAACTGATCTACTGCAGTTGAAGAGGATGAGGATGATATTCCACTCCTTAAGGAGTCTGCCCACTATACCGTCTCATACCATGACCGTGCTATGAACGTATCAGGCACGGAAACAAGCGACACGGGACTGCTATGCCCACTAGAACGTATCATTCGCGTATCAACCGCGTATCATCCGCGTGTCCGTTTATCCGTTTATCCGTTATATCCGTTTGGTCCCGTCGTAGTAGTTCCCCTGTGTTTTCGCATGAGGCAGCCGCGTCAGGAAAAGCGAGTGAGTATTTCTCATACGAAAATTATTTTCTATATCTGTATAATGGTTATTAGAAACTTGTCCAACAGAAAATTAACAATGATAGCCATTGGTTTAGACGAGGAAGAAAGAAAATAACATTAGTCGATCACGACGTTACTATGTTCGCGCCGTTTAAAAAAATATAATTTAAAAGGAAATATCACTAGAAGACAAGCGAAAACACGTTTATAACGGGCTTAAAACGGTCATCATACGCAGTTATAACGCGTGTGCTCACCGTTTCGCCATCTGCGCGCACCGGTTCGGCTACGTCGCATGCCAGGCACGGAGCGTATCGGCAACGGCAAAATATTCTTGCCGAAAATTATTGCTAACTTTCCATGCAAGGCACGCGACGGTGTTGGTTGGTGACGGAAAGGTCTTGGTCGGTGATGGAACTGTCTAGAGGGCATAGTCTCATACTTTTCAATACAAAGAAAATATTTTTGTCTGACACGGTCCTGTTATGGTCCTAGCACGGTCATGGTATGAGACGGTATAGTAGGCAGAGACCTTTAATTTAATTAGTCTATACAGTTGGTTAAATTTATTCTGTTTTTATTTCATAGTTTGTATATGTCAAAATAATGAAAAAATAATAATAATAAAACATTACCTTGATTGTTAAAAGTGTATAATTTATTCTAACGTAAATTATGATAGGCAAGTAGTCAAATACCAATACCTACACAAGGATTGCAAAGTTTATATCTGTTTTATAATTATTGGATAATTATCTGATAATTATCTTGATAATTATCGCGATAATTATCAAAAGATATATTTATCTTGATAATTTCATACCCTGGGTAGTACCCAGCCATCTTCCCTATTGAAGTTTGGGTGTTTTTTGAATTTCAATAGCTTACCTATATCGTCAAATGAAGTATTTCAGCAACTGACAACATGCGTAAAAAAAAGGAATAATATTGAGGAAGTATACAAATGTCAAAAAAAATTCGTTCGATGGAACGTTTTTTTTCTTGGTGCGTGCACGGGGCCCCTAGTCGATGCAGGGCCCCTAGGCAGTTGCCTAATCCGCATTATGGATAATCTGGCCCTGGGCATCAGGCCATAGTCCACCACGCGGGCCGAGTGCGGGTTGGCAAAATTCAGATGTCTTTCGAAAACTTGCTAGGTTCGCTCAGACATGCAGGTTTCCTCACTATGTTTTCCTTCACCGTAAGGCAAGTGGTAATCATGTTGGAAATATTCGCACATGAAAATATCAGTGGTGCGAGATCCGGGATTTGAACCCGCTTCACTCGGTTTCCCAAGCGAGCGTGATAGCATTGGGCTACCACTCCCTACATTCAATTTTATTATTTCAGTTTTAATATAAGATTTTTTGGTACAGGTTACAAAAAACCTAAATTTATCTATCATGTAGAAATGCTTGCAAATAAAACATTTAAGACCAGCTGTATGGCAAATTTAATGTCATAAAGTAGTCAAAAACATGATCTACAATTTAAATAATTTTAGACAAATTTTAGAATTTCTTAGTAAAATTTTAAAACATGTTATTACTTACTAGTCAAATGTTAAATAACTTCAATAAGCACACGTCAGAAAGTACAATATAATAAGTTAGTTTATAAAGGTTGGTTTGTAAAGCTCGACAACAAAAGCAAGTGTGGATATAATAATAAAAAATATTTTAGGTTTGTAAGGGTTAATTGAATTATATAAAGGCTCGTCACAAATCGTTGATCAACGGTCTTTATGACAATAGCATTAGAAATAACACATGTGTTAGAATGTATTCTAGTTAAACAAAGGGATAGAGTTTTTGACAGTCAATACGAGAATATATATTCTCTCCGCGGTAAAAAGTATTCTTTATGTTGACCCGGATAACCAGCTGTCAACATACCAAATATCATCAAAATCCCTCCAGTGGTTTTTCTGTGATGCTGTAACAGACAGACAGACAGACAAAATTCTAAAAACTATAGATTCGGCCTCTGTATCGATAATAATGTTTATTTCAATAAGATTTTCCAAAAAATATCTAATGTACAGATTCATTCGACGTAGTTAGAATTTTATTATATTTATTATTATATTGTATAGATTCCAATGTCAAATTTCACTTTGTCTTTATTTCTAGAAGGAGTTAAACACTAAATAATATAACGAGCCCCCGCTTTATTAGTAAGAGGTAAAATTTTCTTAATGGCTTTTTTCGAAACTATCGAAAGAAACCATTTACTTTACTATGCATTCAATTAAATCCTCTGTTAATGCTACATTGAAAGCTGTTGAAAGTATACCTAGTTGATCCACTGACAATAAATTAAGTAGGTAATATTCGATTTACTGTAAGTTTCGACCATGAACGAATTGTGGTTAATTCGTTCATGGTTTCGACAATAGTCACTCACGAAATAGGTATAATAAGTCCGGGACTTTTGTTTGAAATTTAAAGTTATTATACTTGACTTGCATAATAAGATGGATGAAAACAAAAAAAATGTAGAGTTGACTCGATGTGATAATAATCAATTTTATGGATACTAGGGACAATAAAACTTTTCATTTTCAATTTACCAGTGCACTGTGCTTTAATTCTAACCTCACTTAGTTTTGCTGTTGCACTGAAACTGCTAGAAACCTGTTTCATTGCGTTTATGTTTATGCTTTGTTTTAAATATTTTAAATAGAATCAATGTACATACAATGTGATCATATTCATATGATTATCTTTACCGAAAGACATCCAGGACGTAAGGTTTCCTCAAAGTAAGTGTGAACCGGTCTTACGCCATCTGCTTCCAGCAGATTCCTGCAACCTTGAACACGTCGTTGACGACTACTCATATTTGGCTGTTCCAGAATCGGCCCCGTCAACTATCCGGAACATAATGTTCTAAGTTCTAACCCAAAATCTTCACTAATATATGAAGTAGTGCAATAGTGATATGAACTCTTTCAATTTTCTGAAATAAAATGTTCATATATTTTTAAGGTATATTTTCATCTATACAATAAAGCATTAAAATTTAAAATGTTTCTCCAGATTCCAACCATACATCAGCCGTAACTGACGATACCTAAACAACCTTCCTCCTATTTCCTTGGATAACATAACTAAAGAGTCTAATAATAGATGGCATTGGGCGTCAGGGTTTCTTTGAGCATTTATCCTACTTTCGTACAGGAAAAGAATAATAGTATAGAATAATGAACGCACACGAGACACTCTTGTAATAAGATGGAAAAAGTTTTACAAAAAAAAATCAAGTCAAGATTTTCACCCGCATTATGTATTTCGGCATATAATCGTATTTGCATTAAAAGTTAGGAATCAATATTTTTACAGTTTAAAATAGAGATATTACACTGAGGGGCACGACAGTATGTGGAATAAAAATATATTTATATGTATTATATTTCAATTATCTACAAAAATCCTTTTATGGAATTGGGTCCTAAGATTTTATCTACTTTTATAAACCAAATCATTAAACGTTTAGTTTGCGGTGGTTAAATTTCTCTAGAGGCCGTTTTCAAAAATAACAACATCAGTTTACATAACATAAACTCACACCTCCAGGTAAATTTCTAAGAAATCTATTGTTAACTGTAACGCCGGCATGTCCGTGGTCGTGGAGGGATTAAAAAGTGTCCGTGAAAATGTGTCCAATAAAGGTGGCGCTGCGTTAGCGTAGGATAAATTTTAAAGGAAACTCCAAAAATAATTAGAGTAAGATAGAGAAATAAACATGGATGGTTATGTTTACTAAGTAGACTACGTAAATAATTGAGGTTTTGTACCGGTATTTCATTGATTTTAGTCATCAAAACTTTTGAACAAAGTTTTAAATCAAATCGACCCCAAGGGGTCGATATCGACCCCAAGGGGTCGATATCGACCATTTTGGGAATCCCTCATTTAGACTGTAGACCTAATGCAGTAACAATTATAACACAACAAACAAATAAACTTAGCAGTCGAATTTAGTTCTGCGAAAAGCCGATAGAAGGACTGCTCACCGTCAATATTTTTTTTTTCTTTATGCCTTAGAGCTGCGATAACAGATGCAATTAATTCTGCCAGTGTCACGTTTTGTGAGGAAGACACGAGATGTTCAAAATTCAGCCAACAATATGTCAGTGTCACTATGTTTCTTAATATAATTTTGGTAGAGTGTATTGTTCTATAATATGTGTAACAGCCATGATTGGTACTTTTATTTGTCATTCATGATTGGTACTACAAAAGGGTTACATACTCTATGGGTATTTATAGGTTTAGGATTGGTCCGATGATCACTCTTTCGTTTGACAGTTGACTGAAGAAAAGTCAAAACGTATAAGAAAATAGAGACTAGAGACTGAACATTTGTCATCCATCGTCCATGGACTGAACTGAAGTCTGAATAGAAAGCAGCTTTCAAATTTCCAATAATATATTATCTCCATTATTCAATATTCAATCCTTAGTCTGCTGTCTGTGACCTGTGTTCTAAATATGAAAAGTGCCTATTAACTGCTGGAAATAGAAAACACCTGTTCATGAAAAAAATACCTATATATAATGCAATTTAAAACAGTCACACATGTTTTATTTGACTTGGACGGCCTTCTAATTGGTATATTTCAATTGCATTTTGCTAATTATTAATTGAAAAATTATGCTTTTCTAAATTATTAGTGTTAAATCTTTTCAGATTCGGAAAAGCTATATTCTGAAGTTTTTGAGAAAGTATGTGCAAAATATGATAAAACATTTACATGGGAAATAAAATCAACATTGTTGGGTTTCCAAGGACACGAGTGTGCTGAAAAAATCATTAATGCGTTAAGTCTTCCTATAACTATAGAAGAATTTATGAAACAATCTCAGAAAGTAAATGAAGAAGTATTTACTAATGTTCAGTTGATGCCAGGTAAGGTATTCATAAATTTTAAATTGCTTATCAAATCATTTTTTTGAAGTGAAACTTCTTTAAAATCATTGTGATTTGAAACTCAATGAAACGGAAATGGAACATTAGAATGAGGCAAACACATAAATATATAGGAATAAGCCAGTGAGAGATTGAGATACAATACATTAAACAGGAAGTGAAAAATAATAAAAATAATATCTAATGTAATACATGTTAAATAAAATGCAAAATAACTTTTAAACTTGGTAAAAATATTATTAAAAAAAACCTTACAAATGTCCTACTCCTGATACTCTCATTCTCTTGCAGGTTATTATTCTGAATTTTCACTTCTATCTTGCGTAAATGCGAAAAGTGTGTGTGCAACACACACACTTTTTTATATATTTTATCAGGAGTAAAATATTATGAATGACTAAACTTAATAATTGCTTGTTTAACTATTGTAGGAGCAAAAAAGTTAGTTGAACATCTGCATAAGAAGGGTGTTCCAATAGCATTAGCCACTAGTTCAAGTCAAGAAAGTGTCCACCTAAAAATGAAAGACCATAAAGATTTTTTGAATAATTTTCATCACCTAATTATGGGCACTACAGACCCTGATGTAACTAAGGGAAAACCAGATCCTGCTATATTCTTGGTTTGTGCATCGCGATTTCCAGATAAGCCCAAGCCTGAAAATGTAAGCTGTATCTATACATCTATACAGATAAATAAAATTGAAGTGTCTGTTTATAATGTCAAAATAAGTGTTTTGCTAAATGCATATGAAATTATATACGGTACTTTAAGAAAAACACATTTTTTGTCTGTCTGTCTGTTTGTTCTGGATAATCTCTGAAACAACTGGACTGATTTTGACGGGACTTTTACTGGGCGATAGCTAATATTAATATTATAGGGAGTAACATAGGCTACTTTTATTTTGGAAAATGAATTAGGGTTCTACTCAAAAAAATTAAAACGTACTAGGGGCACTCATGGCTAGTGCCCAGGGCGGCAAGTTTTAAGGGGCGGCAAAAAAAATGATTAATTAAAAAAAAATCTGTATATTTTTCTAAAAATGAAAATCATTTATAAATGATGTGTTTGCATTTTTTTTAAAAATCAATAATTAAAAAAAATTAACTTTATTATAGTTTACCCATTTTATGCAAAATTTCGATAAAAGGGCGGCATTTTTTACTATGCCCAGGGGCGGCGCTAAGGTTAAATATGGCCCTGTACTTAGGGACAAACCCGAACGAAGTGAGGGTGAATCGCTAGTATTAAATATAAATATATGGATAAGGAACAATTACATTAAAGAATTTTATTTTGTCATAATTAAACTTTTAAATTATGAAATTTGTTTAAATGGTTTTACAGTTTAAAAATGTAATTTTCATATCAACAATGTTTGTTTTAAAGTGTCATTTTCATATCAACAATGTTATTTTTAGTGCTTGGTTTTTGAAGATGCCGTTAATGGAGTAAAGGCAGCTTGTGCAGCTAACATGCAAGTTGTTGCAGTACCTGATCCTCGTGTTTGTAGAGATGAACTGAAGAATGCTACATTAGTACTTAATTCTCTGGAAGAGTTTGAACCTGATCTCTTTGGTTTGCCAAGTTATGATTAAAATAAAAAAAATCTGCTGAAATTTAGTTAATTGTTGAAAATCAATTCAAGTTAATTATTTTATTGTTTACATATTTTTTTTATTATACTTGAAAAGTATATTTGTATAATGGTGTTAGTGTTTTTTGACAATACACATAGTTTTCTTATTTTTAATCATAAGAATATTTAAAAAATAAGATACTTAAATACAGTACTTAAAGTTTAAGAATTACCTCAATATATTTTATTTTGTTATGTATACCTCCTTAGTTTCCTCAATGCACTTATAAATAAATGTTTGTGTAGTGTTATAATAAAACATTTATTTTTGTTTTCTGTAAGGTTGTTTTATTTACTACAGTATTGTAGTGAAATATGTTATATTACATTGGTGAATTTTACAAGTAATATGACTACAAACAACGAATACTCAGCCCAAGCTAAGGCTTCGGGCTAAGTAGTTGTTGGCTAGAAATGAAAACATGAGATTTCATCAATAAGAAAAAAACATTAGTGAATATAATGAAATAAATGTCAATAGATAGAGTTATGCTAGTATAATCATTTATGCAAAACAAAAGTAAATCTATCCCGCGGGAACCGTACATTTTCCGGACTATAATCCATCTCTGTGCCAAATTTCATCCAGATCCGTTCAGACGGTCAGACGTGATTGAGTAACAAACATCGATCCAAACTTCGCATTTATAATATTAATGGAATTTCAGAGTACAAAAATTCGGACAAGTGCGAATCGGACTCGCCCACCGAGGGTTCCGTACAAATTTGTAGGAAATCTGTTTAATTTTCAACATTATTTTTTTGGAATTTTTCCTTTATTTTTGCTGTAAGACCTTGGTTTTTGCCAAATTTCGTGAGTAGGTCGACGGGAACTACTTACTATATAGGTTTTCGACCCAAAACAAGGTCAAAAGCAAGGTAAGTAAAGGGAAAATTCTGAAAAATAAATTAAAGAGTGCGTGTATGAATGTGTACACGCGCAAGAGGTAAAGCTTCTGTAGGTTATCGGTACTCTTTATGAAATTCAATTTATGTTTTAAATAATTAGGATAGGTGAGATACTAAAAATAATGCGTATTAGGCATATTACAATCATATATTTATAGAATATCATTTAAGAAAAGAACATAACGTTAAATGTTGGTAATTACAAGTTTTCGCGAAAATCTAAATTTGTCCATATCTTTTTTTCGTGTTGACTCATTATCTGGTATAAATTTCAACTTGCTAGCTCCACCCGTTCCTGAGAAAATCGGTGGTGACACACGGACAGACAGACGGGCAAGAGAGTAATCTTAGAGTTCCATTTTTAACCTTTTGAGATACGGAACAACCCTAAAAATGGTCTTTTCTTGGGCGATACTTTTTTATAAAAATTATAATATATATTTACATAATATTATTATACTAGCAACTCACCCTCACTTCGCTCGGATTCGTCCCTGGCTTGCTTCCCAATGCAAACTTTCATCCCCATTTTCACCCCCCTTAAGGGATGATTTCCGGGATAAACAAGTACCCTATGTCCTTCCCAGGGTCTCAAACTACCTTCTTACCAAATGTCATCTAAATCGGTACAATAGATCCAGAGATTGCCCCCTATACAACGACGTCAGAAAATCACAAATTTTACCTCTTTATATTATTAGTATAGATTATATTTTTTATAAAGAAGAATCTCCTAAGAAAAGGAAAATAAAACAATGGATTCTTAAAAACGAAATTTGTGTTCCAATGAGGAACAATAATTTTTGTATTGAAAATAAAATATCAACCACCAGCTTTTTTGCGATATTAACAAGTGTTCTGTCATTATCAAGTATCTGAAAAAAGTCGAAAATAACTTATGAAAAACTAAAGACATTGAAACCTCATACACTTTATTATAAAAAAAATATTACATTGATTCATTAAGTAGGAACTCAATAATGACTTTGACACTTTCCATCATTCTATTGCACCCTAATGTTGTAAATGTAGTATAATAAAATATAATTAAATTAAGATCAATACGATTACTCATCGTACGGCGGTAAGCCGAACATTTCCGGTCGAAAATCTTCCATACTGTTTAAAATTAACGTTGCTTCAGGAACAAGACTTCGGTCGAGACGACGGTCCGGAACCAACACTACTTGCATACCAGCGGCCACTGCAGCTTTTACACCATTAATAGAATCTTCGAAAACTAAACACTGCAAATAATAATTATAAATTTAAAAACCCCCTACGCTCATTAATTGTCCTTTAACAATTACACTGGCACGCGTGAAGCTCTTAATCAAGTAATCATACGCCAAAATTCCTTACATAATTTTTTAAAAGAGCTGATACTCTTACACTGCTGGACCGATATTAACCAAACATAGCTAAGAACCACCGTAAGGAAACTGCCTTTCAAATGAAAAAAACAGTTGTAGAGTTAGAAGTTTGAGAGCTACGATGCCACAGACACACATCGACGTCAAACTTATAACACCCCTCTTTTTGCGTCGGGGGTTAAAAAACAAAATATATAATATATGAATATATGTACTATTCTCTGTTATAGTACACAAGAAATGTTTTTGGTATGATATAACTCGCGTGTTCGTTTTTATTTATACCCTTAAATATTTATTTTTAATAGAGAGCTAAAGAAGAGACACAATATTCGTACTACGGATGTTTATCAGGTGGGTTTGATCATACTTAGTTTTAGGTACCTTATCTGGAGATGGCTTGTCAGGGAATTTCTTACAAGCTGCAAAAAATACATCTGGATAAGGTTTTCCTCTTTTTACATCTGGGTCAGAAGAACCCCAAGTTTTGTATTGCAATAAATTAAAAAGTTCTTGATGACGTGATGTTTTCAAATCGTAAGTTTCTTTACTACTGCTAGTTGCCAAACCTATTGGAACCTTATGCTTGGATAAATGAGATAATAGTTTTTCAACACCTGTAGCAAAATAAAAATATTTCGTTATATACTTATACGGCCACCATAACTTATTTGGATGGAAGTTTCAGATTCGATTCTTCCCACTTGAAGCGAAAAATGACAGGAGATAAGAAGGAATAATAATGTAAGAAGCTAACACCGGAAGCGAAAAATATTTAAAATAAATGTTTGCCGCAAGCGGAAATATGTATAAAATGGTAAAAAAGAGATGTTATAACTTTAAGGCAAATAAAATATTCAGTACATTTCTCATATTAAATCATATTATCCATACTCTGTATCACTGAAGACTTTGTATCGCTCCTTATGCCTAAAACTTACCTGGCATTACTTTAGAGTGTAAAAATAAATCATTAAAAATTTTCCGCGTTTCCAATAGGAATTCGTCTACAGTAAGCGGCAAACCCAGCTCGCTTATAATAGAGCCGGCGAATTCTCTACTCTGCTGACCCATTATTTTACATTTTAAGTCAAAAGTAAATTCTTTGCCATATCTAGATGCGACTTCTTGAAATCCGAGTGTATATAAGTCTTCTGTGTCTGAAATATAAAATGAATATGAATAAAAAATAATGCAGTTTATAATAAAACATTTTAATGTGTTGTGTGATTTTTTTTCCTTTTAGTAACAACAACTTATAGATTAAGAAAATTGTGCCTCTATTAATAACAAACTTACTCAATATTAATCCATCCATATCAAATAAAACATGAGTAACGGGTTTGTACGACATTTTATCAACTTAAATAATTAAGTAAAAGTCTTATTTTGTTAGATAGACTATTACGTGATGCTGCCTTGAAGATTCGTACGTGTACGCACACTCTTAGCGAATTCTCAATCAAATCTATTATCTTATCAGTGGGTATGGCTTATGTAAGCTTTCCGAACAATATGTTACAAGTTATATCATATTATGGGTAATTATTAAGCAAAGTATTTTTCCTTTTAAGAAGAGCAACATTTTTTACAATTATCGAAAATTTTCGAATTATAAATAGCAAACATGCGTAGTCATAAATACATAATGTCTCATGTAATATTTTAATCACAGACAAGTTTTATCTATGCGTAAAGTACTACTAATATCAGAATATTCTAAAATGTAATGCATTTATAGTGTGACCGTTATAGTATCTCAATCATTTTGAAAATGCTAATTCTTAAATCCTGCAAGCAATGAAGATATGCAACTTTTTTCAAAAAAATTAATTGATTAACTTTAGTCTAGTTCTTTTTATACATATATGTATGGTGTTTGTTACTCTTTCACGCCAGAACGGCTGAACGGATCTGGATGAAATTTGGCACAGAGATAGATTATAGTCTGGAACAACACAAAAACTACTTTATATTCCGGAAAAATATACAATTCCCGAGAGATAGTTTTTTTTTTGTTTTATCTAGATTATACATATGTAAAGTGATAAATTTTGTGTAAGTACTCTACATAGAAAGAGAGGAACATCTCTAACTCTAATGGAAATCATCACAAAATCTTCATAGATTTTTTTATCTGTTCTATTCTAGCGCGCTCTTATTAGAATTTGTATATCAATTGCTCACAAATGAAAACTTCAATAATCTTTATTGTTCATCTATGCTTCCAAAGTGGTAGCCCAGTGGTGACGCGCTCGCTTGGGAAACCGAGTGAAGCGAGTTCAAATCCCAGGTCTCGCACCTCTGATATTTTCATGTGCGAATCATTTCCAACATGATTACCACTTGTCTTAACGGTGAAGGAAAACATCGTGAGGAAACCTGCATGTCTGAGAGAACCTAGTAAGTTTCCAAAGACATGTGAAGTCCGCCAACCCGCACTTTGCCAGCGTCGTGGACTATGGCCTGATCCCCGTCGTATTGAAGGGAGGCCCGTGCCCTGCGGTGGGACGTTAAAAAGGGCTGAATACAATACAATACAATGCTTCCAATAGATAATAAACATTAGACGGGATTGCAAAAGTGAAATTAATAGCTTTGGTGGCAAATTATATCGATATACATAGTTTAGGTCCTAAAATAGTGATCATTTTCTACAAAAATTATGCTTTAGGTTAAGAATGGCCAGTCAAATAACCTATTTTAAAAAGTTATGTATTTTAAATGGTTACAAATTTAAAAGTGTAAATATTTAAATATAATATAATATTTGCTCGTATTATAAAAATATGTTTATTAAACTTTCAGATTAATAATTTAAAATTTTATTTGTCATCACTCATCCATGATTTATAACTGATAACATTTTTGCAACTGGCAACATTACTGTTTACGTTTAAAAAAGTATACAATTCTAACATCAACATCATAGATCAACATTTTAAACGTCACTTTGTAAAAGTGGGAAAAAGTTTTTAAACTATTAAAACATAAACAGGGAATAATAACTAAGAAACTTTGATTAAGTTATCGTTTCTTAAGTTAAATATTTTGCGCAGAATTTGAGTAATGTTACACGGAAATTCTACAAAGCTTGTTGTCAGTTCAGTTTTATCATGGAAGGTCCAGGTATGAGCTTGTTTCAAGGTGCTGCAAGCATTCACATAAACAATAGTGCTCAAGATAGGCTTGAAGAACAGGAGGAGCTCGAAGACCAAAAACGTCTAAATGAAGAGGTGACTCTTATATTAACACAAACATAACCTTCTTGATTTAACATATTTGTTTACGATAATTGTATAATTTTAGCTGAAACATAATTTGGCCAATGCTTTCGACGACCTTCAAGATGATGATGAAAATAGTTCTGTTAATAGCAGTGGAAATTACACACTTGATGCAACTCGTCAGAATGGTAGTAAGTAAATATTGATTGAATATATATTGAAGATTAAATGGTTGGTTTACATCACATTTTTCGTTTAACAAAAGTAATAAAATTACATTTTGAATTTTGATTATCATTATTGTAAAAGTCTATGTTAATTATAAAAAAATATTAATTTGTTTAGTTATCCTAAATAATTAAATTCGATTGAATGATTTTATCATTTTGATTTATAGTTCAACACCCAATCAGAACCGGACTACCACCAACATATGTGGAGTCGCTTAATCATTTGAAAGAAATTCAACACACTTCTGAATCTCCAAAACCTTATTGTGAGACTCCAAAAACCCATTTGCAAAGCTTACGAACTCAAGAGGATGGTTTGAAGCTAGGATACAGTCCATATGGTGCTGGAGATGGCCAAAATCATTACTTTCATCAAGAATTCAGAGGTATAGAAGAATAGAACTTTTTCTCTTTTAAGTAATTAATAGTAAACTACTCTTATAGCTAATAAAGTAATACATCAAGGTGTCCCCATAACAAAAGTTAAAGAAAAGATTCTAACACTAAGAATCGTGTAATTACTGAAGTGACTGGTCATAATTGTTTTTAAGCTAACATAGATTAAGTATTTTGTATTACTAACTGTTAGAATAGATAAATTGTATATGTGTTTTCGTTTATGTTTTTTTTTTGTGTAATTATGGGTTTTTGCCTAAAATAAAGATTATTATTATTATAATCAATGTATGATTGCATAGAATGTGTTATATCTGAAATACTATTAAATTACATTTTTAAGATCAAATAATTAAAAAATGAAATAGTTTTAAAATTTTAATCAACTTCACAGTACACATTGAGCAACCTGTAGTACATACCAACATACATAACTATTTCATTTCATGTAATAACAAAATTGTGTAAATTACCCATACCAAATACAGATAAAGCAGTTGTTTTATTTTTTACCAGGACATATGAATGGCCTTAACAATTTTGATGCGAGACAAGAATACATGAATCATGAGCAATTGCAAGTAATGTATGAAGTAAGTTATTTTGGATTTTGTTTATAATTTTAGTAATCAAAAAAGAATTAAGAATGGGCCAGTTTAATTATGAATGATATTTTCATAAAACATTCACATAATATAGCAGTATTATGTACACTACGGTTGTAATTGATGTATGGGTATGAGTTGCAATGTAAATGAGAGTGCAAAGTACAAATCTCCTTCCTCTGCCATCTCTTTCCTACTGTGCTCTATACCTTTTTTCCATCCTGGCACTATATATATGTCTTTAGTGAAACAGCATGTATAACCAGCAGGGAGGCTGTATTTTGTTTGCCACCTTTTTAGTGTATAATTATTTTTATAAACTAAAAAGCATTGATCAAAAAAGTATTAGATACACAATCAGCGACAAAAAAAATCGCTGGTTACATATATTTTTTTTGTAAAAACAACTTTAAGGTTCAATTTCCATTGTTGTGTATTTATTTCGACTACAATAATTACCTAAACACAATTTGAAGTTTCAAATCAATATGACAATTAGAAGTAAATTTTTTATTTTCAAGATTTAATTTAAAAGTTATCTAAGTAAAACTAATAAAGGTACTGTGGTAATAAATATTGAATGTTCGATCTCACATCATTTACTCCATTAATTATAGATGAGGATAAAAGAATGTCAACAATTTGCTGCAAAAATAGAGAAACTTGACAGTGATATAGACGGTCTGCGCGCGCGCCTGACCGCCGCCGTGCATGACAAAAATAAAGCTGAACTATCCTTAGAAGAAGCCCATCACTTGCTTGGTAAGCTATTTATTTTTGAACAATTTTAAATTCATTGTAAAATTTGTAAATAATAAAATCAAATATTTCATAAAATAGAAAAGTGTAATTTTTTGCATTTGCTTTGTCTTTATTTTACAAAAAAAAATTTAAATTATCAAAAAACAAACCTAAATAACTTACTCTGCCACAATATCAAATATCTTGCTTTACTTCAAATTCTTTGATAAAACTCTCTAATTAGATATTTCTAAAATTGATTTCTTAACCAGTGCCCATATGTTATTTTATTCTATATTTTATTTATTATTGTACCAGCAGGAAGGGTATCTTATTTAAAATTAATTTATAAATACATACTAGAAAACCTATATCTATAATCCTCCTATATCTATCGTTAACCTATACATCTATACAAAGAAATAAAATTGAAATGTCTATTTGTAATGTTAAAATAACAGCTTTTTATTAAATGCATATGAAAGTATATATGGTACTAATAAGAAAAAGAACAATTTTTAAAATTTTTGTGTGTCTGTTTGTTCCATCTAATCTCCGAAACAGCTAGACCGATTTACTGTAATAAATTTTATTTTCACAGCTTCAAGCAAGCACAAGTCGATAGAGCTGGAACAGCAAATAACATCACTCAACAACAAGTTGGTGGAAAGTGAAGAAGACAAACAACAATTGAGGTTGGAACTCCGAGCTGCCAATGTTGCGTTACAAGAAACACAACAAAGATTGCACACTATGCAGGTAGAGTTATTAAATAAATTAATATTATGGTCGATGGAATGATACTTTAAAAAAAAGACGTAATATTTAGAATTACTGCTGCTTGAATAAAATTCAAGCTTTGTTTGATATAGTTAAAAATAAAAAATATATTTTAAAATGTTATGTTCAAATTTATATACACTACATAAGTCTTTAAGATTTTTAATATAACCATATTTTTTATTAAAAATTCATCGAATTCGTCGCTCTCTGTTTTGAGATACCAATTTTATATAGATTGCTTCTGCTTGTGTATATATCAATTTTTTACAGGTAGCTCATTCACATGACACTGACGCGCTATTCAGAGAACAGCAAGACAGGTATTTACATATCAGACAGATATATTTATATATCAGTGACTGACCCTCAACTTCCATACATCCTCACAAACTTTCACATTTATAATACTAGCATTGTCCGCGGCTCTGCCCGCTGTAAGGTGACCAAAAAAGCAAATTCTTAGGTTTTACATATTAGTATACTCTTACGTTGCAGTTTTTGTATTTTTTCTCATAAACGAGACATTTACCCGCGTTAAAAAGTATCCTATATGTTGACACGGATAACCAGTTATCACGATACCAAATTTCATCAAAATCCCTCCAGTGGTTTTTCTGTGATTCGGTAACAGATAGACAGACAAAAATTCTAAAAACTATAGATTCGGCCTCTGTATCGATAATAATGTTTGTTTTAATAAGATTTTCCAAAAAATATTTAATGTACAGATTTGATTCAGAATTTTATTATATGTATAGATTGTCATCCGAATACTAAATACAAACTTACAAATCGATACGATAATAGGAATCGATATGTTAACATAACATTGATTAACTATTACTTCATATTTTTACAGACATCGTGAAGAAATGGATAGACTACAGAATGATTTGATTAACGCTAAAAGCAGATTAGATGAAAAAGTAAGTTATTTATTCAGCAATAAAAAAAAGGTTTATAAGTCTTATTAATCAAATTTATAATCGTATAGTGCTCAAATATTATAATATATTAAATATTTTTACTCTATAACTACACTAAAAAATTATATAGACGGAGTCCGCCAAAATAAATGTCAAAGTTATAAATAGTAGCGTGATTTGGTGTTTATGCTACTGCTCTAGATTTTGCCATGCAGAATCTATCTTTTGTAGATCTTTTACTTTCTTGAACGAAAGAAAAGGAAATAAGTGAAATTTTATATATGTATTAAATAAATTAATATACAATTTTTGGGAATACAATATAAATAATAAAAATAACTATGACACTCTGTCTATATTATTCCTTACTCTGAGCTCTATAATAAATACTTTTTAGATTCATGTAAATGTAATGCAAAAAAAAATATGTAAAAAAAATAAATGTAATTAATAATAATTTCAGGATAACGAAATAAAAATTCTCGAAAAACGATGTAAGGAACGAGATCGAGAGAAAGAGGAGATTTTAATAGAAAAAGGGGCGACAATAAACAGACTTGCAAATGAATTAGACGCGGCTCAGAAACGACTGTTGAATGGCGAGAGCGCCAGGTTGAAGGAGAAAGTACTGCAGTTGACTACCGAGAGGAACGCTGCGCGGGAACAAGTTAAAGAACTCGGGGTAAATATTTATATCGAATTTAAATTCATAAAACTGTATTCAGTTATTATTTCTCTCCCAACAGTTCGGAGAAAAAAATCCTCGTAAAAAAGTGCCAAAAAAACTCAACTATATCAGATTCTTTTTTTATTCATACAAGGGGAGGGGAGGGGCCCCTCCCCTTGTATGAGAATGTATTTTATGTACGGCCCCATACAGTTTAAATAAAACTATTTTTTTTTCGACGTTTCGGATGCTTTACAGCAATCATGGTCAATCAGTCTCTCCCGTGACCATGATTGCTGTAAAGCATTCGAAACGTCGGGAACCAAAAATCCAAATAAATCGGTGAAAAAATCCGAAAAGATAGTTTTATTTAAAATGTCAAATATTCGCGTAAATCTAAGAAAGTATTACTGACATACAGGTTTTATCTAGTTTGGGAGTCAGAGGCAATAGACTTATGTATCAACCAAAAACCGGCCAAGTGCGAGTCGGACTCGCGCACGAAGGGTTCCGTACCATTATCTATAATAACGGCAAAAAAATCACGTTTGTTGTATGGGAGCCCTCTAAAATATTTATTTTATTCTGTTTTTTAGTATTTGTTGTTATGGTGGCAACAGAAATACATCATCTGGTTCCTTTGGGCACGGAACCGTAAAAATTGTGTCAATGAAGAAATATTGTATTGTATCTTACTTGGTAAAATTTGTAGTCTAAGCTGGAACTGACGGCGCAAGAGCTGGTGGCGTGCCGCGGCAAGGCGGCGGCGGCGGCGCGCGAGCTGGAGGCGTGGCGCGCCGCGCTCGCGCACCTGCTCGCCGACCTCGCGCCCGACGCCGCCGGCCCCGGTATGTACAAGCCTTTATTTTCATTTTTTTTATTTATTAAGATTCACGAGTGGTAAATACATTATTATGCTATGTTACAAAGTTCTTATTGCTAAATGCATTACTTTTGAAGTTGAATACTGCATGTGAAAATATACATTATATTACACACACACACAAACACACACACACACACATATATATAAAAAAAAAATATATGTATAAAAACAACAATTCAAGATATAATCAAACAAGTCAAGATATAATCCTTAACAAATCAAGAATATGAATTATTTAGTTATAATATATATTTTTTACAAACCAATTTGGATGAAATTTTATAGATGGATTATGGGGATGGAGGCGCACCCAAACGAGGGTTAGTTTCTAGTTTTAAATAAAATTATTCTTGTACTGCTAGACCGATTTGGATGAAATATAATAGATAGGTAATGGGCATAGGGATGTATTCGAGCCAAGCAGTTGTTGCTAGTTTATACAAAATTATTTTTTTGGGGTTTTATTTTGATTTTTGTTTGTGATGTTTCAAATGTTTTACAGCAACCTCGTCTTTAGCTTTAAGGATATGGTCTTAAATATAAAAAAAGAATTAATTTAAATAGAAAACCCAATATTTTTTTAAAACGCCACATTTTAACCTATAATGCTAGTTATGAGATATTTTCATTTATTATTTATAACGCTAGATATTATTTGTACTATAGGCGATCCCCCGTCTCCTGGAAGATTAGCGACACTAAAAGAAGTATTGAACCGCTACAAACAACAATTACAGAAATTGTCTACTATGCAAGAGGAAATTAACAAACGGTTTGTATATTTATGATCACTATGACTTGAATACATTTGAATTGGTCTCAATAATTAATATGCTTGAAAAAATAAAATAGAAATGCCATTTATTTGCACTTTCTTTGCTTCCTGATGAGACGCCATGTTAATACTGACTTAATTATTTATACTTTAAACTCTACAAAGGATGTTATAACATTTTAAATACAAGTAATTAATATCTAACATAAAATATTCATTTTACAGAGATAAACGTCTGGAACAACATCGAAAACAAGAATCTGAAATGCGATCTAAATTGGAAGAACAAAAAGGCATAGAGATGCAGCTGAACTCCAAGCTGGCAGTGCTTCAGAATAAGCTGGAGCTACTCGGAACCAACTCAGATAGTGAGCTGATAGAAAGATATAAGCAACAGAATGAACAGTTGAGAAAAGATGTAGAAGATGCTAGGGCAGAAGTTAAAAATGTAAGTAAAGATAATAATTAACACTGTTTTTAATACCTATTTGTTTTCATTTATAAAGTTACTTTTAGCATTTAGTAAGATATTTTATGATTGTTTTCGAAGTTACACGTCTTTTGGCACGTTTGGAAAAAAAATTAGAATAAAATTTTTACGATGCGCGCGCACACCGACAGCCAAAAAGCGACATGATGAAGTTAGCTGCATTCCTTTTACAAACAGAGAGTTGTGATATACGGGATGAATTCTTTAGCTATTTTTGTTCTGAAGTATAACTTATGTGCATACATAAGTACACACACACGTTTTTTTTTATAGAAGGTTATTGGATAGGATGACAAGAATAGCCTTTTTTAATAGATTATTCATCTTGTCATTAAAATGAATCAATCATCATATTGTGGAATACTATATAAGAATTTATTGAGTCATTCTTAATATTATAAATGTGAAAATGTATTTGTTTGTTTGTCCCTCTTTCACGAGAAAACAGAGTGACGGATTAACGAGATTTTGTGTGGATATAGTTGGAGGGCTTGAGCGTGACATAGGCTTCTATTTTACCGCGGGATACCATTTTATACCCACGGGAAAACACTTTATAATACAAACCACAACAACTCATTATACCTATGTATATATATTAATATAGTTCATCTATTCCATACTAACCGTTAAAAAGTACATAGGGATGGCCCGAACGAAGCGAAGGTGAGCCGCTTGTACTATATAAAAAGGAAAAATAAATAGTTATTTCATATCTATATCCAGTATCTAGTTAAGACACTCTGAATATCTAATAATAAATAATAATATTAACAATATTTCAGCTAGAACTAAAGTATACAGAATTAGAAATGGATTATGAGAAACTAAAAACAGAGAAGGGCAGCCGCGCGTCCCTCGTGCAGGAGGCCAACGCCGACCTCCTGCGCGAGCTGGAGAAGTACAACGGACAGCTCAAGGAAACACTACGGGATAATGGAGAGTTAAAGACATTGTATTTACAGGTAAATTATATACTACTAGGCCTGAAGATTACCTGAAAATTTCATCAAATCGCTCCAGCTGTTTTGGAGTCCATAGGAAACATAATACACTCATCGATTTTTATTTTATTTAATGAACAATTTATATTTATTTATTGCTCGGAAAATGGAGTGTTTTATGATAATTTTGTGACACACGGACTGCAGCGCTACCTACCGGATCCATTTGTGAGTTCACACCTTGCAGTGAACCACTTGAACATACAAAAAAAATATCATTAAAATCGTCCCTGCCGTTTAGATGATCAGTGGCACACCGACTGCAGCACCACCTACTGGGTCCATTTATATTTTCAAATCATCCAGGAACCCATTGAAATATACACACAAAATTTCATCCAAATCGGTTTAGGAATATAATTGCTTAATAAATGGCAAGAATGAATTAAAAAAATCTATTTATTAATTATTATAGATAAGAATAATCTATTGTGTATTTTAATATATCAAGCGTATTCATCTTAAAGGTATGTACTGCGCGTGATGCAATATCTCGAGAACTGAAAGAAGTACAAACGAAAGCTCAAAGAGAAATAGAACAGTACAGATCACAAGAAAGAGATTATATAGAGAGGATAGAGAAAGAGAAGCGTCAAGTAGAGAAATTAACATTAGACTTAACAAACGCTAAAGATGAGTTGGAAAGAGCCAACAAGAGAATATCGGAACTTCAAAAAGAGTTTACAGACAAACAGAAGGAGTTTACTGACAAACTTAATAAGTTTTTGGAAGGTACGTGTATAATAATTTTGCATAAGCTTTCGTTGTTGTCTGTCGTGTACGTTTTATTTATCACTAATCTTAGTGTGTATTCAACTTAATTTGATAATGTAATATATTCCAAACTCTTATTCACTGCAGTAATAGATATTTTATAAACATACTTTTTACTGGCTAATTTATTAAAATGGTCAAATGATTAAAATAATTTACTTAAAAAAAACCTTTGCTTGGTTTGTTTCAAAAGAGATGTATTTATTATGATGAAATATATTGTGTAACTAGCTATTTATCCTTGCTTCACTCAAAAAATGTGTCTTTCTTATATGTACCATATATAATTCCATATCTATTTAGTAAAAAGCTATTATTTTGATATTACAAACAGACATTTAAATTTTATTTACATATCTATACAGTATAATTTAATGAAAAAAATATCTTTTAGATGAAAAAACAGCGATGCGTAAAGAAATAGAAGCGTGCGCGAAGTGCGAGCAGCAGCTGAAGCACATCCGCGGCCTGGAGGAGCAGCTTGTCAAGTGCAACGTTAAATTAGGTAGCTTTCTTTATATATTGTATGGTTTAGTTATATGGCGCAATGAAGTTCTTAAAATGAATAATTTTAATTACTAACCAAAGTTCTACAGTGGTACTAGCATGCAAGAAATCAGATGTATTGTAAACTTGTTACTTACCCTCGCTTTGCTTGGATGCCTCTCTAGGTGCCTACAACAGTCTAGTTGTAGTATAGTCTATCTAAGTTATAACGTCCAAATCCGTCTAGTCGTTTCAACGTTAGAAAGGGACAAAATACAAACAAAAATACGAAAACACACACACACACAATACAACCCCCTGTGATACTTTTTTTAGATTATCACTTACTTTGATAGCCTTTAATAGTAAAGTATGTACATATATTATGACTTAAAATAATGAAATATTTGTATTATTCTAGCGGCGCAAGAAAGTAACGAAACCTTAATGAAAGAACTGAGAGGCAAAGCAGAATTCTTTCAACAATACATAATGGAGAGATATAAGAAGTTAAGTGACCTTCGCACCGTGGGCACCAACACTGAAGATAACACTCGCCCTCAAAGTCCTGCTAGCGGTGAAGAAACTGTACAAGAATCGGATGATGTATTGGAAGCAAAGGTATTTGGTTTGTTTTATTTATTTTTTTATTTATTTGTTTGTACATTCATATATGTGTATTTTAGTTATTATCATATATATGTATTTTAGTCAACAACTAAGCTGTGTCATTCAATCTACTTTTAACACTACATGTTACACATGATACTCATTTGTTAATTCAGAGTTCAGAATGTTACCAGCACAATAAAAATAATTGAAATTCCTCAAATTATATGATATTGCGTTTAGTGATATAAGTGTCATAAGCGATATAGCAGACATAATAACTCTAAAAACTTATATGCTATTTGTTGAAGTTATACTTATTTTGGCACATATGTGTAAAATTATGACAGTAAAATTTTACGAGACGCGCGCATACCGACAGCCAAAAAGCGACATGATGAAGTTAGCTGAAAGCCACATGATGAAATTAGCTGTATTTCCTTTAGAAATAGAGAGTTTTGACATACGGGATGAAATCTTTAGCTATTTTTGTTCTGTTATGCCAAAAATTATAGCTTCGTACGTGCGTACACACATACGTTTTTATTTTATTTATTTATTATTTATAATTATTTTTTTTTCTACTACACTGTACTAATTAAGACCGTTCACAAAAAAATTATACAAATTCATATCTCACTTTTTCAGACGGTCCTGATGATGAAAGAGAAGGCAATACGTGAACAGATAGCTGAAAAATTCACACTTGAAATAAAAACTATAGAAATGAACTGCGCAAGACGATTGAAAGAAATGGAAACAGAACAACTCGGTACTGTCACAAAACTAAAGGATTTGTTAGAAAGGAAAGCCAAAGAAGTCGATACATTGAAGGAATTCATACTCTCTGAGAGAGCTAAAGTGACGCAAATATTAGAGTCCAAGGAAAATGAAATATCGGTACTTATTAAAGAGCATAATGTATTAAGAAATGAGTGTCAGAAAGCTAAAGAAGATGTTGTCGAATGGAGAATGAAAGCGGAGAAATATAAAGATAATTTATCTCGTTTGGGTTCTTTAGAAAATATATTGAAGAAAGAAAAAGAACATTTTAAAGCGAAAACAAGTTCCGATGCGAAAGAATGTCAGGTATTAAAGAATAAATTAAAAGATTTACAGTCTAATTTGTCACAAGTTGAGCAGAAGTATGTTAATCTACAAGGCGATTATCACGTACTGCAAGAGAAGTACAAGAATGTTAAGAGAACTGCTTTAACTTATAAGGTAAGTTTTATTTCTATGTTATTAGTTTTTGTATATTTATTCGAGAAATGGCGTAGACATAGAAACAATAAATGAATATGTAAATATTAGTGCTATTTTAAATAAAACTATATTTTCAGTCAGAGACAGTCTCTCCCGTGACCATGATTAATGTAAAGCGTTTGAAACGTTGTAAACCAAAAATTAAAATAAATCCGCGAAAAAATCTAAAAAGATAGTTTTTATTAAAATGTTAAATAATCTGGTAAATATAAGTTGGTAACGCTATTTCAAAATTCATATTATTTCATAACATCTATACAGATTAATAAAATTGAAGTGTCTGTTTGTATTGTCAAAATAACAGCGTTTTACTAAATGCATATGAAATTATATACAGTACTTATAAGAAAAACATAATTTTTTAAAATTCTGTCTGTCTGTTTGTTCCGGATAATCTCTGAAACGGCTGGACTGGTTTTGACGGGACTTTCACTGGAAGATAGCTGATGTTATAGGGAGTAACATAGGCTACTTTTATTTTAGAAAAAGAATGAGGGTTCTGCTCAAAAAAATTAAAACGTACCTAGGGACGAACCCGAGCGAAGTGAGGGTGAATCACTAGTTAATAATATGATACACGAATATATTATAAAGTCTTTTTTTGTAATTTAATTTCCATATTCAGGAGTACATGGCGAAGAAAGACACGCACATCAACAATGAAATAAACAGAATAACGGACGAGTACAGGAAGATATTCGTAAAGCTGCAGAACCAGATCAACTACTACGTGAGCCACCGCGCGCCGCGCGCCGACGACGTACGTACACTTTGTATGCTATCCTTACAGTAACATACAACCACACATAACCACAGACTACTAATCCATATAGTAAGCTAAAGGTGCCTTTGGGAAACGGGATGGTTATAGTGTGGGGAGAGTCTCACCCGACTGTCAATTCTATTCTCTTGTTAATATCTTCAAAATGTGTCATTTGAGCACAGATTACTTCACAATAGAGTGGAAGAGACTCGAGGCCTCAATTTTCTTATTAATGGCTTTAAAGCGTGCACTAAGATCAGAAATATCCGACCGTCATACTTATTTTGATATGACAATCGGGAAACGGGTATTAGGGTTAACTGTGACCTGCCTGTAACTGAGATGGCACAGTATTGTTTATTGGTAGTACACAGTTGGTATGTTTTGACACCCATTGCAATGATTACAGAATTTCCATCAAAATGGAAGACCTATATAGGAATTATAATCTAGGAATTTAATAGAAAAATTGCCTATTGTTTGGATTTTTATACTGTCACTGTGTCTTAGTGTAATCTGTCAGTCTTCAGTAGTGTGTCAATCTGTCAGTGTGTTTTTAACAGATAGTATTGTTATAAATTTGTTGATTTCTATTAACAAAAAATGATCATTATAAGTATCAAATTACTTTTGAAGTTATACTTCTCTTGGCACGTTTGGACAAAAATATGAGGAGAAAACTGTTTACGATGCGCGCGTACACCGACAGCCAAAAAGCGAAATGATGAAGTTAGCTGCATTCCTTATGCAAATGGAGAGTTGTGACAAACAGGATGAAATCTTTAGCTAGTTTTGTTCTGTTACGCCAAAGAATTATAACTTCTTACGTGCCTACATAAATACAAACACACGTTTTTTAATTATTTTTATTGACGACATATTTCTTTGCAGTACACACAAAAATTAAACGAATTGACAGAAGACTTCGCGCGCCTCACGCAGACTAATTTCAAGGAGCCGCCGCCTTCGCACTGACACCAGGTCATACAGTTTATAACAGTTATACCCTTCATTTATTCTAGATATGTATATTATTATAATCAAATATTTACATATTTTCTACATTGGTGGATTTGCCTCTGCTGTGCTCATACTGAGTGTTCATACAATGTGAGAGTGAGCTCACTCATCCCGCGTTAAGTCGTTCATAACAACCTGATTGACAATCGTGATTCATACTAACGTTATATGCATTAGTAGCAGTCGATAAAATCTCCTTTTGGATATTTAATAATTTAAATAATTCCAATAGAGTAATTTGCATTTTCAGAGCAGAGAAAGAACGTGCAAAATTTTCAGTAAGTAAGATACGTACGATATACCTAAGACTCAAAATAACTAAATTTTATAAGCATTTGTAAACAAAATGACAATACTTAAAACATTCCAGGTACTTGGAAATAGTGCCTTTATTTTTTCGTCAGCTTCTATCCGCGACTTTGTACACAAAGATTTAAAATCAAAGTTTATTTTAGAAATGAAATACTGTCTACGGTGAAACCTATAGCATTATCTATGGCATTTTTGGACTTCCAACTTTCTCAATATTCGCATTCAGTCCTTGTTGCAACATAAAAAACGACGAATAAACATTTTTAACATTTATAAGGAATCAATAAGGTCTAATAAGTATTTACTACTTATATATCGTATGAAGAATTTATATTTCTATCGTATAGACTATTGAATATATGTATTAAATGAAAGAGCAATTAAAATGAATAAAATATAAAAAAATAAACTCATAATTATTATACTTTTTAGTACAAAATATAAATTTTGTGATAAATTCAAAATAAAACATCTTTGAACTAAATACCGACAAAAGCTACTAGCACAAGGCAAATAACAAATATAATAAATTTGTGGAATATTATTAATGCCTAATAATGAGCAGTTAAACCTTTAACCTGATTCCCCTCGTACTGAAGGGAGTCAAAAAGGGCTGAACACATAAACCTTTAAACCTTCAGAATATATTTGCGTATTATAATTAAAAAAATGTTATTGTGCAAAAAACGTGGGGTGTTTTGTACAAATTTTTTTTTATATACTCACTCTACTTTTAGAGATCGTACCAAGGAAGTATTTATAACAACTGATATCGAGCACCCCACGTTTCTTTCACAAGGACATTAATTTTCTCGTTAATCACTTTATATTTTAGTTCATCATTAAAACGTGTTTTTTTTTTATTTTTTAACTGTAATTTATCTGATATAAAAGTATGTTTTAAGTCTGCTTAATTTTAAGTAATTGACGTTTTAAAGTGGGTAAAAATCGCGATCAAAAATTCCGTTAGATAGATACAAATGAAGCTAATAAAAAAGAAAATTATATATAAATAGCTCTTTGCTGAATACAGCATTATTTTAAAATTTTTACAGTATTTTTATAAACAATAAAATCTAGTATTAAGATGTTTCCGTCCAAATGGAAATGATATTGTAGAATAAGTACGGTGAGTAGTCTAATATATTAATACTAGTATACTGTAATTGTACTTATTAGTTTATTTAATTCGACGGCACGTTTGGCTCAATTTATAGTGACCCTACTTGCTGTGCTAGCGGTCGCGCGTTCAAATCCCGTTGGGGGCATTCATTTATGTGATGAGTATGAATGTGTGTGCTCCAATCATGGGTGTTTATATTTATAATATGTATGTATTTAAAGTTATATATGTGTATTGTATCAACAATCTGGTATCCATAACACAAGCCTCGTAACTTACCATGGAACTTGATGGTGCTGTGTTAATTTAAACTATCGCTGGTAAATTCAAATGGGGGTTGTTAAAATGCTCCTAAACAAAATATTTATGAAAGTACAAAATCATGCGATATTGTAATAGTATGATTTCAGTGAATATAAATTTTAATATAAATTCAATATTAGCTACTGTAAAAACCGGGTGTACAAATAAATTTAAGTATTGTCTCGGAACGTTGTCATAATTTTTTTTTATTTTTAAGTGCTATGTTAGATTTAAAGTTCTTGATCTTATATTAACTTGTCGTGGTAAAATGCCTCAAATTTATGAAATAAACATTAGTGGTAGATAAAGTAGGAGTAAAAATATTTAGTTTTTTATAAAATGTATTGGTAATATTTAGATATTTTTAATGTATACAAAATTAATAGTTTGTCAAAATTAATGTAAGGCAGTTACTAGTTTCGATGGGAATGAAGTGGAACATTTGAGCAAAATATGGAAATCAAAACAATAACGTTTTAGAACGGAGACGTACGAAAATAAGGAAACAAACTTTGTCTTATGGCCGATTTCACCAACGTCACCTAAGCTTAAGGGCTCCCCTAAGCATGGTTAGGGGGCTGTTTTAGGGGACAGTTTCTGTTTCACTGACAGTTAGGGGTCACCTAAATGTTAAAATGCCACCTAAATATAGGTACTAGAAATACGGGCTCTGGCGATGGTAGAACTAAATTTAATTTAGGGGCTAGTTTAGGGGAACTTTTAAGCTAGGGATCCCATACGTAGGTGGTAGCTTATGGGATGTTGGTGAAATCGGGCATTAGAAAGACAAATATGTATATAATATGTTTTAAAATTGTATTTTCACATTCTTTAAATATAATTTTATATTCTACTTAAGAACTGAATTTGTTCCTTGTGACGGAGAGAATATTTTAGTGCCTTGTTTGATGTCGCCTTACAATATAATGTTTGTTATTTTTTAAATGATACATTCGATTTTAATTCAGTATTTGTAAAGCTAGATAGTTTTTAGAATAGACTATGTGTAAAAGACTTGCGTGTACATATATACATATGTGGTCACCTTGAAATATTGACCTCGGTGTGTGAATATCATTGTAACATAACCCTCTTCCGCAATATATATATATATATATATATATATATATATATATATATATATATATATCGATCACTAATAAAAAACTGCATACACAATCAGCAGCAAAATAATGTCCTTACCAAATGAGCGCCCACTCGAACATTTGGATGCGCTTTTAATTTAGTTCCATTTGTACGATGCGAAGAGAAACATGCCTCAGTGCTCGTCTAAAAATTGTAAAAATCACATATCTAAGATCCTAAAAAAGGATACAGTTTCATAGTTTCGGTAAGTATTAATATTATCTTTTAATTGTTATCACTACAATGTAAATACTGATATTAATTTATCAAGAAATCATCTTGAAAATTAAGTTTTTTAAAATTAAGTCGCATCTCAATTGTAAAGATACTTACTAAACGTATTAATCATACTACCGCATGTCTTCTCAAATTGTTCAGGTTATGTACGTGCGTTGGTTCTGTTCAGTTTTTTGGATTTATTGTCAATTTGTAATTCTGACTTTAAGGCGCTCTTTTCCAGAATTTAGGATATTTTGAACCATTATAAAACCACGAATATAATACATATAGTTCTAAAATTCATACATGTTATAGTTAAGGATAATAGCTAAGTACCCGGCGAGGCCAAAACACGATTGGCAATAGTTCACTCGATAGAAAAAAAATTCAAAGATAGGTCTAAAAATACCTTAAAATCTCTGATACACACAAAATACATTATTATATGATATGAAAGTTATACTAATAGATTTAGCTTGTCATTATTTAGGTATTCGGAGAAACAGATTTTCATTTATTAACTTATATTTATGGCAATAGGCGAAAAAGAGATAAAATGAAACGGGTCGTCGCGCGCTGGCGCCTAGGGAGCGGCGATTCTGGAAAAGAGCGCCTTAAGACATGCCAATAAAGTTGAATTTGTTTTGATGTATGTTGATCAACTACATAGTCTTGGTCGTAAAAAATTATTGCTTGCATTGCATATAAGGTTGAATTTACATTATTTTATAAATATTTATTACAACTAGAATTATTCCATGGGATTGTGTATCTAATACTTTATTAGTGATCGATGGCAATATATGAATATCTCAGACTAAAGAATTATATAGACGGAGCCCGCCTAATAAATGTCAAAGTCAAAAATGGTAGCGTAATTTTGCTTTTTATGCTACTATTCTCGAATTGTCGTACAGATATTTTATTTTATTTAAAATAAGAAGAAAATATGAATAATTAAAGCTATTTTTTTATTAATTAATATTTATTTAGTTAACATAGTAATGAGTTTTATTTTAATATTTGTACTACAATGCTGTTTTTAAATATTGTCGGGCTTCATGTTTAGTTCTAAGACACTCTGTCTTAATTATTTCTTAGTCTGAGATTAATATATAATCGCTCCTGTGATAGCATTTGTAAATATTATGAAGTATTAATATTATAGTTCAAATGCAACATTCCTTGTAATTCCACATTTGTTTTATTTTTAATCTTAATAAAGGTACTTACCATCATACGTTATGCAATTGTAGCAATACTTTAAAAAAATATATTATGTATATCTATCTATTCTTTTGATATGACGTAGACCTTTGAACAGGCTGGTAAGACTAAATATATTTATTAATTTAAAATGAAGATTTATAACGATTTTTAGCCACAAATTAAGTATCTTATACTATTCAATTTTGATACTGTCAAAAAAAATGCAAGTGTCCCCAAAATTTCATATATATGTAAGTATTAGTTATATATCGAATTTATATACAATTGCTCAAATATTTTTTTTAAATGTTGGTAAATTGTAAATGTTGGTAGGGCTTGATTTGATGTACATATTAATTTTATACAAGTCTTAGTTGAATTCGTTACTTAATTACTATTATGTTTCTGATTTCAAATAAAAGTATTATTTAATTAGAAGCGGTTTTATTTCTTTACATAATATTTGGATGGTACGAATGGCATTTTAGCAACTACACACGAGATATCTTTTCCTCGGATGTTCGCAATCAGTTCAGTGCCAATTTTCTTACATTCTTCAGCGACATAGCCCATAGCGACGTTACCGCCCAGCGAGGGACTTGGACACCCACTTGTAACTTTACCCACAGTTTCATTCTTTGCATTCTTAATAATCACGTCTTTCCTCGCTGGTGCACCACTCTCTATTCTCAACCCAATTCTTCGTTTTGCTACACCTTCCTTTATTTGCTTCAAAATTATATCTGCTCCAGGGAAGTTAGCTTCAGCTCGACGAGCTTTAGCAACCAACCAAGTCAAATTTGCTTCCACTGGAGTCACACTTTCGTCTATATCATTACCATACAAACACAAGCCGGCTTCTAAGCGTAGTGAGTCCCGAGCGCCGAGTCCCGCTAATTTAACATCTTGAGACTGTAAAAGAGCTTCGACAACGACTTCAGCCTTATCGGCCGGCATTGATATCTCAAATCCATCTTCTCCCGTGTAACCACAACGTGTTATTCGACATTCCACACCTGCTACTTTGCCAGTACGTGAAGTCATAAACATCACATCTGCCAGCGGTACTTCTGTAAGAGCTTGGACATTGGACGCCGCTTTAGGTCCTTGCACTGCAATTAAAGCTCGATTACTCACATCACAAAATTCTATTGACACATCTTTACCGCGCTTCCGAAAAATTTCCGATGTTTCTTGCATATGTTGCTTATCAACATCTAGGCGTCCTGCATTCGATACTATATACAATTGATCGTCGTTTACTTTAGTAACAATTAGATCATCAATTATCCCACCTTTGTCCGTCAAAAAAACTGTCAAAGAGCTTGATCCAGGAGTCATTCCTTTTAAATCTACCGGGCATAGTGTCTCGAACCACGTCATACAGTCTTTGCCTCGAACATTTGTTTGTAGCATGTGTGAAACATCGAAGATAGAAGCATTACTTCTCGTAAACAGGTGAGATGCTGACACACTCAAATCAGAATATTGGACTGGTAAGAGAAAACCGGCAAAATCAACTAACTTTCCACCATATTTCTTGTGTAATTTGCACAAAGAAGTTTCTTTCACATTATTACTACTGTAACTGCAACTCTGCGATTTTGTAATACAGTAACGACTTCTATATAAATAACTTTTTTGGAACATTGTAATACTTCTTGAACACATTTTATTTAAATTACGCAATCGTGTTGATTATTTGGACACAACTATATGACTGATGTATGTTTATTATCTTTCTGTAATGATGGGTCAAGAGGTCAACTTGTGACTTAAAAATTTCTTGATAATAAAGCGAACGCGGACCAATAACGTGCTACCATTATAATTTGAACAAGAATAAAAAAATATTTTAAACTAGCATTGCCCGCGGCTCCGCCCGCGTTCAGATGACCAAATACCAAATTCTTAGGTTTTATATATTAGTATACTCTTAAAATGCAGCTTTTGTACTTTTTCTCAGAAATGAGACATTTTGCTGCGGTAAAAAGTATCCTATATGTTGACCCGGATAACCAGCTATCACCATACCAAATTTCATCAAAATCCCTCCAGTGCTTTTTCTGTGATGCGGTAACAGACAGACAGACAAAAATTCTAAAAACTATAGATTCGGCCTCTGTATCGATAATAAGATTCAATAAGATTTTCCAAAAAATATTTAATGTACAGATTCGGCTTAGTTAGAATTTTATTATATGTATAGGTATTTTAAGATAAAATATTGTGGGGTAATATTTTAGTCATATGAACTTAAAAGTAAATAGAAGCAATATTCGTTCCTTATTTACAAATAGAAGTCGATAGGTAACTAATAAATTCCAAACGAATACGCTTCGAACGATTATCGATTTGGCAACCGATTTTACATCTGTAAATAGCTCACGCTTATGCTAATGACAAAGGAATATGGAGTATGTCATAGTGCACTCAGGTGCACGCTCGAGAACGGGGTAATTTTAAGAATTGCAAATTGAAATATCTAAGCGGCTGGCCGATCACTCGTGCCAAATGATATTGTATTCTGATGCTTGATATTTGTCTCTGTAGATCTCGCGTCTAACTTAATCGATCATGTAAGACTTTAAAATATAATTGGGTTTTATTAACTATACACATTAGTGAAAAGTGACTTCTAAGTTTTGGGAGTGACTAAATAGGTAATTTAGCTGAAATTCTAGTTTATTTTTATGAAATCGTTATTTAAAAATATAGTATTTATTACATAAAACCTGTTTATTTTGTTTATATATCATAAATAACAAAAACTATTTTTTTATTATAATGACCTCAATGACAATAATATTGGTGACTTCATTCGCACAGAGTTAAAGTATAATTTAATGGAAAACATGTTTATAACGGCTTCTATGATTTTACGATTATTATTAGGTAGCTAAAAGATTTTGCTTTCCTTGTTTCTTTGAATCCACTTTAAAATCTATTAATTTACTTGGTTTCCGTATAGCAAGAATTAACCTACAACCTTTCTTATTCTGAAGGGAAATTTATATTTAAAAAAAATCTATGCAGTCTTCGGAAAGTCCTATCAGAATGGAAGTGTATTAAAGCTCTATCGCGCGTCGAAAATATAAAAGACACTGGATGGACTCGCTTTAATTTTTTCTACAATATTTATAAAGTTTACTTGTAAAACAAATTGTCTTATCGTCGGTGTAATTATTATTTATTATAGTTCCTTCATCTTATAAATTACTATGAATATATTTTTGGAGTTAACCTTGCTTTAAAAGCAAAATTTATTTCATAAAAATAATAAAGTATTCTTGAAGCATCTACATTCTACAATATAAATTCGCTAGCATTGCGCATACGACGGGAAGCGTATGACTGGAGACGAGGGCGTAATGCGTGCGGGACGGCGCGGGGACGACACGGACACGACGCGGGCCGGCACGGCGCGTCACCTGCGCTTGGCACGCAATAAGCGCTGAATCTGAAAGCTCAAAATTCGCGGGGAGCGCCGCCACTCTACCGCCAGTACCCCTTCGACCAGCGATGCTGTGCTGTCTCCGGAAATAGAGTACGTCCGTTCCTAACGTAGCACCAAACGCGACAGTCGCGGCCACTACTATTGCGGCTCATTTTAATCATTGTTAAATTAGCTTTTTGATTCTTTTAATAGTATACACAATATACATATAGTACTGACTAATAGTAATTGCAATCAAGTGGCCCCGACCGACACGAGCTGCATTCTTGTTGGAATGCACTTCGCGTCGATCCGCGACAGTGAAATCTCTGTTCAGTGTAGTTTGTGATTCGCGTCCATAGATCGACCGATCGGGTGCGCGAGTGTGTGTGCAAATGACCGGTAGCCCGGTGTAGCGGGCTAGAACCTTTCAAAATGTGGACAAAGAGATCAAAGTTATGGAGGTTTATGTTGTGCATGTTATTTGCCGCGTCGGCGCTCGCGCTGACGGCGAGAGGTGAGTCTGAGGCGGAGTCGGGCGGCGGGCGAGTGGGAGCCGCGCACGCTCTGCGTCACTACATCGTTGCTATTTTCGGTGTAACTTGCGCTGAAATTATGTAAAAAGCGCGTTTGTGAGCTATTTTTGGCCATAACCTTAACGGAAAATATAGAAGACAAGGTTGTAGCGATTAAATTATCACTCGTCAATGTTTCATATATTAGAGGGAGCACACGCGTCGGATGTCCTATCCAGCATAGCTACACAAATAGAAATACAGGGATTTGTCGTTATGCGCGTCGCCATCTTGTGAAAAACGATAGGATCATGACGACATTATAAAAGTTAGACACTGATATATGTAGGTCACTCATAATTTTATATAATTACTGGCATCCATAATAAATGCGTAATAAATAAATATGTAAAATTTACTTTGGAGCTATATATCAAAATTCAAGAACATATTTTTAAGAATCTTTATTATTACAAGACAAATGAAAAATTAAGTTGTCTTACTAATCCGGCTCGAAGTATCAATTTCATAGTAATACATTTTTGTACACTACACAATATTTCTGTTAGTGTGTATTTTTTCATAAAAAATGTTATTGCTAGCAAAATGGCATCATTCACAAAAGTATTTATAATATTGTTGATACCCGGCTTACTATTTTGGAAGCTTTAAATTTAGTTCGCTAATTCAATGACAAGTCTTGTACAGCTAAAATATTAAAGCACGGGAAACAGCAAGGCTAACTATTTAGGTCATACATCTTGTAAGAAGAAAGTTTATGATAAATCATAAATCTAAAATAGCGTGTAAGACGTAGAGTGCATAACTGACTGTGTTTACTTTTCCTGTGCGATAGTTGCAAGTATATGCCTGTAGCTATCTACTTATTTACCTATTTCAAACAATTTTTAATTTTTTATATGAATATAATAAATATTCTTATAAAATGAACTTCAAACGAATAACAAAAACGTGCTGAAAACCTTATTTTATTACTAAATTTCTAGCTTTCAAAATATTTTCAATTTAAAAACTTTAATATAAACACACAGCCAAACAAAGTTAAATCTTATCTTACGGACTAATATTGTAAAATAATAAATAGTCATCGAAAAATACAACAACATTTGTAAAGTTGGTACAAGGTAAAGTACCTAAGAAACGTTGCGCCCTCGAAACTTTTATAAATCAATATTTGTTGAATTGTTTGTATCTTCTTCTTACACCAGCATATATCATGTGTGAATTATTAGATCGTTTTATTTTTTTTAGAATCTATGTAGCTCACATATAATTAAATTTATAAATTTAAAGAACCCCCGACCATCTTCGACCAATATTCATCAAACATAGCTAAGAACACTCCCGACTAAATCACCTTTCAAAAAAAAACTAAATCAAAATCGGTTCATCCGTTCGGGAGCTACGATGCCACAGACAGACACACACACAGACACGGCAAATTTATAACACCCCGTCGTTTTTGCGTTGGGGGTTAAAAATAAGTTGGTACAGTGCAAAAATTGCCTAAGAACACTTGAGTTCTGGTAAGGAATGAGAGTGGATAGTTACTTTTAAAATAAAATGCTAACAACTGTTATTTTCAAAAATTAAAAGTGACTTTGAAAGTCACATTCATTCAGTTATTTATAATTCTCTTGGAGTTTAAAATATATTGTTTTCGCAAATAACAGCAAATGGGTAGGCAATAGAACACGTATTAAAAAGTTTTAATTAAAGCTCAACCGAAAAAGCTCTCAGTGGTATGAAAGTTTGTAATAGATGCGATTAATACTAACTTTTTACTTATCTCTGTATTGAATGCCACAACAATTAAATAAATCAACTATTGCTGCCTGCCTATCTTTGCCAGTTGTGCGAAGGTTTTCAGTTTATAAATTCTAGATTTTGAGAAGTTATCAACATTGATATACGTTGAATACAGTAAATGCTAGTTTTGTTGGAATTTCCTAACTGAATGAATTCAAAAAAGTTTTTAATCTGTATATATTTAATGGCGAGAATCCAAGAACGATGTTCCACGACAATGCCAGAATTGAACGTCGATTGAGTCTCGACTATTTATTATTCTGTCCGTTCAGCAAGATATTTTTATTTCAGAATTGTGTTACCAGGTCACTATAGAGTAGGAATCCTCGTTATAAAGGAATTTATTACTAAATTAATCGATTATATTCATAAAATTAGTAAATAAAAAACGTAATAATTCGTAAATACTTAAGAGGAAAAAAATACATCTAATGACAAATAGTTTGTTTTACAAATATTGACCAAGTGAGCTCTTAATCTGCCATAAAACATCAGCATGCCTTGATTTCGCCACAACAAATGTTCCTTGACGTAAGTAGTAATGCTAAAAAAATTTGGAATTTAGCTATATTGTGTGTCTAACATAAGTTTTTGTGTATTATTAAGGTACTTCTCATAATTTCATAAATTACCTGTCTTGAAAAGTAATGCGTTAAGTTAATCAACATTGGGCACAAAAGTTTTAAAGTTCAAAAACTTTATGGTAGCTCTCAAGGAACATTTTTCCTAAGTCCCGTCGTTAAGTGATTTACAATTAGACTATATCTGAAATTCTTGTATTTATACCAGTTTCACTCGCATTTAGTCTTCAAACATTAAGCATGATATTTATTCTATGAAATAAGGTATTTTTGTTCATATCACCTATACAACGTATAATATCCCAATAAAATCAGCCCATCTGCTATTAAGAAACGCACGGTTACACAAACATATCTATCTACTTAATCGCATATTTTTAAAACTATTTAATATACTCTTTCAACCTAATCTATACAGATTAATAAAATTGAAAATAACAGCTTTTTACTAAATATATATGGAATTATGTACGGTATTTATAAGAAAAACACTTTTTTTAATTTTGTCTGTCTGTTTGGTCCAGCTAATCTCCGAAACGGCTGGGCCGACTTTGACGGGACTTTCACTGACAGGTAGTTTATGTTATAAGGAGTAACTTAGGCTACTTTTATTTCAGTAAAAGAATTAGGGTTACGCTCAAAAAAAATATAAGTGTAATAGAAACTGGTAATATCAGAAGCAAAGCAAAAAATCCAATCATTTGCAGAAATGGCTCAAAGGACCATGTATAATTACTAGTCGATATAATAAGTGTTAGTCCCTGTTACTAACATCATTATAAAAGTATATTTCATTTTATAAATCAATAAGACGACAAAAGTCAATGATTAATCATCAATTATAATATGTAAGCCAGAATTAATAATAAATTATAGGCCTATATAAATTCGATTAGTTACATGTAAAGTACACACATCAACACTGTCTTCCTGTTAGGCTACAAAGTACTGCGCATTTTCATATTAGGATTCTTTAAGAAATTCTTCGTACTTTCTTTTCAATTCATGAATAACTAAAATATCCCTAGATTATATATACTCGTAGATATGTTGATGTGTTTAGATACATTAGTTTTTAAGTAGTACCAACGTAGTGTTAATGTTAGAAGTATTACTGTTTTAAACGTTTATATTCCATAGAATATAGTTTCATTTTTGTGGTCCACGTTGAATTTCCTGTGTAGATTAATATAAATAGATAAACAATTTGAGTCTTAGAAATAATATTGATTAATATACAATAAAATAAAATAAGTGAAAGAATTGTCTAGAGGAAAATCTAATTTTATAAGAAATATTATTGCATAGTTTCTTGAACATGTTTATATTACTGTGAGACCGATAATAAGATTTAATATTTGTCATTAATAATTTCAGGCGATGACGACATTCCTTCAGAATCACAATGCCGTCCATATATCGAAAAGGCGCTTAAAGAACTCGAATCGGGGGATGTAGAGCCAGGTAAAATATTGGTTTATTTATTAATATTATATACCTTACTAGCATTGCCCGCGGCTCCGCCCGCGGTCAGATCGAAAAATCAAATTCTTAGGTTTAACATATTAGTATACTCTTACATTGCAGTTTTTGTATTTTTTCTCAGAAATGACATATTTTCCCGCGCTAAAAAGTGTCCTATATGTTGACCCGGATAACCAGCTATCACTATACCAAATTTCATCAAAATCTCTCCAGTGGTTTTTCTGTGATGCCGTAACAGACAGACAGACAGACTAAAATTCTAAAAACTATAGATTCGGCCTCTGTATCGATAATAATGTATATTTCAATAAGATCTTCCAAAAAATATTTAATGTACAGATTCGGCTCAGTTCCAATTTATTATATCTATAGATATCCATGACGTAGTGCTACCCAACCTAAATCTTACCATCGGGTGGATCGGTGACTCTATTGCCACTTGTTTTACAAAAAAATCTGTACTTTATTATAACATTTAATTTGTAATTAGTTAATGAAGGACACGAGTAAAGTAATTTATCTAAATTTAACACACTTAGCGAAAGTATTTATAAACACTTACCGACTTTAAAAAAAAGGATTAGGTTCAACTCATTTAGGAGTGACGTTTACGTTTAAGTGATTTTGAGGTCGGTGTTTCTTTAAACTTAGAAGATAAAATTAATACTGCATCCTTAATTGAGCAGTTTTAATTATACATCTCAGCAAAACATGCACTCAAATGTGGACTCTGGGTCAGTCCAAAAATAATCTCGATCTCTTCTTTCAAATAAACATCGAAGAAGGCTTTAAACTTTAAAACCATCTATCATCTATTTTTCATCGAGTTTATTGGCTTGTTAAAATATGACAGAGATATATAAATTACTAGCATTGCCTGCGGCTCCGCCAGCGTTCAGATGACTAAAAGCCAAATTCTTAGGTTTTACATATTAGTATACTCTTACATTGCAGTTTTTGTATCTTTTCTCAGAAATAATATATTTTCGCGCGAGAAAAAGTATCCTATATGTTGACCCGGATAACCAGCTATCACCATACCAAATTTCATCAAAATCCCTAGTGGTTTTTCTGTGATGCGGTAACAGACAGACAAAAATTCTAAAAAGGAAAAGATTCGGACTCTGTATCGATAATAATGTCTATTTCAATAAGATTTTCCAAAAAATATTTAATGTACAGATTCGACTTAGTTACAATTTTATTATATGTATAGATTAGAGAAACGTATATAAATCACTATTCACAACAGAGTTTTTTTTTATTATTTGCCAAATTTACGGAACAAAAAAAATTGGTTCATTAATTTCACATCTATCGTGGGGGCATCAAGAGGCTGCAGTCCTGGTTGCCCTTAACTAAATCCGACTCTGCAAATATCTATAAAATATATATTTCACGCGTTTTTTGTAAGATTGGACATCGTACGGTTAGGAGGAAAATATCAGTTTTGACGCTTAAAGTAAGTTCCCGAGCCTGAACTAAATAACTCCATGAACCAAAACTTTTTAATAAAACTATATAACATAAACACCTGCTGATTTGGAAAAATAAAGACCATTTGATTGCTCATAGCCTAAATGTAGATAGATGATCATGGGAGGTCGTTACATAACGGAAGCAGCCATGATTCATGACATCATTTTGAAAGACATCTAATTAAAAATTCTCCCAGTTTTCTATTCGTAGAATAACCTCGAATTTACTATTGTAAGTTTTATAGTTCTAGATTCTTGTATAACTGAATTAGATGCTAACGTCACTGACATGTTCCGCTCTTCAAAATGGATTTTATTGCAATTTAATTTCTTCTATGTTTATAATAGTTTTCAAGATATGATTTTTTTTTAAATGTCCGTTCATTGTAAAACCATTCAATATGATTACAATTGTGTATGAATTTTGATTCGATTCGGTTTCGATTCGATTCGATTTCGGGCTTTTTGTTAAGATTAGTAAAAAAGCCCGGTTCATTTTTTTTTTAATTTAATCGTTTATTTTATTTAATCATTTTTTTTATTTATTTAATTTATTTAATCATCTAAAAGGTGATATTTTATGTACCGAACTTATTTAATGTACTTTGCTATTAGACCTAGTATGTTATCATCACATTATGCAATAGATGTTGTAAGCGAGTACTTTTTAGTAGATGATTGTACTTCTGCCAATCTGCATTATTTTATGATATAATGCAATCAACAAACTCGCCAATTGCACGTCACGAGTCACGTTTTTTTAATTGTATTAAAACTTAAAAATATATCAATTTATTAAAGAGACAACTTCATTTACCTTTTAGAATTTGATTTTTTTTGTGCTATATATAATATATTGTTATCAGCACAATAATTTGTTTTATAATTATCTATCCAATATTAATCATCTCAATCAATCAATTATCCAATAATGTGAGCCATATTTTGCTTACAGGATCTTAAGAAAGTCATCGTACAGAATTTTATTGTACTCTGGTAATTACCATACAGAAATTGCACTCAAAACACACTACGGAAATCTTATAAAATTTTGTTATATCGTATAACTATAAACATAATAGAAAATACTTATACGAAAATTCAAGAATTAATTTGATAATATATAACTATACCACATTATGTAACTTTTACTTATATTGAGCTCGTACTCGTAAGTGACGTGAGGACTCTGGTTAAAAATAAAAACTGAAAGCGATTTATTATACACACCTGCTGCGGGCGCTTAATTTTAGTTCATTTTAAAAGCTTAACATGGGTTACGGCAGTTTTTTCTCATTTTTCAATGAGCTGTCTGTTGAGTAGTCAATCAAAAAAAGCCTTAGTTAAAAATAGAATGGAATCTGATAAAAATAAATTTTGATAAGAGAGATCATATCAAATAAGTAGTCTTACTAAATCTAACAATAAACATGCTTAAAAAATATTATCCGATCAAAGTACTATTGATATAACAGCCGTGAAATTTTGAAACACGTTTGTCGATTTGTTCTAAAAGATTTGAAAGTTATTTTTCTAAATATTAGATATTCCAATATTGTCTAATTCGTCGTTATTTAATTTCCTGACATAACTATTAATTATTTAATGCCTCTAATTTTTGTAGTCCATATATATGTATGTATGTATGATATATTACTACATAATAGAAATCGATAAACTTACTTTATTTAAAAAATTGTGTTGAATTTAATTGTATTGACGACACGTTTGGCTCAGCTTGTAGTGACCCTACTTACTGTGCCAGCGGTCGCGGGTCGAGTCCCGCTAGGGGGCATTCATTTGTGTGATGAGCACGAATGTTTGTACTCCAGTCATGGGTGTTTATATTTATAATATGTATGTATTTAAAGTTATTATATATGTGTAGTGTATCAACTATCTGGTATCCATAACACAAGCCTCGTAGCTTACCATGGAACTAGATGGTGCTGTGTGTTATATATGTATGTACTAACATATTTCTTATGTTTCTTTCTTATTTCTTATTACTTACTAATTAAGTACTATACAATTTGAAGAGTGTTTGATGTAAGTATGTATAGGTACTGTACAGGGAGCATTACAAGAGCACTGTATCATAGATGTCAATGAAACGTTTCAGTATGCTGTATGTACGTACAGTTATCTATTGGTACTTAAAGTGACCGTTTGTATAAAACATGTAGGTATGAGTATTTAATCCGGAGTGTGGATGGCTTTCAGTTGTCATGAAACCGCGGATAACATAAAAGCAGAAACCAAAATTTGTAGCTTTATTTGTGAAACTAATATTTATATTATAACAGACTTCAAGGGCTTACGTTTGCCAACCTCTGAGCGATCTTCGTCCAGTTGTTGCAAGGAAATTATAAAAACCGTAAATTTATAATTTCACTAGTGAAATCATGTATAATTACCCGAAGTATTGTCCATAGTCTCTTTTTCTTACAATATCATGAGATATTTTTAGGTACCTATGTATATTATAATTTCCCTAAGCACATTCAGTGAAATTATAATTACCCTAGTTATGGTCCAGGAAATATTTACAGCATAACTAGCTCTATATTCATGTATATTACGCTACTCGACATACCTACTAAAACTTAAAAAAATCGACTTCAAAACACTAAAAAGTAAAAAGTAACTAAATGAGAGTTTTCATTAACTATAGATACCTAACCAGATATTTTCAAAGTCGGTGCCAGTTCATCTGGCCTGACACCTTTCAAACAAAAAACAATTTCCAAATTGGTCCAGGCGTCTTCGAATAATCGGGGAACATACATAAAAAATAAAAGATTCCGTCTAATTAAGAACATCCTCCTTTTTTGAAGTGGGTTTAAAATAAAATAATTAGAGAGAAATAAAGACTTAATTTTATAAACTATTCAATATTAAACCCTTTTCATTGGGGTACAATCGTACTCGTTTTAGACAAATCAAATCAAATCAAAATATTTTATTCAGCATTAAATTATTACAATTTTTTACTGAACGTCATAAGTCTACTACCAGTTCGAAAAGAAGAAGCCTCAGACCTGAGAAGAACTGACGAAAGAAACTCAGCGGGACTAATATTATTTCATTATCTTTTTTTTATAAAGTTAAATTATAATTTACAATATTTCTATCAAGTTGAAGTAGCCTGGAGGTGATCATTTCATTCCCAAGGTGTGCCATCTTCTATAAAATCATTTATTGTATAATAGCCTTTAGCACACAAACGTTCTTTAAATTTTTTTTTGAATTTGGCGATAGAAGCCTTTTGAACATTTTCTGGTATCCGGTTGTACAAGCGTATACATTGTCCATTAAAAGAATTACTAACTCTGCGTAGACGAGTCACAGGCATTACAAGTTTGTGTTTGCTCCTAGTATTAATGTTATGCATGTCACACTTCTTGGGAAATTCGTGTATATTTTTACGGGCATACGTAACATTTTCGTACACGTACTGAGAAGCAAAAAGACATTATATAGAAAATTCAATTTTAATTCAAACCGTTACCGACTTCTTAGGATAAATTTATATACAAATGTTTCAGAATCTTCAGAAAAAAACGAATCCAGTGAAGTTAGTATAGGTGACGATACGAAAGAAGAAACTTCAGCAGAAGCGACAGGGACAGATGACAGCAAAGAAGATACAGATAGCAAAGAAGTAGAGGTAGATGTGCCATCAGTAGAAGTTGCCGATGAACCCTATGTGTCCCAAGTATCTTATGAAGAAGGGGCTGAAAGCCCTGCTGATGAAGAGTCTAAAGAAAATGCTACTGAAGAAGAAAGTGAAGATAGTGCAGAGGCACAGGCAGATGAAAGTAAAGAAGACGAAGTAGGAGACAGCAAAGAACAAGCATCTGCTGAAGAACAAGAAACCGAAAATGGTAAATCAATATTTTTTGTAATACTATTTTTTACAAGCTTTTATTATTTTCACCTGTCCGGGTTTATGTAATGGAATCTTGCTAGTGAAATTTGACCCATTTCCCTGAGTGTCTGATTAAGCTAAACTTTGGCACACTAGTTTAGTTCTCGATACAATGCACGATTATTAAATGTCGCCATTTTTAATCCAATAAGGCATGGAAGTTACAAAATGGCATTTTATCATTTCCATAATGACGCTTATGATATAGGCATTAAATGAAATGGGTTGATGTGCAAAACACAATAAGCAACGTGACATTTTAAATCAAATATTGCGGCCGACGTTAAATGGCGATTTACAATTTCCAAATTAACTCCAACGATATGGGGTAACAAATGAAAGGGCTTGATAATCGAAATACGATGAGTAATGTGATGTTATTATTAATCCAATATGGCGGACGTCGCAAAATGGCGATTTATCTTTACAAAATTTTATTCAGTTTCACTTGTCCAGGTGTCTGTCTGTTTGTCTGTAATCAAATCTTGTGAGTTAAATTTGACTAATCGTCATTCTAAGTCCAATATAGCAGGCTCTTAGAGATGTTTTTTATATACCCCCATGATATGGATATCAAATGAAAGGGTTTGCTAAAATATATAATTTGCTGAGAAGAATACGAATAAAATAAAATCTAATAAGTAATAACTTCAAAATATAAATTAAAAGTAAAAAAAACATGTTTGGAAACAAGCTTACATTTAAAGGTCCTAAAAAGAACAAAATATACATACTTTAAATCAAATCAAACCCAACAATTTATTTCATTACACAATTTATATTATATAACAGCTTGTCGGGAGATTTACCTGTGTACATAAAGAGGGTTATAATATTTACAATAGGTAAATCTCACGAAAAAATTGTATATCATATAAATAGTATAATGTAATAAATTGTTGGGTTTGATTTAATTTTAAGTTTATTTTCTTTTTTTTTAGAGTATTTAAATAAAAGCTTGGTATTAAAAATGTTTTTGACTCTTTAAAATAAAGTCAGTATTACTTTCTAAAATAAAATGCCCTATTATTTTAAAGATTACATAGATCTTCTTTTTTTTAAGTTTTGCTATTTTTTATAGAAAGTGGCGAAGTAGCAGGCGCGGCTGATAGCCAAGAAGATTCCGAAGGTAGCAAGGCAGATATTCCAGACAGCAAAGAAGATGATGCTAGTAAAGAGGAAGCAGAGGAAAAGCAAGAATCCAATGAAGATGCTGATGCAGCCGAGAGAGAAGGTGAAGGTGAAGAATCCGATGAACAAGACGAAAATGTAAGTCAAGAAGCACCCGAGGGTGAAGATAAATCGGAGGAGTCTCCTGATGCATCTAAAGAAGTTGATGAAGCCAAAGATGTTGAAGGTGAAAGCGACGAAGACAAAGTTGAAGACGATAGATCTCAAGAAAAGGCTGAATCTGAAGAAGGTAAAGAGGGAAGTGAACAAGGTTCTGACTCCCAAGAAGAAAAAGACGCAGAAGAATCTAAGGAAGAACCAGAAGAAGGAAAATTAGATGACAAATCAGAAGAAGAGACAGAAAAATCAACTGAAGCCGACGAATCTGCTGAAGCTATTGAAAAAGAAAAGTCTGATGAAGGTGTAGCAGAAGAATCGGTCGAAGAAGAACAAGCCGATCAAGCTGATGACCAAAGTAAAGAAGAAGGGGCAGAAAAATCTAAAGAAACTGAAGAAGCCGCTTCAGATGAAGAAGCTGCTGAAGAAGAAGGTGCACCTGAAGAAGATTTATTACTCGTAAGTTCACAATTTTGTAATTACTTTTTATTTACATACACATTTACAGAAATTAAATAATTTAATTATTCTATAGAAATTATAAAAATATACCTCGACTTTTATATGGTTTGCTTTGAGATATATTTTTAAGTTCTTGTATTCTAATTTTCCAGACTATAGAAATACCGGAAAATCTGAGATCACGTGACCATATCATTCAGATATTGCGATTGGATGAAGAAGCAAGTGAATCTGAACTGATTATAGAAAAATCAGCTGATATTGTCCTAAGAGATTTAAAACGGTTGTACGAGAATTCTATTAAGCCATTAGAAGGCCTATACAAATATAGGGACTTAAGCAATAGGCATTTTGGTGATCCAGAAATATTCTCTAAACCTTTAGTGCTTTTTATGGGCCCTTGGAGTGGAGGAAAATCTTCAATATTGAATTATTTGACAGGAATTGAGTTTTCCGAATGGTCTCTAAGAACAGGTATGATTTTACTATATGTATGTTTAGCTAATAGCTAATACCGTCAGCAAATTATCTGTGAATTATTATATTTATATATTACAGATTTTTCATATAATAATTAATTTAGTTGTACCCTAAAGTTCAGGCGTTCTAATTATTCATTCAGTTTTTGATGGTCATATTTTTGAATGATAATCGCGATACTCAATTTGCGTTATTTACGTTCAAAAAATATGAATGTTCAAAAATAATGAAGGTTTTTATTAGGTGCTGAGCCTTCTCCCGCATACTTCAACATCCTAATGCACGGCAAAGAACCAGAAGTACTCGACGGTACCCAGCTAGCGGCTGATTGGACTTTCTCAGGACTTCAGAAATTTGGACAAGGCCTTGAAGAGCGTCTGAGAGGACTTAAATATCCCAGCAAATTATTGGAAAAGGTAAATTAAAATATGTAAAAGTTCATATATTTTCTGAAGAGCCGACAAAACAATAAAATTAAGTTTGACAGTAAAACGACCAATTACAAGTTGATGTATATTTTTTATTTCTCTTGGAAAAATGATGAGTTAAAGTACAAATAGTATGTCTCGTGTTCGAGAAGACGAACTATTTGTACTTTAACTTTCGTAAAGTGTTGACAAAATCTATAGACTAATAAAATAGATTACCTATATGTTAATGAGTAATTTTAGGTGAACATAGTAGAAATCCCCGGAATACTGGAAGTGCGGAAGCAAGTATCACGCGTTTTCCCATTCAATGACGCTTGTCAATGGTTCATTGATCGCGCAGACATCATATTCCTCGTCTACGATCCTTCAAAACTTGACGTCGGACCTGAAACGGAAGCTATCTTAGATCAGCTGAAAGGAAGAGAATCACAGGTGATATATACGAATATAATAATAAAAGTTAAATGCTGTTCGTTTGTAAGCGCATAACTTGAAAATGGCTAGACAGATTTGGCTAATATGTTTTTGATATTCGATTTTTTTATTCGGTTGGTTTTATTATGTCTGTCAGCCAGCTAGTATAAAATAAGAATAATTGTAAATACTATATCGAAAAAACACAAAAATTGTTCTTAAAATTTTGAATAAATAAACCTAACGAATGAATCATTATACATCTAAAACATTTGAAATTAGCAAATCAATATGAAAAAAGTACCTATTCTAATAAAATTCACTCCACCAGACGCGTATCGTACTAAACAAAGCGGACACGGTAAAGCCTGAAGAGTTGATGAGAGTACAGAGTGCGCTGATCTGGAATATATCTCCCCTGATGAGCTCGGCACAGCCTCCAGTGATGTATACTGTGTCGCTGTGGTCTCTGCCGCTAGAGGCGGGGGCTCCCGCGCGGCTCCTACAGGCTCAGGAGCGCGAGCTACTTCGCGACTTACGCCAGGCTATCGACAAACGTATAGAGAATAAGATTGCAAGCGCACGACGATTTGCGGTGAGTCATTCTGCTACAATGTTAGTATGATTATTATAGCAAACAGTGTTAAAATTACTTGCAATATCAGTATTAGTATTGGACACAGGTCAACTATCCACATATGAAATTACTTGTTACTGTGTCCATATTTCATAAGACCAAAATGTTTGAGTCATTGGACATTCTCTTTCTTTTGTAGATTTCCATATAAACTCTCTCTTCTTATTAAAGGTGCGAGTGAGGAACCACGCTAAGATGGTCGACTGTTATCTAACTACGTACTACAACCACAAAACTATCTTCGGCAACAGAAAGCTCATCGCCGACGCTATTATTGAGAACCCTCAGAACTATCACATCTATGAGGGTCTTAGTACACTTACCAACATTTCAAGGTTTGTACATATTCAATCAGTCACATTAAAAATAAAATTATTATAAATAATAAATATTTCTAAACTATTATTGTACAAGTAATATTTTTAAGATCCAATGAACTGATTCAAATAAAACTTTCTGTCCCATGAATCTAATGGATTAAATGATACTAGTAATAATAATCGTTGTTTTTATGTAGTAAAACTATGATTTCTCTTCTACGTCAGCATATAATACGTATACCTATGCTCGCCTTCCCAACAGGTATGACCTGCCCGATCCTGAGACGTATCGAGACTTCTTCCGGCTGAATCCCTTGTACGAGTTCCAGCAGTTGTCTACGACGTGCACATACTTCCGCGGCTGCCCCATCACGCGGCTCGACGTCGCCATCGCGTACGACCTGCCCGAGCTCGTCGGGAAGTACAAGAAGATGGTAGAAACTGCCACCCCCCAGGGAATGCCCAAGAGTTGAAACACAGCCCTGCCATTTATAACATAACACCTGCTTTTTTATTTTAGCGAATTGGTTTAGGATTATTTTGGGCACATTATGCATTTCTTTTTCTAATTGGGCGTCGTAACGTTTTATAAAAAACGCATTTTCTATTCATTCGTTTAATCGTATGTTTATTTTGCTTAAATACTCGCTTGTTCCTGTTTTGACGTGAATGATGTCGTGTCGAAAGATATCTTTTAAGGCGATTTTCCTCTTGCGTTTTTAGTGAATGTAGAAAAATTAAGACACTTCCAACCTCCTCATTAACCATTTTTTTACAAAGAAAAAAAAATAATCTAGTCATTATGTTAAAGTTTGTTAGCGAAAAGTTGTTACTATAATTTATTTATTTATTGAGGTGCGTTCCTAGTGCACTAGGACTAAGTACTTAATATAATTTAACGCGGTCTCAACCTTATTACAATTTTGTTAGTGTGAGACACCACGTGAATATTTAAAATAAAAAATAAAATGATATTGATGTTTCATTTCATTTTTTACCTTTTAAAAAAAAAAAAGGATGCATTCTTCCCATCTGATACCGATCATCAACCATAGCGATGGTTTTCCGATATTTCGGAATCTGCTATATTAACTGTTGGCCGATTGTCGGTGATCCATCGTGTAAACGCGCCATGTCCGCGCTTAGGTCGTTTATATAAACGCTGCACAATTTATCTATTCTCGGGGAATTTTATAATTTTATTCTACTTGTTGTATGTATTCAGGCCTTATGTTTACGACCCACGGGCACGGGCCTCCCTTCAATACAAGGGGGATCAGGCCATAGTCCACCACGTTGGCCAAGTGCGAGTTAGCGGGTTTTCGGGGGCGAAAAATCGACCTATATTAGTCTTATGTCAGGAAAAACGCGTGTTTTCGAGTTTTCATGCGGTTTTCTTTCGCATTATTCCATGCAAAATATGGTCGCTAATTTCGGATGCTTGGGCATATGCATCGTGGTCTAGCGGCCAAGGCGCAAGATTGACAATAACAGGTGGTGTTCGAATCCCGGTCTGATACTAAGTTTTTATTTTGTTTTTTTTTTTTTGTATTTATTCGAGTTTTTAGTTAAAAAAAAAGAAAATTATTAAATAAAATAGTTTAAAAAAAAATACAAAATATTCGTTTATGTAAACGAATCAAGCTTCTCTTTATTTCACGTGGAACAGAGAGAAACTTGATTTTTTGCCTATTATTACTATGAATTATCGTTTTTTTATTATAAATAATAACTCAGACCAGATTTCGTAGTATTTTCAAAACAGTAAACATGTTACAAAGAAAATAAAAAAAATAAACATCTAATACAAAACTGCGTCTTGAATAAAGATCTGAGTAAGCTGTGTGAGATTATTAGAATAAGAACGGAAAAACCGAACGATCCCGAAATCTGAAATCATCCAAAATGCAGCGCTCGCATACATTTTTGCTATTATTTTGTAATACGCCGCACACGAACGGAAATTTTTGTTCAGAATAGGGATGTCGGCAGTGAAAAAAAATATCGATATATCAATGGTATCGATATTTATTAACACGTTCCGGGACACTTAAATTTTTTTTAGTCTCACGATATGACATTCAAAATTTCCATACATTCGAACATATCGTCCATTGCCGTATTGCCAATTTACATTATTTTTTAGTTTTGCGATAAGGCAATTACGGTCATAGACGTTAACGCCTATAGGCGGACCGTCATATTATGAATAGTTATGTACAATGTACTATGACAGTTCGGCTAGGGACGGTGCCGCCAAAAGACGATGTGTCATATCATATAGATCTGAAAAGGTGTATTAGTGTGTAAACTTCTAAAAAAACCTACAAATTTAATACTTATAAGTTTATTGATCACAGTATGTTTTTCTAAATTCTTAAACAATATGTACCTCAAATTCTTTTTTAGTCTTATTTAGTATAAAGTAAAGAAATATATTTGAAAACAGGAGAAACTATTTGTGTGTGTTAGAACTAAGAGTTAAGTGCCATTTTTCGAAGCATTATATGTATATCATCAAGTTTCGTAAGACTTCTTATCAACCTGTCTCTGTTCTCTACATATCCGTATTTCTTGTCACTATTCTTTATTCATTTTTTGAATAAAAAGAAAGAGTTCCATGGCGCAACATCTAACATGTGAAGGAGTACTTTTTTGTACCATCTTATTCTTTTTCTCGGACACGAATAGTAAGAGATCATTTGATCGGCACGATCAATTCGTGGAGATGTAGAGGAGAGATTTGGGTATATCTGTTCGGTTCGATGGTGAAGATAAGATGATTCATAGGCATGGGAATGTAGGCGAGGTTCCTGAGAGCCCATTACATCCTTTTTCTTATTCTTTATTCTTCACGGTATACTATCACAGCTTGGTCATCGCAAGACTTTTCACCTATTTCCTCTTCTGTTACCGGGTTGTCATCATTCAAACTAGAATCATCCAACCGGCTTGGACGACATCTGCAAAATATAATACGTAAATACTTATAATACAAACAGTTAGTAGGTAGCTAAAATAGCAGGTAAATATCATTCGAATAAAGTCTTTTATTGTCACTTCTATAACATATTTCTATCCCTATCTAAATAAAAACAACACTATAGGACAACACAACACATTTTCCATCAGATTTATATCATATTATAGTATAAATAAACTTTATTTACCTTGCATTTGTTGACAAAAATCACTAAACACGTACAACATAGCAAAGATTAACTGGCAGTGCGCGCGCTGTGACACTGAATTCCGAAATCACTGTACTTGTATGACTGAGTTTACGCCTCTCGACGGTGTACCTGTATTTGTTGGGTGTGAAACCACTGCGTATATGCGTGTGGAAAAAGTACTCGAATAGAGTTTACCGTGACAGCTATCACCGAACGGAGGCATGTGATATGACACTAGATCACGTGCTTCCTAGTAATGATAGGGATAACCAACGGCCATCGACGCTTTGTCAGATATAATAAAATAAAAGTAGCCGCCCATAGCCGTACTGTCACATAACACGATGCCAATTTAACGTCGAGAGGCGGTCTGTCCCGGAAAGTGTTAAAATATCAGTATCGACCTCAATATCCCAAGGAAAAATATCGATATATCGGTCAAATTTTCAGAGAATTTTGGTTTTAAAATAATTATGTATTTAGTTCAGTCTGGCTTAATAAAAGATAATACTATTTTTTATATAAAATTCACATTATTTTATTACATGAGAATCTTAATTACAAAACAAAACGCATACACACACACACTCATCCACGCGACAAATACAAATTCAAAATATTTTATTCAATATTTTTTTACTGAACATGAGTCTACTACCAGTTCGGAAAGAAGCCTCAGACCTGAGAAAAACTGACGAAAAAAACTCAGCGGGACTAACGTTATCTTTTTTATAAAGTGAAATTATAATTTACAATATTTCTGTCAAGTTACTTCAACTTACTTACAGCCTGGAAGCGATCACTTCATTCCCAAGGTGTGCCATCTTCTATAAAATAGTTTATTGTATAATAGCCTTTAGCACACAAACGTTCTTTAACATATTTTTTATAATTTGGCGATGGAAGCAATTTGATCATTTTCTGGGATCCTGTACAGGCGTATACATTGTCATAATAGGCATAATTTTACTGTGTTTCATTAGATCAAACAAAACATAGTAACTAGTCGTAAACAATACGGTATTTTTTTCCTTTTATTTCTATCTTTTATTGCTTTGAATTCTGTTCAATATTCCGCTAATAAATTAAATTTGAATTGAATTTTCGATGTTGAATATTTTGTATCGATTCATCGATGAATCGATATTTTTTCAACAAGCTTCTACCTACCGGCAGTGTAAAATTCCTAATACAAAAAATCGAACGTCTGCGGTAGTCTTACGGGATACCGAACTATGAGTCCTGTTTAGGAAACCGAATCAAAGACCGTACATATGTGGCTAGCCTAACGGGTGTTGCATGTCATGAAGCGCGGGGTACTATTGGTTTTAACTTTTGAGTTTATACCATATCTCTTTACAGTCTGTCCCTGTTTTCCAATTACAAAGCATAATGCCACACTGACGCACAATGCCGAATTATGCTAATATGTACGTAATTGGAACTTGAATTAGTTTTCAAATGCACCAACATAGGGCACTAGCTTCAGTGTTGAAAGAAAAAACCTAATAAATATATAATATAATTATATATATAACTAATAAATATAGAATAATATTAAAATTAAAGGAAAACAGGGAGAATTTAGAAGGCATCGATTCGATTTAAAATTTTGATTGTTGGTAGGTTATACACCCGTAATTATAGCATTAAAGCGCATTATGGGGCATAATGCTAGCTTGAGTGTTTCTACTACAGCAGTGCTCCGCACAATCGAGCATTTTGAAAAGTACTGCTTTGGCATGATACGCGCAAGGATACCAACACAGTAGCAGAAAATATAAGAAGTATTTTGTCTTCACGGTGGCATTGATCAAAATTTTATTTACGTTATCGTTAGTAATATTTGTTTTACGTTTATATTTTATAATATTTTATAGAGGTAAAGTTTGTGAGTTTGTGACGTTGTAGTGGTAATCTCTGGATCTACTGAACCGATTTAGATGAAATTTGGTAAGAAGATAGTTTGAGACCCTGGAAAGGACATAGTATAATTTTTTATCCCGGAAATCATCCCTTAAGGGGGTGAAAAAAGTTTGTATTGGGAAGCTAGCTAGGGATGAACCCGAGCGAAACTAGGGTGAGTCGCTAGTTTATTATATAATTTATAATATCGACGATATGTACTATTATTTAGTATATACATATAAGTTAGGTTTTTTTTCAACACTGAACCTAATGCCCACTACTAGTGCACATGAAACTAATTTACGTTCCAATTAAGCATTAGCACATTTCGAAATTGTGCGCGAAAGTACGGTATTACGCTTTGTAATTGGAAAACAATGTCTACTTAATCTGTGCTCTGATAACATAGAATGGATAATTGACATATAATAAAATCTGTTATAGTCTGTGTTGATGCTGATGCCTGATTGCTGTATCTAGCCGCTGATTATTCAATGGATTTTGTCTTTTACTTTATATAAGTTTTTATTCTAGTAATAATACTTAATAGTGAATTTATATTAAAATACGTAATATGCACACAGATTTATCCCCTCACTTACATACGGATGAGTGTAATGTCTTTATAAAATTACTACAGGATTGTCACGTAAACGTAAGTACCTACAATAAAATATCATATGATAATTTTTTCAACAATTTACAAGTTAATCAGATTAACTATATAATGCTCATATTTTAGCATCCTTACAGAAAGTTTATTGGGTACTGTAATGACTATGATCGAGATATGAGAAAATGTTTGAAGGCTGAACGACTTCGACGACAAAAAGCCAATAATGAGGAAGCTATAAAGAAGCACGCAGCAATTCGGGCCCTAATATATGCTCAGCAGCAAGCTTAAGAAAATTAACTGTATAATTAAAATAATATTTTGACACAATGGAGTACAACATTCTGGATTCTATAAACCTTAATGATGAGTCTATTTATAAATCTTTCACAGATAGATATTTCAGCAAGAGATACATATTAAATGCTAATGGCATAGAACATAATGATATTATGTTACTGTTTCATTCAAACAGAATAACCTTACTTTGTTTGGCCCCAAGTCATTTTTTCTTCAAAAAGGATGATAAGTACAGCTTAAACTTTACTATAGGAAAAGTGGATAGATTAAGTAACACTGTAAAAGGTAAAGGTAAAAAGGGTGGTCAGTTTTTGACTCCACAATCATCACTATGCAAAGTAGAATGGAGTGATGGGACTGAATTTAAAATACCTTGTGGTATGAGAGGTACTCTTATAGAAGTGAATGAAAATTTGGTACATAACCCAGAACTATTAAGAGAACAACCTGATGCTGATGGATTTATTGCTATAATGTTGTCCAGTATTGCTATTTCAGAAGCCACCAAAAATGAACTGTTGACTCATGAGGAATATATAAAAACCATAAATTTTAGTTCTTAGTATGCAAATTATATTAAATAAATAGATTTAAAAATTACTTATTTTACTTGCCTACAAAGAATACATCCTTAATTTAAGTGTAAGTTAAGTATGTATATGAATCAATTTTAAATATTCTTTTTTAGCAGTTAGTAAGTAGCTTTACTTTTAATAATTGAAGAAATTTAAAACTTTGTAAACATGTAATATCTAGATAACACTCCAATAATTTTATTTTAATCTCGAGAGTTCTTAACTTTTAAAATTATTTTAATGGTGGTCTTCTGAATAAAAGTAATAATTTAAAGCACACTACATTTTTTTTACTAAAGCATATAATTTGCTATTTCAAAGCACGAAAGGATATCATCAAAATTTTAGGAAAATGGAAGGAAATGGTGTTTAATTACAGAGTAATTCTTTAGCTATCATGACATCATAATGCATCTATTAAAGATCAAGACATTATTTTAGAAAATTGTATTTAAACATACTTATTATAACTTAAGATTACATAACATATATTACTACTACTGTTAATGGTCAATTATAATTAATTCATCTATACTCCAATCTTCATAGGAATGATCTGGAAGGTATCTCCGGATAATAATAGGAATTTTTCTTTGTTTCAATTCTTTCATGGCAATCTGCAGTGGGTCAGTTTCTCCTTCTAATTCCACCATAACTGGTGCGCACATAGCAATTTGCAAAGCTCTTGTCCCTGAAAATACATTCCATTATTTAAAATACATAATAATTACAATAAAGCTTATTTATTACTAGTATTTGTTTAACAAGCACTACTTACTACATTGGAGACAATACAACTCTGTATTGAGCAAACATCCAATATCTAAATATTCTTTAGGTACATGCAAATTGACATAAGAGATCTTGATATAGAGAGAAATGAGGGGAAAATGTAGTCTTTTTATCCACTATGCAGGGAAAATAGTATAAAGGTGTTAAAATATAACAGGTCTGCAATAAAAAAGCTTTGTAATATTTTTTTCTTTATTTTATATTCAAACTTTTATTTAGCATATTATTTTTATATATATTTAAAAATTATACACTAAATAAAAGCTTGAAAAATAATTAAAAGTAGAATTATATTATGTATTTTTTGTTTTGCACTTTTTCATATTCAACGTTCAGACTCAATGCCAATCTATATCTGGTAAATTTGGTGTGGTGTATATCATACAAATAATATTTTATATTACTTTAAACACAATTACAACAAAATTACAGTGAAACTAGAAAGAAACTTGAAATTAAATTCGTAGTACTGTGTATAAATTAGTGTAAAATGAAGCTGACATAACCTATAATGGTTCATTATATTATTAATTACCTAATACTCTTGCCCTTTCGTATTTAGTCATATAACGTGTAGTAATTCGCTTCGATTTTTCAACACCTCCTCCAGCCTGTCCCGGCGCCAAGCATTGCGTATTGTATCCGTCTTCTTCCTGTTCCTCTACCTCCTCAATATTGTTGTCTTCTTCAACTATATCATCATAGTCACCCCCGGCATCTTCTCCATCATACTCTTCGTCTGCCATTAGTTGCTAATTATTTTATCTTACTATGAATGTTTTTGTTATTATAAATTTACTTAAGATGGTAAACTCGCTAGAGTAATTGTATTCCTGTGATGGTAAAGCTGTTTGACTTTGCAAGTAACTAAAGTTACAAGACCATCACATTCACCAATCACCACAGAGTACATTACCATGGCCCATGCCACCATGGATGACAAATAAAAATACATTGCCTTCAGCTTTAGCCATAGAGTATATTTTTTATATGTAGCAATATACTCTAAGGAGTATATTGCTACATATCAAAAAAACTCTAAGGAGTATATTGCTACCACAGACAACACAATCTAGTATTGTCTGTGATTGCTACAATGGATGACAAATAAAAATTACTATACTCGGAATTTTAATTCGATTCCAGATTTGACAATTTCAGTGTTGCAACGTTATGACAAGTACTAAATAGTGACGTTGCGAAATTATTCGATACAGAAATGCAATATTTTCGGATCGATTCCTCTCGTTTATAGTAGTATATCTAAACAACTACTACTTTAATAGAAACTTAGTATATCAGGAAATTAAATATTTCTGAACGGATAATTTAGTTATGACGATTAATTTTATTAAGGATCTGAGAGTTTTCTTTAATAATTGTATGTGAAATAAATAAATAAATGTGATCATGAAGGAACATGAGAAATAAAACAAATAGATGTATTATGGTAATATTTTATTTTATAAATCGTCGCCATCATCGCTATCGCTATCTGTAACGTTTATTATAAATGTGTCTGTGATATTGTTAATTAACATATCTAGCCTACTCATTTTTTCCTCTTCTTTGACAACATGGGATACGCATTTAGACCATTCAGTAGCCGTAATTTTTTGAATGCCTTCATCAAATAAATTTCTCACGTCTGTCAATTTGAAGGTTTTATTATGTTATTATACTTGTAGGCGTTGCGGATCATTACTTTTTCAGTAACAGTGAAAGCTTTTCGTGGACGTTTTTTTCTTGGGGACAAGAAAACATCCACGTCTTTTTGTGATGTACTTAGCTGAGGATCCATTTTGATGGAAAACCAAAACAAATAGATTCACTCAAAGTTCACAAAAAACTATAAACATAACAACAAACACAATATAGCAAAAACCCAACAAAATAACAAAATATCGATTCGCAATGAAACTAGATATTCGTGCAGTCAGACTGGGAGAATGAAGCCGACTGCCGAATGACAAGATAAACAAAATGGCGATCGATAGCTGCACGAGCGCGCACGGGCTGCCAATACAGAAAACTATCTATCTAGACTCTTTTATTATAAGTTTTGTTTTTAATATAAAAAACAAAAATATTAACTTTTTATAAAATAAAGCAGTGGTTACTAATTAATAAATAATTGTTATAAAAAATTATGTATTTCTTTAAATAACTATCAATAATTTAGTCTTTAATTGGCACACCAATATTATGATTACATAAACATAAATCGCGATTGTTTATCGATTTTTGTGTTCATCACTACACTATTATATGTGGTATCATTATTTTACAAAATGACAGTAGCTAATGTCAAATGTGGAATCGAATTATAATTCCGAGTATAGGTACATATAAAAAGCTTAGCGTTCGCACTTTTATTTCGTACTTTTTAGTCTCCCTAATGATTAATCTGTGGTTTGTACTTTGCGACCATAGAGATCTCTATCAATTTTTATTTGTCATCCACGCTTTTATAAAATAATGGAGCCGACAATATTTTAAAATATGAATATCTAATAGATAAATATGTGTTTTACGTATCGAAATATATTAGATTTGCTTTCCATCGGCTGGCACCAACTTCGAAAATATCTCATTAGGTATCTATTCTAAATGAAAACCCCCGCTTAGTTATTTTTTACATTTTAGTGCCTGGAAGTCGATTTTTTTTTAAGTTTTTATGATCAGTATTCAAAGACCGACACTAGCCCGGATCGTGACAAACTCACGCGAGATAAGCCAAACACCTCGCTTACACACTTGTGTTTATGGACGCTTGTCGAGTTTTGCCAACCGTGTAAATGTAGCGTTACAATACTACGCTATGGACAGGTCAATTTTTACAACTAATTCACTACAGCGGTATTAGAAACTATACCAAAACAATTAAATAATTTTATTTTCCATATAGTTTAAATTAAACATATAGTTTTTACTTAGCCTTAATAATTTATATTCTAATGTAGACTAAATTGTAGTACAAAGTTTAACCTGCTATCCTAATAATAATATCCTAAAAATAATATTGAACGCAACTTATTCTACTGTATTTATTGATGCTCTATGTTGTTTGTGGTACATTAATAGTATTTCCTTTTCCGGTTCTGCATCGAAGCTGAAACCATGCCGGTGAATATTATTAAATATTTGGCATCGATAGAATGGTTATGTGGTTAAATTGTGTGATAGTTTTGTTTCTAATAATGAGTTATATTTACTAATATGGAAGTTTTTTAAAATTGATTGCCTTTCCCCGTTCAAAACAAGATAAACACATGGCACTCTCTGACGTCTTGCTTGTCTGACACAGAACTATAACTTCCTATGGTTTTTACAAATGAAATCACTGTGCTCGTTAATAATATTCGGAGATTTTACAATGTGCAACTATGCGGATCATGCCATATATAAGTTTTTTTGGTATTGTGGAGACGTAAAACTAACCTAAACTTGGTGCATTTCAGCTCGCAGTAGATTTATTGCACCCTACGCCTGCATCTGAAAAGAGGAAGCACAAGCTCAAGAGGCTAGTGCCACATCCAAACTCTTATTTTATGGATGTAAAATGCCCAGGATGTTACAAAATCACAACGGTATTCAGTCACGCGCAAAGAGTTGTAGTATGTGCAGGATGCTCCACAATTCTTTGCCAACCCACTGGTGGTCGTGCCAGATTAACTGAAGGTATATTCATTTCCTTAATTTTCTTTAAGTGATGCCTTGATGTTTTATTTAACTATACCATTGTAGTACCAAAGCATGCTCAACAAGCATGGAATAAAAAAGATTGTCATGACAATCTAGGGTTTGCCTTATTATGCTTAGTGGTGCAATAGGAATTTTATATTTTCATAATATCATATCATAAATTTAATTATTTCAATATGAAACATCTTCACCAATTTCATACTAAATTAACCTAATAAACTTTATACAACATATTAGACTATTAATAACAATACAATGCATAATGTTGTGAAAGATTGTGAATATTGTATTAATAGCAATATTGTGCAACTGTATCTACCTGATTGGTTGTTAAGTTATAACATGTTTTTATTCAAAAGAAGTGCATTTCTTAAGTGAATTGAATGAATATAATTTAACCACCTTTTTTATTTCAAATTATTTGTGGTTTTGTCGGGAGCATTTCTCTAAAATCATGGCTACTTATCATAATATTAAATATTACATAGATCGGCACAAACAATATTTACAAATCTAAGCTAAAAAAAGAAGTATAATTACTAACAAAAAGCCATGATAAAAGTTAGATATTAACATTAGAATACATATTTTATTGTTGCTTTACTGTTTTGAAATGTGGTATGAACTTCTTTAAAATTTTCAGTAAAATGTGTTATATACAATGTAAATTATTACTAATGAAACTCAAAAGTACTGAGCATTTTTCTTTAATATAAGTTTTTCTTATATTAAATGTTGACATTATAGTCAAGTTCAATTAACATCATTTTTATATTTATACTAACATTACCCGTGGCTCCGCCCGCATTCAAATGACTAAAAACCAAATTCTTAGGTTTAACATATTAGTATACTCTTACAATGCAGTTTTTCTATTTTTCTCAGACATTAGATATTTTCCCGTGGTTAAAAGTATCCTATATGTTGACCCGGATAACCAGCTATCACCATACCAAATTTCATTAACATCCCTCCAGTGGTTTTTCTGTGATGCGGTGACAGACAGACAGACAGACCAAATTTCAAAAAACTATACATTCGGCCTCTGTATAGATGTTATTGTTTGTTTCAATAAGATTTTCCAAAAAATAATTAATGTACAGATTCGGCTTAGTTACAATTTTATTATATGTATAGATGTTTTATAAATATGTAATTAGGTTATTCTAAATACTGTATGTAGTCTGTTAACTTTGCCTAATTTTGCTATGCCAGTATTTTGCTTTAGATTTCATCTATGTTTTGAGATGTGGTGGGATCATCTTCATTAAATAATAAGATTTTTTCTATTATTTTAACAACATCAAAATTAGTATTTAGTATAAAGAAAGTAATAGGGAATATGTGTGATGTTTATTTTTTTTATTTTTTTATACCATAGCTATCATTGTCACATAATTGTAAAAAAAATATTCAGCTCCATAAAACCAAAATTTAGTGTAGTATTCCGATACTTAGCGTGACGTCAAGGTATCATACATAGAAAAATAACGACTAAATAGCGAATCGCTCGGTTATGATTATACTTTGATGTCATATTCGGTCTGACTGATAGCGTGCGTTTCAACTACCTACTTTGAATTTTCCACATATATTTGCATTTTTTATAATTATTTTCTTAATCAAACAGAAATTTATTAAAAATTATTGATACAGACTTAATTCAAAAGCAATAAAGATTATAAAAAAATATTTCATTTTTATTTAAATCACACTCATATTCCCCATTGTAGGGTAATTATTAAGTGTGAAAAACGAAAGGGAGAGGAAGATAATGAGTCTTTCTTATTATTAGTTCTGGATATAAAAGTCACACAATAATTACTTTTGCAAAATATTTCCACATTATAGTAATTGTCAATTTCTTTTCAGGATGTTCATTTAGAAGAAAACAACATTAAACCTACCTGAAGAGAGAGCCCTAATTTAAGATTGCATTTTATTTTTAAATTTCTCAATGAGTGATATTTTTCTTATTCATTGGATTTGTTAAAGCATTACAAATAAAGGCTTTTTCAAAGGTGTTGTATCTTTTATTCAGAAAATAATTTATTTAATTAAAAAATTTATAACTATTATATATATACATTTAAAAAATTAATAATGAACACATCTTGTGCATGTAATATATTATTTAACATTATTATAATAATGTATTTTTTTAAATATCACAATATGCAATTCCCTGCTTCTTGTAGTACTTACCGTATATTTTTATAACATTTTATACCTTTACATATTATGTAGAGGTAAAATAAATAACACCTATAATAAATAGACTTGTGTACAATATAATTAAGCAACTTTAGTATTATCTGAGAAATCAAAATGATAATATAACAAAAATAAAAGATTTTCTACAATTTCAAACAGTTCACTGGTCAGTAAAAAAGTTTTTTTTTACATTTTTTGACTCTTCTAAATCAAGTGCTTTAGCGGCGTTATGTATATCTTGTTTGATGGCTTCAATTAAGTCGTCTAAGGAATTAAAATTCTTTTCAGATCTCAAATATCCAACTATGCAAATTTTTAGTAAAGATCCATAAAAATCTCCTTTGAAATCATGCATAACATGTGTTTCCTGAAATAAGAAAAAAAATATAAATAAATAAAAATTATGTTTGTATGTTAATCATATATATATATATATTCCTAAACCATTGATGTGATGGTGATGAAACTAATAGGTTAGAATAGTATACGCTGGTATCTTTAACAATGCTCTATATAACCTTTTTCAAAATAAATATGTTTGGGACATTACACACTGCACTGTCTAGTTCCATGGTAAGCTACGAGGCCTGTGATATGTATACCAGATACTTGATACACTACACATATTATATAACTTTAAATACAATAAATATAAACACCGATGACTAGAGAACAAATATTCGTCATCACAGAAATGAATGCCCCCAGCGGAACTCGAACCGGCGACCGTTGGCACAGCAAGTAGGGTCACTACAAACTGAGCCAAACGTGCTGTTTTTCAGATCGAACAAATCAACTTAAAGATTATAGGAATCAGAAATTCATTCAATGTAATTTCTTAGCATGAACGAATTAACCACTGGACCAGACATATAAGCGGACGTGCCTTTAACGGTCATGTCAGTAACCAGGGAATTTTAGCCTAGGTCGTTTGTTTTTTGTGTCAGTCTCAAGCACTTACTTGTCAACAAAACATCTCCCAAAAATGACTAAATGTTCTGTTAATTGGTGTAAAAACTATAACGGCGGAAGCAGCACTATTTCTTTTCACTTGTAAATACATTATTTTATTACATTTATTGTTATTTATCACAAAATTTAATTAAATGTAAAATAAAATGTCATATTATCCAACTATGTTAAATATAGTCGATATTTCTATGTATTGTTGACATCTGACAACCATCATAAACGGGCTGGATTATACCATTCAGAACAAATGACAAAACTGTCGAGTGAGTCCATTTGACATCGACTAGTGCTTGACAATGTCGAAAAATATATCGATATTTGACGAAATAACTGAACGAATTGTGTTATTTGTACAGTACAATAACATAAAATACTTTTAACACAGTGTCCCACAATCTGATGACAATAAATTTATAAAAATATTTTCTAAATCAAATAAAAATATAAATGCAAAAATTATAATTAGTATGTGTACTTAATTTTTTATTTTATACCACATTTATATACTTTGGAATATTATTCCATTGTAATAATAATAAAGATCATTTTATTTCAACACATAAATTACACAAAATCAAACAATAATGTTTTAGCACTAAACTTCTGGGTTGGCGATTTGTAATAAAACACTTTACCACTTGCATTAATTATTTTACTTTCACGATCCAACACTCACTTTTTCACAATTTGCAATCACTTTTTCTTTTTCCTAATTTCACAAATGTTTATTAAGAACTGAGCAATATTAGGACAGTGTCACATTTTTATAACTACCCGAGACAATCAATTGCCAATTAAAATAGTTCAATAACAGAATCAACAAAATCACTTTATTTAATTAAATTAGCTTCATATTTTTTTTTATCTTTACAAAATAATATTTATTCTATATTAATGGAATATACACCGGATATGCATTTGTTTATTAACATTTTATTATAGGCCAACAGAATGTTGCCATCAATGCCATCGTATTTATATAAATCAAATTAAAAATAATTATTATTTGACACATTATTATTGCCTCTTTAATTCATTAATTTTAATTTATTATAATAAATACAGATATTTTAAATTAAAAGATGTAAAATATAATGACTATGCTAACCAATGTCTAAAATGTCATTCATTGGTTCATCGATATATGTATTTTATCGATTACGTTCAAGCACTAGAAATATTGTATTGTGTATCAGTGTTTATAATAATGTAATAAAATCTTTGTGTGCGTTATGCGTCACTAGGTTGAACTATGGTTGAACTACCTAGTTTTCATACATTTGTATTTTATGTCAGGTCCAGTCTCTAATTCTTCCATGTTTCTTAGTATAACTACTAGTAGTATAATGTATTGTATGTAATCTATATTAATATTATAAAGAGGTAAAGTTTGTGACGTTGTAGGGGGGTAATCTTTGGATCTACTGAACCGATTTAGATGAAATTTGGTACAAAGATAGTTTGAGACCCTGGGAAAGACATAGGATACTTTTTATCCCGGAAATCACCCCTTAAGGGGATGAAAGTTTGTTTTGGGAAGCAAGCTAGGGACGAACCCGAGCGAAGCGAGGGTGAGTCGCTAGTAATAAATAACCACACAAAAATACTTACAACAGACATCTCTTTATTCTGATAGAAAGGGCACCATCCAATGTTTACAACCATCTTATGAATAGGGCCTTCATCTACTTTTGCCCACCCATAGTACACGCCTGGTTTCAAGTCCTTTGGTAATGATTGCGCTACTTCACGCGGGTAATTAGCTGAAATTTCATTTAAATTTAAAATATGAAAAATCGTAAGAAAGTTAACTCCCTAAGATCTAGAACCTAATTTTCCTACGATTGTTGTACGAGTAAAAACCTACCTATTGTATAATAATAATGTGCATTTTTATTAAGAATAGATTTTCACTATTGATTAAAATCCTTATTGAAAAACTTCAATAGGATCCCATCAAAAGCCACATAGAAACCTATAAAAATTTATTGGTTTCTATGTGGCTTTTGTCGCTTTTGATGGGATTCCATTGGAGTTTTTCAACAGAGATAGAACCTAAGAATTTTTCTTTCAAAGCAGCTGGAGAACGTTTAAGTATCACAGGAAGTATGATTTAAAGAACTTCGAAAGAACTTGGTCTTCAGGTACCTACCTAGATCTCAAAATTTTCTCCAAACGAAAAATCTTGATAAAGGTCGGACAAGTGCGAGTCTGACTCGTGGATGAGGGTTTCGATTTATATTAAAAGTAAAATAAACTATTTTTGTAGGATCTTCTTAAAATAAGTTCGTAATGTAGTCAAGTCGATCGAAAATATGCCTATATCTCATAAACTATATCAACATTTTTGACAAAATTTTACCATTCTTTGAAAGTTTTAGGTATTATGAATCAAACCTTTTTGGCTTATATCAAAAAGCCATTTAATACATATTATTTTTAGTAAGTTTAAGTTTAAGTAACCTAATTTTCAAATTTCATGTTTGTCCATATTTAGTATAGAACCCTAAGCCTAAATAATAAAATAATTGATTATAATATGTATTTATAATTTATACTTATTAATACAGACAGACTACCCTAATTACGTTTTAACGTTTAGTATAGATTTCCGAGAGTAGAAAATAATGTAAGTACTAATATCGCTATTAAAAAATAGGGGTTTGTATGTATTTTTTAATGTCGAATCGTAAAAAAAATTGACCACAACATAAAAAATAAAATTTTGGGGTGGACCACCCTTATCACTTAGGAGTATGAAAAATAGTTTACGTCCTATTCTCAGACCTGAATAAACACAAAATTTCATACCACGAGAATTATATATATTAGATTATGATACATCAATCTATAGTAGCTCTGTTTATCTATAATGTTTTCACAATAAACAGCTGAACTGATATTGAAGTAATTTGAATGAAGACAACAAAAATGTAGGATACCTTTAAAAACTAAGTTACTAATAGACCTAAAAGGAGTAGCCACTAAGACTTTATTTTGGGCTCAAGTTGACTTGACATGCAGATCAATAAAAATAATTACGGACAAGTGCGAGTCGGACTCGCCCATCGAGGGCCCCGTACAAATTTGTAGGAAATCTGTTTAACTATAAGTCTTAACTTTTTTATTTTTTGGAATTTTTCCTTTATTTGTGCTGTTAAGAGCTTGCTTTGTTTGTAAGAACTACCATATAGGTTTTCGTCCCAAAACCTATAGGGTACTTCTGGTTGACCTAGAATTGTCCATTTTGGTCAAAAGCAAGATCTTACAGCACAAGTAAAGGGAAAATTCCGAAAAATAAAAAATAAAATTAAGGTAAATTTTGGTACTTACAAGTTTTCGCGAAAATCTAAATTTTGCCCATATATTTTTATGGTGTTCACTCAGGACCTTGATTTTTATACACCTAATAGAGACTAAGACCTCAATATTTGGTATAAATTTCAACTGGCTAGGTCCATCCGTTCCTGAGAAAATCAGTGGGGACACACGGACAAGAGAGTGATGTTATAAGGGGTTTTTTTACCTTTTGAAGTACAGAACCCTAAAAATGTGTGCAACCTGTTATGACAGCCTGTGCATTTTTTTACTATGGCACTGAATATCCACAATTCCTAGAGCTATTAGGTACTTACTTTTAGATCATAAATACTCAGTACCTCTCATCAAAATGGGGATAAAAGTGTGTTCAGTGTCATGAATGTAAAGTAAATGGAAGAGATCGTACTTTGCTTGTGATGACATCATCAATCATAATTATCTTTTATTACAAAATAAATTACTCATAAAGGTTGAGTGATAATTAATAATCTTGATTATTCAATCAATCATCAATAAGACAGTCAACTTGTGATACTTGTGAAAAGTAAGTCATTGTATTTTGTTTATTGCATACATTATAGTATTAATGACAATAAATTAGATAATATATTCTTCATACTTCATAGAAAACGAAAAATAAGTACATATAATATTTTAGAAAAAACAACTTTTGAGCAAGTAAAACTAAATAACGAAAGGTCTTTTCTGCATATCACCTGCTAACTTCCATCAATCATCAAGATGTGACATTGGAACATCCACTGAAACTCAATGATACCCTCAAGATGCTAGCAGGGTGGCTTAATAGCCACCCTGCTAGAAACAACCGCATTCACTTAATACCATGACATACCTATAGTAAACCTAGGTCCTGCTTATGCAGGCTTTGTTAGATGTCAGCTTTTGGGTGCTTTGACTGACAAAAGCACCCTCAGTCCTGGTCTAATTTTAAAAATATATAATGTTTATATTCTATTAACTAATTTACTATCAAATGTTGGGTGATGTATACAGAAATCAGTAAGTGTATTTTCCGAGGAGTTATGATAAGCAATCAAAGGCTTAATGATAAAACAAGCAATGACTGCATTAAACTCATAATGTATGTTATGAGATAAAATTTCTATTCATTAATATTACTTACTAAGATATAAAGTGACTAGGTTTCCATTATTTATAGAAATCACAAATACAAACAATATATAATGTGCAATAGTAAAGAATAAAACAATATATATATTTTCATTAAAAAGAAAATATAATAAAAAAACTAATATCATAAGAAATTGTTGTTTAACACTATACCACCATTTAAACACAATATTCCCTCCATGACCATGGACACGCTGGCATGTCAGTTAACAATAGATTTCTTAGAATTTTAATTAATTTCTTAGAAATTTACCTGGATGTGTTATAATACTGTACTTTTCAATTCAATATCAATTTTAACAACAACAGTACAATTGAAATATACATATAAGACTCAATATGCCAGACAAATTAAGTACACAGTAAATAGTAACCACTAACTACAAAAATAAAAAATTACATTGATACAAAAAGCATAATCAAAAATTATAATATTTAAAATTTGATTACCTGTAGGACAACCTAAGTCCTTTGAACCTCTTCCAAATCCTTTTACAACTTTGCCTTTTAATAAAAGTGGCAAATATGTAAGAGACATTATAAAGGAATGCTTTATTACACTATGAAGTTTAAATATTTATTTAAACAGATTGTTTATAAAGACAACCTTATACATTTATGAGTTACAATGTCACTAGAATATTTTTTTATTGTTTCAGTTTTGCAATCAGATGCCTATCGTAATATCACTTTAAATACTTTCTACTGATTACTGAAACATTTATATTACAGGCCTTAATATACACTTGAGACACAAAAAAGAATATAATATAGAGATTAGAGAGATCAGGGAATTCACAGATATCAATGCATAGTCAAAATTCTAATTGACATTGACAAATGACAGTTTAAAAAGTTCAAGAGATAGGCAAAATAAATAAATAAAATTACCTACATAAGTAGCTGGAACTTTACAACATTTTACCCATAGACATAGACCCTGTTTTCCAATTACAGAGCATAATACCGTACTTTGGCGCACAACGCCGAAGTGTGCTAATGCTTAATTAAAGGGCATCAGCAGAAGGCACCAGCAGAGGCAGAAAAAAAAAAACTAACTAATCTAATAAATTTAAACGAGCAATTTTTGTATATATTATAATTATATAATCTGAATCTCGGAAACGGCTCCAAGGATTTTCATGAAATTTAGTACACATGTGGTTTCGGGGGCGATAAATCGATCTAAATTAGTCTTATGTCTGGAGAAACGCGTGTTTTCGAATTTTCATGCGGTTTTCTTTTGCATTATTCCACACAAAATATTATGTTCAATAATTTCGCACGCTCGGTATGAGTATCATGGTTAAGCGGCCAAGGCGCAAGATTGAATAAGTGTCCAGGTTCGAATCCCGCTTGGATACTTCTTCTTCTTCTTCCTGTCCATTTCCTAAGTCACTTGGGGTCGGCGCAGTAAGTCTTCCTCTTCCATTCTCCCCTATTACTCGTCATCTCATCATTCACCCCTTTCTCTTTCATGTCTTGTCTCACACAATCTATCCATCTTTTCTTCGGTCTTCCTCTACCTTTCCATCCATCTACATTCATTTCCATCACTCTTCTCGTCACATGCGTTTCATCCCTCCGCTTCACATGCCAATACCAACTAAGACGATTCCCTTTCAACTTCTCTGTCACTGGTGCTACTTTTAAGCTTCCTCTTATGTACTCATTCCTTATTTTATCCATCCTCGTCACTCCACACATCCACCTTAACATTCTCATCTCAGCAGCATGCAATCTTTTTTCATCAGTCTTCTTTGTAGCCCAGCATTGCGATCCATACATAACGACAGGTCTTATTACGGATTTATAGATCTTACCCTTCAACTTAAGGGGCATCCGCTTATCGCAAGTTATCGCTGTGACCTGTGGCCATTTCATCCACCCAGAGTTGATCCGACGCGTAATGTCTCGGTCAATATTACTATCACCTTGTACAAGAGATCCAAGATACCGAAAGTCAGTGCATATTGGTAAGGGTGTTCCCAAAAAGGGTTATGGGCACTAGACTGGAGAGACCACCAAAGTCGCAGAAAAGGTATTCTGTTTTACTTCTGCTGACTCTCAAGCCAACACTCTCCAGTCTTTGTCGCCATTCTTCCAATCTGTTCTGAACATCTAGACTATTCTCGGACGCTAGCACAATGTCGTCGGCGAACAGCATGCACCAGGGGGCTTCTTCTTGTATGTCTGATGTTAAGGCGTCCAATACCATCAAGAAGAGGTACGGGCTAAGGGCAGACCCCTGGTGTAAACCTACAGCCACATTGAAGCTAGTAGTGGTGCCAGCTGTGGACCGGACTTGTGTACTGCATCGATTGTACATCGCTCGGATCAACTTCACGTACTTTTCAGGCACACATTTCTCTCTAAGGGCCCACCACAAAACCTCACGGGGTACCCGGTCATATGCCTTCTCCGGATCAATAAAGACCATGTGCAAATTCTTGTGTGCACTTCTGTACTTTTCGCATAGCTGGCGGATTGCAAAAATGGCATCAGTTGTTCCCCGACTGGGCATAAATCCGAACTGGTTTTGTGAAATTTCACTCTCTTCTCTTAGTCTTCGCTCAATCACTTTTTTCCAAGCTTTCATACTATGTGAAATTAGCTTTATTCCTCTATAGTTGTTGCACTCCAGCACATCACCTTTATTTTTAAAAATGGGCACCAATGAACTGTTGCACCATTCGTCCGGTATTACTTCATCTTGCAACAACTTATTGAAGAATAAGGCTAGCCACTTCCATCCATCCTCTCGTAATAACTTCCATGCTTCTATTGGTATTTCATCCGGCCCCACCGCCTTTTCGTTCTTCATTCCACTTATTACTCCTTTCACTTCATCCATACTAATCGCTCTGACTAATCCTATATTTTCAGCCTTTTTGTCAAGCCTTCCACTCCATTCGTTCTCCTCATTCATAAGCCTTTCAAAATAGTCCTTCCATCTACCTTTAATTTTAGCATTATCTGAGAGTACCTTACCTGCTTCATTCTTCACACACTTCATTCGCGAAATATCCCTCGTCTCTCTTTCTCTTGACTTAGTGAGCCGATAAAGGTGTTTTTGGCCGGCCGGAGTATCTAAGTTGTTATATATAATATATTATATTATACTAAGGTATAATTTATTTTTATTTATTTTTTTGTATTTATTCAAGTTTTTTGTTTTTTTTTTTTTTTTTAAGAAAATTGTACTTTTGACCAAAAACTCCGAGCGAAGCTCGGTAGCTCAAGAATTTTTAGAAAATGTCGTTTTATTCGTGTTTTCAATAATCAACTTTATCGATAATCATCTAAAACATAAACATATTTTTTTTTAATGGAAAAAAATAATAAAAAGGTGGCGTTTGGTTAGTCCTACTGTTGCCACTTAAACGTAAACTGAAAAAAATGACTCTTTCTAAAATCTATTGGCGAATAATAATACTATTTTTTTTTATTGTAATCTGAATCTCGGAAACAGCTCCAACGATTTTCATGTAATTTAATATACAGGTGGTTTCGGGGGCGATAAATCGATCTAGATTAGTCTTATGTCTGAGAAAATGCGTGTTTTCGAGTTTTACATTATTCCACGCAAAATATGGTCAGTAATTTGCACGCTCGGGTATAAGCATCGTGTTCAAGCGGCCATGGTGCAAGATCAACAACCACAGGTGTCCAGGTTCGAATCTCGGTCGCATACAAAGTTTTTACTTTTATTTCTATTTTTATATTCAAGTTTTTAGTTTTTTTTAAAAAAGACGCAACATTGACAATCATAGGGGTCCGGGTTTGAATTCCGGTTGGATATAAAGGTATAATTTCTTTTTTGTTTTTTTTTTTTATATTTATTCAAGTTTTTAGTTTCTACTCGCTGGCCCAGGTACTATGTATATAATATATAATAATACATATCCTCGATGTTATACATTATATAAAAAACTAGCGACTCACCCTCGCTTCTCTCGGGTCGTCCCTAGCTTGCTTCCCAATACAAACTTTCATTCTCATTTTCACCCTCTTAAAGGATGATTTCCTAAAGGTAAAAATTATATTATAATCCTATGTTCTTCCCAGGGTCTCAAACTATCTTGTTACCAAATTTTATCTAAATCGGTTCAGTAGATCCAGAGATTACCCTTTACAACGTCACAAACTCATAACCCACTAAAGATAATGTAAATAAAATTATGATCTACGGACTACGCCACCTTGAAGAAAAAACACTTCTCATATTTTCTGTTATTGAGTTGGTATCCTTGCGCGCATTACGTCAGTCGTCAAGAAAGAGGTACTTTTTAAAATGCTCGATTGAGCGGAGCGTTGCTGTAGTGGGAACGTCCGAATTTAGCATTATGCGGCATAATGCGCTTTAGTGCTCTAATTGGAAAACAGGGAGAGTTAGAGAGTAAAGATTAAACTGAAGTCTGAGACTGAGTGTTTCTTTGCCAGCCGTCAACTAAAAATGGCGAAAAGGACAGAGACAAAATGAATGTGCGGAAAAAGGTCTTCTGTATTAATTAAAATATGAATAATGAAGTTACATGTTTAGTATCATTTTACTTTTACAAATTTCACATTTTATTTATAAATTAAAATTGGAATAAAAGACAGGTATTTTTTTCTACTCTGTAGAGAGTGGTCAATTTAATGAGAGTTCCTATTGCTCAACCCTCAGGGCTCAAACCTTAGTCTAATTTCTAGGTCTATGGGTATTGCCTACCTAGTAAATTACGCATGTTCGAAGATTTCGCATGACATTTTTTTTGATATTGAAAAAATAATGATTTCTTTATGAAATCAATATTCTCTCATAATTTTGGATACAATAGACATTAGTTCTTATTCTACAATTTTTAACACTATGGTTATAAAATATTATTTGATATCTGTACAAAGATAAAAATATCTAAAAAAAATTGTTTGTAATGTAAAACTTATTACTTAAATTATGAGACTTTTTCCTGTGAGAATATAAAGAAAAGATAATAAACCACATATCAATTTAAATAATGATTTCCTTGAGTTAGAATTTTCATGAGTTATGTGCAGTTGTTGTGTTAATGTCGAAAACAAGTTTTCTTCAGAATTGTGACATGATTATTATAAACAGCAGAATGAGAAAATAATACAATAAAAATGACTGAAAGAGGATATGATGGGGAACAGTCATCTGCATGGGATATTCCTGGTCCGTCGTCTATAGCTGCAATTTTGGATACTGTTTATACATCTCCCGCTTCTGACAACATAATACGGAGTGGTAAATTTTTATCTTTTGCTTTATAAGTCATTTTTATAACGTATTTTCGTTTTTTAACTGCCTTGACGTTACAGATGAAATGGATTGTGAACCATTGTTTGCTGAAAGTGATGATGATGTAGAAGTTTTACCTGTTCCTATTGAAGAAGTTATGTCGCAAATTCGAGGGCCAATACCAAAGAGTGCAATGTCAAATTATGTTAATTCAACATCACCAATCCAACCATTATCGCATCCTGTTTCTGCATATACACCCGTTCCAGAAGAATATCAGCCACTACCAGATAGTTCCAGTTCTATAGACTATGTTCTTGGAAGGGGTAACTCTGACAATACTATTTCGAATAATCCTGGTTACAGTGATATTAATATGCGTTATCAACCTAAACCAGCAAATCAAAGTGGTTACTTTTACTCAAATTATCCACCCAGTCATTACGCAAGTGTAAGATCAACATCTCAGTATGTAGTTTCTCCATACTCTACTAACAATAGGATTGTTGTTGGTGATGATAGAAATTACTTGCCAATAAATTATACATTGGCTGCAAATCAGGCCCCTGTACCAGATAATATTTCTCATATGGGATATGAACAAAGACAACCTAATATAAATGATCCTGTCACTCGTTATTCTGGTAATGGGAGTCAAAGTCAAGCAAATAGCTTAGAGAGACCTAGCCGCCAATTAAATATATCCCCTGGTAGAAAGCTATCTAAAGAAAGTGAAGCAAACCCAAATTTGATAGAAGTTAGTTCCGAGGAAGAGGAAAATCCATCCACAACTAGTAGACCACAGCATCCATCCACAACTAATAGTAATGTCAATTTAACTAGAGCACACTCAAATTGCAATAGATCTGTTGATTCAAGCTCAGATGCATTTATAGATGTAAAAAGGGAACCTCAAAATCAACCTAGTACTTTACCTAACAATGTCAGGCAAAATGCAACTCAAAGTCTTCACACAAATAGGCCAAACCAAGTTAACTATATTCAAGCGCACATACATAATCGGCCTCCCTATGTTCATCAGCACATTATCAAACAGGAGAATATCCCAAATCGTAATAATGCACATGTAAATAATCAAAGAGTATGCATACATCATATTGAAAATACTAGAGCTCATAGGTCTAATCCAAATTATCATAGTGGATCGCATAACCAAACTCCTCATATTCGTAGGATATCACAAGATAATCAAAATCCTACTATAGTGAATATTAAACAGGAATATCGTCAACCAGTTGTTAAAACTGAAAATGTAGAAAGAGATAGTAGCAGTAATACAGAGCCTAATACTGGAATTGTTAAAGTTGAATCGCTTGAATCTGTCACTGTCAAGACTGAACCTGTGTCCAGCCCTCAGAACAGTGTAACTAGTGACAGTAATAGTACTACTCAGGTCAAAATAGAGAAAATAGAGTTTCAAGAGCCAAGAAGACCAAAAGAATCTTCTCCTCAACCTGGTACTAGTTCAGGGAGAAATGTGTCACAATCTGAAAGCTCTGCTACAAGTCAAAGCACTAGTACCGAACAGGTCAGCTCAACACTTTTTGTTATTTATATGATACCATGGTAGTCTAGATAGTATAGTAATTTAAAAACTGTCTAAGTCTTCTTTTATCTTTTATCTGTCTTCCACTACAAGAAAAGAAGTATAATGCCTCGGAAAAAAAATATGTTGTGGATGTACATAAAGATATTCATAAAATCTAAGTCTTGTTAAAACATTTACCAACCATATTGTCATAATGAAGTAAATAAACTCTATGTGACTAACAAATAATATAAGTTATGCTATAAGTTTACATAATTTATTGGGTCATGCTAATATTATGGTGATGGAAGACGGTCACAGAGAGGTGAAAGATAATTTAATGTCTGACAATGAAAGAAATAATTGAAACATATTTCTAGTACCACTAACTCTATGCCTGTGTTACAGAGTATAGTCTGATTCCCCTTGTATTGAGGGGAGACTCCTCAATTATGCATATTTTCATATATTTTATTTATTTCATATATCTTAATATAAACTAATACCTATAAGAATGAAATGCATGAATGATACATACAGATATATATTTTTATTATTTATGTTTATTTTATTTGTCAGGTAAGTCCACCAAGTAGTTCAAATGCATCAAGTGCTAGCAGTGGGAATGTGTTATCTGCACCCGACTTACAGTTGGATTGGGTGTCTGATTCTAGTTCAGACAATGATATACAAGTTTTGGAAGATCAAAATGTAAATATAAATATTTTATTTATTTCATACTTAAACAATTTTTATACTGTTTATTTAATGATAAATGAATTAACTATAATATTTTGTTTTCATAATGAACAACCAAGTTTTTCACCTCCATCTCTTTTAGATATTATTACCCTTTATATAAATATGCTACATGCTATGTTATATTTGAACACACATTAGGTATCTGTTAATATAAATCTACAAAACTAATATTTTAAATATTTTTTTTTTTACCTAAAGGATGGAATTGTTTCTTGAAATTTATATAAAACATTACAAATTTGGTTCATAATTAGTGAAGTTGTTAGTTCGACAATTGACTTTTAAAGTTTCATTTGACAATTTAAATAAAACAATCTTTTGAATTTTGTTTTCTGTATTTATTTTGATTTTTGGTTGTCCCATGTTCAAAATTGCTGTAAAGCATTTGAAATGTTGGGAGATTTTTTTTTGAAATCCAAAAAGGTAGTTTTAATTATTTTTCTTTAGAAAGAATTTACTCATTTTTTTAAATATTATTTGATTCAGTATGACAATTTTAATTTAGCGACCAATTTTCCTCATGTTTCTTCTATTCTGCGGGATATTGACGAAGTAGTGATAAACATAAAAATTGAATTGAATTGTATTTTTCAGAGACAAGTGATAGACCTGACAAACTCGCCGGGACGCAACGCGCCCAGCGAGGGCTCTGCGCCGGAGGCGGGGCGCTCGCCGCGGCCGCTGTTCGAGGCGGTGCCGCACAGGGACCCGCCGCCGCAGATATATCACACGCCTCCCATACTACCTGGGAATCCCATGTTGCAGAGACGGTTTGTTTTTTTTCTTTACTGTTTATTTCTTGTGTTCTTATGTGTTTATTTTGGGTTTGATACACAATGTTCTTGTCAATTGTGACGCTTTTAACGTAGTTATTGATTTGAAACTTTGTATTACACGGTAGAGTCAAATTGTCGTGGAAGTCATCAATTCCAGTGTACCTTCGAGTTTGTGTCATTCGATTCATTTTGGACTAGTAATTAATTCATTTATTTTTATAACATTTTCAATTAACCATTTTTAAAATTGTTTTTTAAGATATTTCGCAAAATGATATGATTAATTCGAATTTTCATCTATAAATAATAAATGTGATAAACATCTGAGTAGAATCTGTACATTAAATATTTTTTTGCAGGATCTTATTGAAATAGTCGTTATTATCCATACAGAGGCCAAATCTATAATTTTTAGAATTTTTGTCTGTCTGTCTGGGAATGCATCACGAGAAAACCACTGGACAGATTTTGATGAAATTTGGTATGATAATAGCTGGTTATCCAAGTCAACATATAGGATACTTTTTACTGCGGGAAAATATATCATCTCTGAGAAATCTACATTAAACTTTAAAACGTAACTAAGGACGAACCCGAGCGGAGCGAGGATGAGTCGCTAGTATGATGAATAATATTTAAGGAGCAAATAGCATGTATCACCTGTGCCCCTAGTACGAGTTTACAAATGACACAAACGATGATAGTTTTCGTGAGCTCGATGAACTATATGGTTTTCGATGTAATCGGTAGTACGAGTTAAAGTTTTCGAATATAGTTTACACGATTTCGACCATCGACTAGCTTGATTGAACGAAGTTCACTTTATTCGCTTCATCTCTTTAACACACCGGCAAACTAAAAGAGACAAAAGTTCTCCTTCGATATTGTATAAATTGACGTTTTGGATTAAGTAAGTTTTAAAACTTAGTTCCTTAGCGCGTTCGCTAAAATTATAATAATAATAAAATAATGATGAGAACCAGTGCTTCGCAGTTTGAAGTGATGATAGATTTTATGGAGAGGTATGTATCAATCTTATATATAATATTTATATTTTTCTTTATATTATGTCTACCAATGCGTTAGAGAATTTGTTTTGATTACATACAAATTTTTTTAGGAATAGTGACTTAAATAAGCCAAGCGATGGCCCTAGCGGCAGGCTAAGGGCCGTTGACAAGTGGCTAGAGCTAGCGAATGCGCTCAACTTGGACACGACGGGGACTTCCAAGCCGGTAGAAAAGTGGAAAAAGGTAAGTTTCACCCATTTTACAACTACTTCGCTATGCATGCAGCATTCTGCGTTCCTTCTCGTTTTTTCTTTGTTTGAAAGTTGTGCATCCTGCTTAACTATGATCCTAAAACATTGGGTTACATTACCTAATACTTTTTGTTTGATATGCACTAATTGCAATAATTAATTTGTTTATTTTGCATGTAACGGTGTGGAGTGACCTTAAAAATAACACTAAGCGGAAGGCTTCTAAAATTCACCGAGCTGCAGGTGGCTTCCTATATATATAATTACCCACTAGGACCATTTACATTTGTGTTGTCTTTATACCTTATTTTCAAAATATATTTATTTATTTATTTATTTTATATGTTTTTAATTATATCTGTTTCATCTTTCAGGTTGGACCACCTGAGCCACCCGTAGCATCGAATTTGGGCCTTCTGCCAGTAGCAGTGTCACCCACACCAATGGAGCAAGTTGTCCAAGTTGAGAGCAGTTAGTTTCTTTTACTATTTTTTTTTCAAGTTCATAACAGTGTTTTAACATAGTAGAGCAAATGATGGATGTTAGTAACATAAATATATGATTCTAGATTTTAATAATTCATTAATCTGTTTTAGTAATTTATTCCCAAGTATGTACATGTATTTTTTTTAGTTATTGAAGAGTGGAACAAGCCTGGGGAAGGTGGCCAATCGGTAAGCACGTTCCAAACTGATATGGTGGATAATAGTGCCATCTCCCCCACAACACACCACGCCATCAGCCCTCAACGGCACACCGCACCGCGACGCGCGATCAGTGGGCGCCGCCGCTTGCTACGTTCGCCGGCACCAGCGCCCCCTCATAGTCGTCGTGTTCCTCGGAGGCACTTTAATGCCACCGAGCAATTTTTAAACAGCGACGAGCACTGGCGGAATTTGGCAACACAGTTTGTCACTGAGCATGTAAGGCTGCGAGAAAGAGAGCTGCAACAACGAGAGGTGAAGCTCCAGCAGCAGTCTCAGTGGCAAACTCTGTTTGCCAAATTAATTAATTTAGGGGAAATTATAGCAAATAAAATAAATAGTAAATAGGATACCCTGCGTTATTTACTATTTATTTTATTTGCTATATATGTATAATATTTAAGGGATTAAATTTAATTATATATTTGGTTGTTACCTTTAAGAATACAAATTAAAGCTAAACACTAAATAAAATTAAAGAGGCTAAATTAAATGAAAATAGAATTAAAACAGATCACAAACATTTATTTTATTAGTCATTAATTAATATTTAAAACTAAAAGTTAATACTTTCTTAGGTTTACTTATGCGAATATTTGACATTCGTCTCTGAGGTTTATATACATACTTGTACAAAAACTTCAAAATGATACCAAAGTACCTTATGAAGTTGTATATTTTAATTCTAAACATTTAAATTTGCATTTAAAAATACATTATAAATATGGCAATATTATTATAATAATAATTATTTTTTTATAATATTTGTTATACATATAATAATATTATGTGCTATTATTACAATATGTATTAAAACAAAATATCAAGTAAACAGTATTAGATAATTAACAATTTCATTTATTTCTCTCTCAAATGCTTGTACAATTTTATAATTATTATGTTAGATTTGAATCGCTGATTGTCAATAATTTTACACATTAAAAACAATTATCATGACACATTGAAAAACTGCCTGTTACAGTATATTGTGTGATAATACAGAAATTCAAAATATAAATTTATAATTTAATTAAGTGTTTTTATAATTTAATTAAGTGTTATTTTGATCAAAGTTTATCTTTTAAAGTTTATAAGTTTTAAGATCATTTAAAGTTAAAAACAAATTGAACTTTGATTATTTTAAAGTTAAATATTAAGCAACACTACTGCAAGCTTTATAATAAAAAATATATTAATCTAAATCAAATCAAAGTATACTCTATTCAAACAAGTTTTTTTGAATTATAATTTATAAAATGTAGAATTTAAATGAAAGGTTAGGAAGGCAATTGAGTCACTGAATATGTTGCATGGTTATTGTCAAACAGCTTCAGCATGCACCCTACTGGCAATGCGATCACGCAATAAGCGCCCTAGTGTCAACAGGTGTTTAAGCTTCCGTAATTTAGTTTAAGTTAGTTATAAGCAATTTTTTGTATAACAAAGTTATTGCGGTCAAAATTAATCAGGCGCTTCGCCATTTGTATCTCTTTTTGCAGAATCATTGTCAATTGCTATTAAAGCCCCTTACTGACCGGTTGATTTTTATTTTATCATCGCCACATCACCCGTGATTATTTTCAGATTAATTTATACACCTCTAGCCCTCTTCATGGTCCATTACGAGACGGATAAAAATAAAGGAAATATTTAAACAATATTAAAAATAATTAAAAAGTGACCAAGTGCCGTATGGAGTATAGAGGTAAAGATTGTTAAATTCGAGTGAGTTATAGACATTAAGTGCTTAAAATAAAAATCAGTATAGTGTTTATCATTATATTTATTAATAAAACCTAACATGTCTACAAATTAAACATTAAATCAGGTAATTAAAGCACGTTAAGCACGTGTGACATTGGGCAAGGTCAGTAAGTTAAAACTATTAAAACTTTATTACAAATATCTACAAATGTAATTAAAATGATATATTAACAATAAATTTGGTAAAATAAAATAAATATTAGGTATAGTTTATCAGTACTTAAATAATAGAGTACAGTAACTTATAAATGTTATATTAGATAACTGTTCCTAGTATAAGTATTTTTACGAAATACATTTTAATTATATTATATAAACTTCAAATTTAAGTTATTAATTTTGCATATTCAGTGTAGATATTTATTTTATTAAAATTTACTTCCAATTATAAAGTAACAGTTTAGCAAATAATTTATTTGTGAGCTTTAGAAATACATATCTAAGTTAAATCGAAAATTATTGTTAGATAAAATTATTTAATCGATTATCAGTAAAACAAGTTATCACTTTTATTTTGCTTGTGATTCATTAGTTACTATATCTCTAAAACCTTTGTTTGTAAAATTTCAGATCGACATCATCTATATCCCAAAATGACTGACATTATGGAGCTTAAAAAGAAGCGTGGCAGTTATAAATGTAGATTAACAGATTTTGGAAATTATTTAGGTACTTTAAATGACGCCGAACTGACCGCCTGTCAGACGATGGAGTTACAATTACGAACAGATAAGTTAGAGAGCTTATACAATGAGTTTAATGAAGTTCAATCACAATTAGAATGCTTAACGGATAACATTGACATTGAATTAGTTGAACGAACCGCTGTAGAATCACAATATTATTCATTATTAGCTCAGGCTAAAAATCTTATCAATATATTTTCAAAATTAGAACATAATGACGTAAAATCAACTTCTAGTAACTCTAAGCAACAGCTAGTCAAATTGCCTACTATCGATTTACCTAAATTCTCAGGTTCGTATGATAACTGGCTAGAATTTCGCGATACCTTTTCTAGTCTCATTCACAACAATGACAACATAGAGGAAATTAATAAATTTCACTATCTAAGGTCATCACTAGAAGGTTCCGCTGTTGTCGTAATGCAATCTATCGAGTTCCCTGCTCAAAATTATACCATAGCCTGGGAACTTCTGTGTGACAGATTCAACAACAAACGGTTACTCATTCACAATCATGTGTCAGCTCTGTTCAAGCTCGAACCAATAACTAAAGAGTCTTCAATATCACTAAAACGAATTATTGATCAAGTAAATAAAAATATTAGGTCTTTAAATACAATAGGCAAACCGGTTCATAGCTGGCTGGCCGACACATTATTAATATATATAATAAGTTCAAAATTAGATTCTACAACATTAAGAGAATGGGAGGAATATAAAGGGCATTTAGACAAAAATAAGTTAATATCTTTTGAAAATTTTATAGAATTCTTGAGAAACCGCGCTGATTTAATAGAAACTTTAGAAATATCACGACATTCTCACGCAAATAAGGAAAGTATAAATAAAAATTTAAAACTTTAGCTTCCACTTCAAATTACTCTAACAATGTCAATAATACAAGCTCACATAATTTATGTCCTAAGTGTAATGGCGATCATAACCTCAACGTTTGTCCACAATTTTTATCACTATCTATCACTGAACGAATGTCATTAATACCGAATTATAAGATTTGTTACAATTGTTTTCGTCGCGGTCACTACCCTAGTCAATGTAAAAAGTCAGGGTGTAAAATCTGTAAGCGTAAACACCATACTCTAGTACACAACACAGATTTGCATAAAAAATCTGATGTAAACAAAACTTGTACGTTCGATACGAATAAGATTAATAGCACTACCGTTACTGATAACGCTCACACCACACTATTGACATGTACACCTGCGCACACGCATTGTGCGACTGCGAGTAGTTCGAGCGAAGTCCTTTTATCAACTGCATTAGTGAAGTGCAACGATATTAATAATAAAACACATATCGTCCGGTCTCTTCTTGACTCCGGCAGCTCTTCATGTTTAATGACGGAAAATTTATTTAAAAAATTAAAACTGCCTTATCTTAAGAGTAATAAGTATATACACGGTATTAATAATTCGTCGTCTCTTGTGGACAAACTTTGTCATTTAAATATTCAGTCCTTAAATGGAAATTATTCAAACGATTTATTATGTTTCATTTTGCCTTCAATCACTGATAAGATCCCCGCTAAGCAGGTAAAACTAGATATACCGTCGAACATAAACTTAGCTGATCCTTATTTTCACACACCGGGTTCCATTGATTTAATTATTGGAGCGGATGTTTTTTGGAGTCTCTTAGGATCCGAAAAAATTATATTAGGTGATAGATTACCGATACTTTATCAAACTAATCTTGGATGGTTAGTTAGTGGTCCAATTAACGGTGGCCATAATAACTGTTTTAACACTCGGTCTTCACCTATACAATGCAATTTTAATAAACAATGTTCCACATTTAGATGAGCATGATGACATTCGAAACCAATTAACGCGTTTCTGGCAGCTCGAGGAGGTATGCCATGAGTCATCTACTTATTCATTACAAGAAAATGTGTGAAGAACATTTTGTTATAATCGTCACGTTTATCAAATGAATGTTTTTGCGTTAGAATGCCTTAGGCGTTAATGCTTAGAATATTTTAGGCGATTCGTTTAATCATGCTAAACGCTGTTTTCTGCCACTTGAGCGCAGAAATAAAAATCAAGCCTCATTAGATAAGATTTATAAAAACTTTGTCTGAGTATATTTATTTATCACATATGTCAGAGATTCAAATTAATAAAAATAATTCCTATTTCATTCCGTATCATAGGATTTAAAGATTACCTAAAATAAAACAAATATTAACCTTCATGTCGCGTATGAAAATACTGTAGAAACAGGATTAATAAAATTTGAACGTTTTTCTAATATTTTAAGATTACAACGTACCTTTTGTTATGTATTTCGCTTTATTGATGCCTGTAAATGAAGAGGCACAAAAACACTGCTTATTTTTCTAAAACTGAACTACAAACTGTTTAAATTTTATAATAACTTGGTCACAAAGATAGTCTTTTCCTGAATATGAATTATTAACAAATAATAAAAATTTACCATACAAAAACCGTTGTTAAAATTAAGTGTATTTCTCGATGCTAATAAAATTATACGTGTAGGAGGTAGGCTACATAATACAGGAGCTTGTAATGAAATCACAGATTTTTAAAACAAAATTGTAACTCTATATCTGACAGCGCGGCTCGTGACGGTGTTAACTTTCATTTATCCCTGCCTATGCTCCACATTTTGGCGGTCTTTGGGAGGCAGGTGTCAAGTCGACTAAATTTCATTTGATAAGAGTGTTAGGCAATTGTCACCTTACTTATGAGAAATTTAACACTATATTAGTTCCAATTGAAGGGATTTTAAATTCTCTCACTCCTTTATCGTCGAATCCTGAAGATTTGTTGCCTCTTACTCCCGGTCACTTTTTAATAGAAAGACCGCTAACATCTCTACCTGTGAAGGATCTTCGTGATTGCTCCAGTCACATGTTAACTCGACACCACCGCATTGAACAACTCCGACAGCATTTTTGGTCAAGGTGGAGTAAAGAATATGTGTCAGAATTGCAGCTAAGAGTCAAGTGGAAATCCTCTACGGATGCACTAAAATTGAACTCTTTAGTCGTTATTAAAGATTTTGTATCTCTTTTTGCAGAATCATTGTCAATTGCTATTAAAGCCCCTTACTGACCGGTTGATTTTTATTTTATCATCGCCACATCACCCGTGATTATTTCCAGATTAATTTATACACCTCTAGCCCTCTTCAACAGGGTAACATCATCCTCTACCTCATCATTTTCAGGGAAATCTTGATTATTAACTGTAAAATAAAAGAACCCTATTTATAAGTTATGTTTTGTAAATTACAGTCAATCATAAATTTAATACAAGGAAAACAAAATATGTGTATGTCCCATTTTGAATAATTAAATTCTTATATACCTATTGTATTTTTTTTTAATTTTATCATAGATTACCTATTGTTTGTTCCTGAGGATCTGGCACTCCTAAATCCAGTGCTATGTTGTGCAACACACTGCATGCTAAAATAATTTGGGCACATTTTTCCGGCTTGTAGTGGAGCACCCTATCCTTACACAAACATCTCCATCTATTTTTCAAGCGTCCAAATGTATTTTCAATAGTTACACGCGCCCTACTGTGTAACTTATTGAATGTTTCTCCTGCACTACCGGGTGCAGGGTTATTATATGGTGTCATAAGCCACGGTCTTTGTGGGTATCCAGAGTCACCTGTTGGTAATTATTTCATTAGTATAATGGATTAAATTATAATTCATATTTCAACAATAAAAGTATAGCTATTCAAAAATTAAGTTTTCTTACCTGGAAGCCACACAGATTCACCATTTCGATGCAATGTTTGCATGTATGTGTTGAGCTGGCTGTTCTCCCACACAAAGGCATCATGGCTAGCACCCCCAAATTTAGGGTTGATTGCCAAAATGTGACATTTTTCATCTGCAACCTAGAATAAATATTCATTACTTATTATTAAAACAAAAACTATTTTACTTTATACAACAGAAATGTATTATAATGTGAAAAACAACTCATTTAAATGTACTTATACTTAACACATAATGTAGGTAGTAATTCTAGAAAATAATTAGTTATACCATTTGAACATTCAAAGAATGGTAAAGTTTTCTACAGTAAAAGAGATGTTCTTCGTTTTTGTTGGGTTTCACAATCTTAAAGTGACAGCCATCTATACACCCTATCACTCCGGGAATACCATATTTGTTGTAGAAACTAGAAGATATAAAATATATATTCATTAGAACATTGCACATAAATAGAAATGTACTGAAATGGAAATAAATGTTTAACCATTCTCATGCAGATACAAATTATAATTTAATTAATGAGGATTATGCTGTGGGCTGTAACCTTATTATCTTTGGTAATACTATGTATAGATGATTATAAGGATAAAAGATTATAAAGTACTAACTTTTGCTTTATAAGTTCTCTAGCTGCTGGTGTATTCGGGAATTTAATGAACTTGTTCAAAATACTTGGGTGGTTTAAAGCCATTGTTACTTGTTGAATGTAACGGCTAATTGCCTCTTGTGATAGAGAGTTGGCAATCCCAACCACTCTCTGGTAGTCCCCCTTTGGCGTAAAATAACACCGCACTTAGTACCTAAAAATATAAAATATTTTTATTAAACAAGTACCTACTTAGATAAAGCACCTAGGTTGGTGAATACTTGGATAAATAGCGGTTATATTAGGTACCTACAGAATATTATAAGTACATACGATAAACCTTATCCAAATGCGCGAATACGGATGTGAAATAAAATATCTAAGTACCTACCTTAGTCTCCAATGATATTCTTTGTGAACCCCTAAGGTTTGTATTTTCCCTTAAGGTCTCACAGAGAAACATAAATCCCTCCTTGGTTAGCCGATACCGCTGCACAAAGTGAGTGTCAGAGATACGGCTGGGCACATTTAATTTTCGCCTCTTTACGAGCTCCTGTCGCTCCTCATCATGGTCAGCCTCCACAGCTAATCTCCACGCAAGATACCGTCTCGCTAACATAATTAATGTTCAAAAATATTCGCAAAAACAAAGATGGTCGCAAGCTCTCACCGAGATTTACTTGGTGAGTGCCAAAACGAAAAAAGTTTTCGAATTCGTCAAAGTTTACTATCGGTAACTTGTCAAAGTGGGAACTCGTACTGCCAAAATGCAATAATACGCTCGAAAACTTTCATCGAGTTCGTTAACTATGATTCGATTGAACTCGTACTGCCGATTTAGTTCCACCACGTTTCCGCTAGGGGCGCTGCACGTAGATGTATGGAAGAAAACGAAACTATATTTTGTAATCGAGAACTGTCAAAAACTCGTACTAGGGGCCCAGACAACTATCGGATGCAAAACGTCATTTTGCTCCTAAAATTAACTTCGTCATTTATATCCACGTCGTTAGATAAGGAACACGTGTAACAGTTTACAGACCAGTTAGTGTTATGCATAACTTTTATTGTATATCACAGATTGGCTAATTAAATAATCAATTCTTTAAAGTTAAATAATAGGAAATATTAACACTTTTAGTGGCATACGTTTTGTATGGTGATTTGTCTCGGGAAATGCGGATTTATTGCTAAAAAACCAAGTAGAAAAGTAAATATAGGGTTAACGTAAACATCCATACAAATAAATAAAATTGAAGTGTCTGTCTGCAATGTCAAAATAACTACTATTTACTAAATGCATATAAAAGTATATAAAGACAAAACAATTAAAAAAAATGTCTAGTGGTTTGTCTGTTTGTTCCGGCTCACCTCCGAAACGACTGGACCAATTTTAACGGGACTTTCACCGGCAGATAGGTGATGTTATAAAGAGTATCTTAGGCTACTTTTTATTTTAGAACAATAATTAGGGTTCCGCGTAAAAAAATTAAAACCTATGAAAATGTAAACAAACAATATAAATGTAATATGAGTGTGTGAACAATATAAATGTAGTATGTATTCGGGCAGGGTGCAGCGCGTGGTGCCGTGCCGCGGCTGCTGCTGCGCGCCGCCGCACCCGCACGCGCTGCTGCACGCGCGCGCCGCGCACCCGCACGGCCCGCCGCCGCACGCGCACCGTGAGTCCCACCGCCACCTTCACTCACTCAGCCAACTGCGCAACAAACATTATTCTATTCCATATGTTCATCCATTATTTAGATATATTCGTCCATTTTTTTTAACGAAAATGCTGTCAAATACACGGATCGTCATAATATCATTTTTCATGGCGAACAGTTTCGTTAAAGCCGTAGTGCCGATTCTTTGCAAGGTTTAGTTATACTTTCGACCCTAAAGCCGTTTCTCAATTGTCATAAAAAGTATATGTATGTATGACAGTCGGGTGCTCTTAATCCGTATCTCATCTGCACGTCCCTAACGATTGCCCTGTCTAGAAACCTTCGTTTGATGACTGTATGGATTTGTAGACTGTGACCGTACTATTACGTATTAGCACTGGGCGTCCACGCTTGACACCATTTTTTGTTATAAGTTTGGATATGTATTTATATTCGCATACCAGCTATATAACAGAGGTTTATGTGGTGACTCACCGGCTAGAAAAACCAGCAATTCCCATTAAAACACAACGGAACCTTCCTCGTCCTAATCGGGAGCTGCAGGAACACTTATGCAATCAACCTCGCTGACTCCTACGGTCCACTCTGCTATCAGAGAAGTATCAGGAGCAACCCACCGACTCCAAGTGCGTCTCTTAGTGTCCCCATGTCCGCAGCCGAGGCCATACTTGCAGCGATCAACATAATTATATGAATTCCATCATTTCCATTCAGGTGTCCTCGACTTATGCGCGATTAAACAGCTAACTACTTTTATTGCTATACTCAAAGCTTTTAATGATAGACGGCGCTGTTCGAAATTAGATCGCACTAACATTACGTTCAAAAAGGTATAATCTTTACCATATAAATGTTCATCAATTAATAAATATATCTATACATACATATTATGTATATGTCTAGTTTTTTTTTATTTAATCATTTATTTCAGGCAATATTTACAAAAAAATTATTAATATTACACGTCCTTACCATGTGTGTATTTACATATTAATATTGGTACCTATATATCAGGGGGGGAGCGGCGGCGAGACCCAATGCAGGCGGCGCCGCCGTATCTCGTACACGAGCGACTTTGGCAACGGCAACAACACATTCTAGTAAGTTATTTGATATTTCACTTAATGGTTATTTAAACCGTTAATGTAACTTCATGAGAGGTTATGCCTTATAAATATGTGAGAAGAATAATATTTTTTACAAACGTACATAATTAGTACAAAACAATTACTTGTATTGGTCATAATATTATGACGTTTCATAATGATATCAATAATTTGATGAGACTGTGTAAAAACATTTTAGAATTGAATTTGAAATGTGATGTGAAACTCCTTACTTATATTCTATTTTCCTTACTTAATATTGTCAATGTAAAAATGTGCTTGTGGATTCTTCTTCTTCTTCTCTTGAAGTTTTCTTTCACGTACCCACGTACGTTTGGCCTACAAAAGTTCTCCAACGAGTCCTTCGTTGAGAGCGAGTGTGCAAGCCTGTGGCACAAATACAAATGTAATATATATCTATACTCGGAGATATAGAGGCGACAGCTTTTCGTGTTCTGCTTCGGCACAGACATATAACATCACCTTCTTGTCAAAAAAATTAATAATTCGTAATAACCACGAAACTTCAGAACCTGGAGTTCTGTTAAAAATGTCTCTCGTAGAGTTATAATATTTTCCTTATAGCATGTAGCAGGTGACACTTGTACCCCCCAACGTGCGTTCACCTTGTCGTGGTGGGGGTGCTCAGTAGTGCCCGGCAACCCAACCGGGCGCGAAGCCAAGAAACGCACAGGGAGGTGGCCCACTTCGGTGGGCGGTGAGAGGTGGCCCTCTTCGGAGGGCGGTGTACCATGCGGGTTGCTCCTGGTACTTCTCTGATAGCAGAGTGGACCTTGGAGCAACCCCGTGGTTGTTGTGGTCTGCTTTGGCAGACCTGCCGTCGGGGCGTCGTTGTTGAATGCGTAAGCGATCCTGCGACGCCCCATTAAGACGGGGGAAGGCTTTGTTGGGTTTCAGTGGGTAGTACTGGCTTTGCCGGTGAGTCCCACACCTCGTGCGTAAATGCATTTCCCAACGTTAAAAAAAAAATAAAAAAAAAAGGTAACTCTTGTAATTCTTATTTAAAGAATAAAAAATTAAATAATGTACAAGAAGTACTTCTCATATCGACCATTTATCAATGATGTTTCATCACTAAGACGTTACGTTACATGAATATTAATATGTAATCGCAAAGTTTTTGAAGTTATACTTCTTTTGGGACGCTTGGAAAAAAATATGAGGGTAAAATTTTTACGATGCGCGCACCCACCGACAGCCAAAAAGCGACATGATGAAGCTAGCTGATAACTCTGTTGCCATGGTAACCCTTGTTATTGTCTGACAAATGATATGTAACATATTCTTTCCTTAAATGATATTTTATAAATATATGATTATAATATGTCTTATTTAATTATTTGACATTATGGATATAGGAGGTGAAATCTTTAGCTATTTTTGTTCTGTTACGCCTAAGAAGTATAACTTCTAATGTGCGTAACTAAGTACACACACACACGTTTTTTTTTAATATTTTGAATTTATATAAAAATATCTACATGTTGTATATTAAATTCTTTGACTTATTCTAATCATAATATTTGGGTTATAACATAAATATTACGACATTTTTGAAAAAAGGAACGGTTTTTCTATTGTCACCCGCACGATGTTACAATGAAAATACAGTACAGTCTGTTTCTAGTAGAGTATATATCTGAATGAAGCTAGAATATGATATTAATTAATGGAAATAATATACATATTATTTATGTTTTACATTATTTTTTTTCATAGGAGGTACAACGTCGCAGTATGATGGGTGACGCGGGCGCCTCGCACTACCCGCCGTATATATCGCCCAGACCCACTGCTATGCTTGAGGTATTATTATTATTTATTTATACATAGACTGTTATATATTACAAAAAATATTGAAGACATTTTTTATCATTTTTGGGAATCAAAAATATTAATGAAAAGTCCGATAAAATATTTTTTTTTACTAAAATTCTCTTCAAGGGAGATATGCGTTCAAAGTTACCCAAATGCTAAATTTGAAGTGTATACTAATTTTCTTTCTCACAGTTAAATTCCAATTTTTTATGTTAAAAATAAAAAAGGTTCATGTTTAAAGTTACCCAAAGTAATTTTTGTTTTTTTTTTTATATTAATTGTTTTATATGAAAGGTTCTTGCGTTTAAAATTTTGGTGGTTGGTGGGTGGTATGCTTTAGCTAATGCGGAGTCAAATCGGAGTCAATTCTTTTGGTTCGTTTGGAAAAAATTATGATAGTAAAATTTATCTTACGATGCGCGCGCACGCCGACAGCCAAAAAGCGACATGATGAAGTTGGCTGGAAGCGATATAATGAAGTTAGCTGTATTTCTTTTACAAACAGATAGTTGTGACATACGGAACGAAATCTTTAGCTATTTTTGTTCTGTTACGCCAAAGAAGTATAACTTCTTACGTGCGTACATAAGTACACACCCACGTTTTTTTTACTCACAAACTTTGGTGGGTGACAAATTAACATGAGCGGCAAGAGACCAGCTGCAGGACCGACGCAAAACTTGCTCTCCGAGCTACTGGCTGTCACTGTGAATTTATTGACAGAAAATCCCAAAAACTACACTCGACCCGACCCGGGACTCGAACTCAGAACCTTCAAATCTACATGAGGAAATGCTACAACTTGAGGCGACGTTACACAATGTAATTACAATTTAGACACGATTTTTAATTCCTATTCTTTGGAGTGGACTGTCTTATATCATTTCAGGTCTGAAGTTTATTTGAGCTTTGATGATCAGTCAGGACAAGCTACATTATATTTGATGACACGTTTGGCTCAGGTTCGTCGCGGGTTCGAGTCCCGCTGGGGCATTTATTCGTGTGATGAACACAGGCCTCGTAGCTTACCATGGAACTAGATGGTGCTATGTGTAAATGTCCCAATATATTTATTTATTTATGTATAATATATACTTTCCGCCAACCCGCACTTGGCCAGCGTGGTGGACTTTGGCTGATCCCCCTCGTATTGAAGGGAGGCCCGTGCCCTGCAGTGGGACGTTAAAAAGGGCTGAATACAAATATATACTTTACGTATATTTAATTATAAATCAAATTTAGAAGTAGTTTCAAAATTTAATTTGGTTATATCTTAACTGGGTTATCTCAGATCTAGTTCATTGATATGGTAATAATAATAAAGCGCAATAAAGTCGTTAGCGTCAACATGATATGTTGTGTTGTTTTGATAGAAACGAATAAGCCTAATGGCCTTTGTAATAAAATAAGCGAAATTTGTTAATAGTGAATTGGTTTCTCTATTAAATATATTGAATGCATGAACCAATGTTGGTGTTATTGTAAATATAATTTTTAATAAAAATATATAGGTATTTAATAAGTTGTTATGACATAGAACGTGTTTCAGCGTTTGTGTACGACAGTTATTTTTTTTTATATGAAGTTAAATCTAGTGAATGTTATTTATTATATTCGTTCTAAAGGTTTGTGTTTATATTTTGTTGCACGTTAAGACGTAGTGCTGTCCTGAGATAATTTCATTTCGGTCACGGCCAATGACACTGAGACATGAGAAATAGTAGCGGACCCACTTGATCTAGATTCTAAACCAACGACATGTATTAACAAAACACCAAAGACACACGCTAATCGTAGGATATTTTAAAAATAGCTTTAATGGATAGTAAATTCGACACTTATGGTAGAGATTAGGCGCAGGATCTAGGTACGGGAGTGAAACGCCACCAACTTTCCAACTCCAGGCTACTATTGATTAATTATTTTGTGTTAGAAAACCCCAATTAGTATTTTGGTCCCACCCGGGACTTCCATAAATATAATAAGTACATACTAGCAGTTTCAACGACCTAATTAAGTCCTCCTTTCCCTTTTGTGATTATAAAGAAAAATCTAAGTTGTTAATTTTTATTTTTAAAGCTTTTTATTTTTGTCTTTTCAGTTTCCGGACGAGCTAGATCAGCCCAGCTTAAATACGCCATTGATGCTGTGAGTATTCATAAATAATATCATTGTTCATTATTATATTAACGCAGATGATTATGTGATAATTAATACTACGCTAGTATACATGAGGCATCCCATATAAAGAAATTGGATAGTGTTTATCTATGCTGATATTATAAAGAGGCTGAGTTGATTTGTTTGTTTTTTGTTTGAACGCGCTAATCTCAGGAACTACTACTCCGATTTGAAAAATTCTTTTGCATTAGATGGCCCGTTTATTGAAGAAGGCTATAGGCTATATATCATAATTCTACTACCCGAGACAGCGGAGCAGAATATAATATATAGTCTTATCTATTCCATAGTAACCGTTAAAATGTACCCCCAAGGAAGAATCCGAGCGAAGCTAGGGTTTGCCGCTAGTTAGGGCTAGTTTTGTTTACTTCAATGTATAATAGTTGATTCTCAATACAAACTGTCATCCCCATTTTCACCCCCTTAAAGGATGATTTCCGGGACAAAATTATCCTATGTCCTTCCCAGGGTCTCAAACTATCTTCTAAACAAATTTCATCTAAATCGGTTCAGTAGATCCAGAGATTACCCCCTACAACGTCACAAACTAACAAACTTTACCTCTTTATAATGTTAGTATGTAATATGTCGTTAATCAGCAAACTTTCGAACTATTTTATTTATATATACAAATATTTGTGTGAACTAAAATACGTTAACTATTGTAAAATTCATCCTGCATTTAACAAATTTCAATAACTAACAGTAATAAGTAACTAACTAAAAGTAAAAACGACATCTAAGAATATGCACTAGAAACCTGATTGCTGATTTTTCAATAACTAATAAAATTACGCAAATTTCATTTATATAACCACATAATATACCTTTTCGACATCAATTTATTATCTATTGTTTATTTTACACAAACTTATAATATATCGATACATGTAATGCCATCTATTGGCATTATTTTGAACTAATTTTTCTTTAATGAAATCCTGTGATATTAATAATAAAATATATAACATGTAGAACAATTTAAAATTTATTTTATTTAAACAATATAAAATATTTCAAGTTTTTCCTAATATTAAATAGTCAAAAATATTTTCAGGGTAATTTATATTGATCCGTGACAATATTTAAAAAGAATGAAGTTGGAGGACATAAAAAAATGTCAATAGTCAAAATACATTTAAATACTAATAATATGTAAAAAAAAATCATAAAATAAAAAGTTTATTATTTTTTTTTCTAATAAGCTTATTGCTTAGTATAAATTATTTATTTTTTAAATTTAATTTATAAATTATTTAATTAACTGCTTATCTTCCAGATCGGACGGTCAACACGTTCACCATCATATGCATCACTTTTTCCAAATGCCTCCACATCTGCACATCTCCATACAACCCTCACTAAATGTGGTCAGTATTGATGTAATATTAATTATTATTATAATCTTTACAGATAGATAATGCATTAATGATTATATCTCGAAGTTGTGAATGCGAGTGAGAGAGTGACGAAAAAAGTGAAGTGTTCACATTTGAAATAATCATTTTTGTTTACTCTTCAGAGTAAATTATATAATTTAAATTTTAATAATATTAATTTACATAGTTTAAATGTTAAATTCTATAATTATATATTTACGAATGATAAACATACATATCATACCAAAATTAAAGCAGTGTAGATATATGTATACACAGATATATCGATGTTGTATGTTGGTGTCTTATGGCGTTTCTAGGACGCAAATATACATAATACAAATATAGATAGTACGTACAGTAATCGGCGGTAAATAATGCACATCGAGTTAAAGAGGGAGACAATCGTTCGTTGTAGAGCGTCGTCTCATTCACTCACTACGTTATGTCAAGTTCCCAGTAGATAATGGACTCTTTAGTGCCCCGTTCGACAGAGACGACGGTCTACGAAGCCGAAACTAGCCGTCTCCTTCCTCTATCTTGCTGGTTGTGCATTATTTACCGGCGGTTACTGTATGTCAGTGTCGTATGTCGGTGTGCGCAGGGCGTGCCGATGTCGCAGATGGCGGCGATGCTGCGCGTGAGCGCGGAGGAGGCGCGGCGCACGGCGCGCGGCGCGTCGCGCGCCGTCATCGAGCGCAACACGCTGCGCCACGCGTACGCGCCCGCGCCCGCCGCGCCGCGCGCCGACGAGAAGTGCACCATCTGTCTGTGCGTGTTCGAGGTCGACGCCTACTGCAGGTGATAGATAGTAGCTAACTGTACAGGAGATATTATAGTGCACAAGTGTGCGCTAAAGCGTGAGCGTGTGAAATTCCGGTGGGACGACAACTCTATACTAATATTATAAAGAGATAACGTAACTAAACTTGGCCTGATCCAGGTTTTAAACCCGAAAACTCTGGATCTGCAGCCGTTCATGTTAGCTACTAGCCACGCTTTTCATATACAGTACAAACTAATTATATAATAGGTCATTTACCTTTCAATAGCAATATTGTTTATAATTTTAAAAAATCAATAACTAATGAACCATCTGCGTTAGAGTGTAGCCAAGGGACCTTCTAGGTACCTGATTTCATGATATAATGATCAGTATAGCAAATAAATTTTGGTCTTACTGTGAAATTATAGTATATTATAATAATTATTGTTTCATTTTTTATAACAATTTAAATATTTTATGATTTCAATATTTTAAATATTTTTATTTAGACGACTACCATGTATGCACCTATTCCACATGGAGTGTGTGGACCAATGGCTCAGCACCAACAAACACTGCCCAATCTGCAGAGTGGACATTGAGACACATCTTAACAAAGACGCTACATTTTAAAGGTTAGTTTAATATCCATTAAGTATAAATACTTCCATTGCTTTATAGTTTAATTCAGAATTTGAAATTTTGTGAGCTTTACTTGGTTAACCGATTTCATCTTTATATCTATACAGATAAATAAAAATGAAGTAGCTGTTTGTAATGTCAAAATAACAGCTTTTTACTACATGCATATGAAATTATAATAACCATACTTATAAGAAAAACATAATTTTTCAAAATTTTGTCTGTTATATCATATTTACATTTTTAGCTCTATATTAAATAGAAATCTGTAGAAGTATATATCATTGGATAAAAAAAACAATAAATCTGTATTACTTATTTACTAATATCACCAGTGAATTAAGTTGTTCTAAAACTAATATTTGAAAATTAATTTATAGCAACACATTATTCTGTAAGTTTTTTCTTTTTGTCATCTGGCGATTCACTTTTCAATTTCTCTTCAAGGTGCGGTGCACTGATGATGGCCTGTTGCTGCAGTTCCAAGCTCTCTTGTTGCAAGTCATGTGTTAATTGTTTCTGAGTGTTGCAAGCCCTGCAGTTATTGTACATAAACTAATTAACATAATATAAATGAATTTTTTTTTCAACAATTTGTTATATTTATCACATTAGGTTAATGAAAGACTATTTTGTTGATATGTAAGTCTAGATACAGAGAAATTAAATGTAATCTTAATGGTACCTTTGTAAATTAAATCAAAAAGTGAAGGCATGTGAAAAAATTGTGGGTTTTTAAATGAAATTGCGATATTTTGAAATAATCAAAATATAAATGGAAATTGACAATACAAAAGTATATTGTCACCAATATTAAGTTTAAAAAGGTTTAAATTGAACAAATTGGCTGGTTTGTACATATAAAAAATTGACATTAAAAGTGTTAAAGTCTTTCTGTTTTGCATGTGTCACTTAAGAATGTAGTATAAAATAATTTGTATTGTAATCAGAATATAATCAATATTAATTATTAAAGGCTCAAAAGTATATTATATTGTTGTAAGAATAATTTGTATATGTTTCACAATTGTGCTTTTATAAAAAGCCTTTTCATCTCTGTCCTTCATTTATTATACAGATAGCAGAACAAATTTTAACTGATATTGCTTCAATTATGACATTAAAAACCGAATTTTTACTTTCAATAATACTATTTGACATTCTTAATTTCATTGCTAGAGATTAAAAAAATATATATTTACATTTTACACATTTTAGCATTTTTTTAGCAAATTTTATATAATGTTATGTTTTTTTAAATACATATTCCACGCTTATTTTAATCAGATTTTTTAGTTATTACATTGGAAATTTGCAAACCTCTTGCCACTAAATGATAATACATTAATAGATAAATTTGTGATATGTTCAAAGTTTGGTTGAATTTTTGGGAACAATCTATATTTTTTAATATTTTGACTGAATGGATTCGAATTTTTAAAAGTATAAAATGAATTGTAACTTAAAATAGATACTCTGATTCTAGATTTACTAATTGTGAAAATGATATTTTGTTTGTAATATACTATTTGTTATTTTGATCTTGCTTGGTTATAACTATTGTATTTGTAAGGGAATTATCAAAAAGATGTAATACTAGATGTAAAATATATATATCACAATTTATTAAAGCCTTTTATATAAATCTATTGCTTTTATTTCTATCCAAATTTATCATGAGTAAGGATTTTTTTAATAAAACACCATTTAGTTTTGTCTAACAGTTGATCAACATTTACAAATTAATCTTATAAATATTATAAATGTGAAAGTTTGGATGTATTGATGTTTGTTACTCAATCATGCCAGAACAGCTAAACAGATCTGGATGAAATTTGGTACAGAGATAAATTATAGTCTGGAATAGCAGATAGATTACTTTTTATGCTGGAAAAATGTAGGTATGGTTCTCGTGGAATAGCTTTTTTAATGCTTTTCACTAGGGCCAAACCCGAGCGAAGCGAGGGTGAGTCGCTAGTTGATAAATAATATTAATAATCATTGATGAGCAGTGTAGAAATGTTAGTTAATCCTGTAAAATGTTTTATGATTAATCATTTTTATTTAACTATGAACATAATTATCTTTATACCTGCAAGCATGATCGATCCTTTCGCAAATGGCATCAGATGCCACTATGTTTCCTGACAAGTAAGAAATTTCAGCAGCTGTTGTAGCTAATTTTTCTGCATAATCCATATAGCCTTAAAAAATGGTTCACTTTTAAGTTATTATTATATTATGTTAATACTGTAAAATTCTTATGACATACATAAGATTATAACTTCATTTATATATCTACATTATTTAAAAACTAGGTACTAAACAATCTGAGCAACAAATAGCTGTGAGTGTCATAAGTCATAACAATATCAAATTAAGGATGATATTTTTTTTGTAATAATTGATATATATAACAAATTTTATTAATTTTGTAAAATTGATAAGCTTACATATGTCATAGCATGAAAAAGTAAAAAATGATTAAAAATAAAAGTGTAATAAAAACTTTAATTATTTTTATAAAGAAACAAGACTATGAAATTTTAACTATAAACTTACTAAACAAAGTTCTGAGATTATGCTTTAGGTCACAAAGAGCGCCACGTACTGCAATTAACTGATCCCAGTGATGTGGAGGAGTGGCATCATCTCCCCATTCTAAAGCCTGCCTTACTAAACATATTTCTTTATTCAAAGCATCCCTTAACCTGTTATTAAATTTTTGAGCATATATATTTTCTTACTGCCTTCTATTTATGAAGAATATAAGGGAATTATTTACTTTTGGATGTATTAAATACTTTTACCTCTCACTAGTATCCTGAATTGCAACCAATGTAACTGTAAGCAGTTGTGTTGCTGCATTTATATTAACTGTAGTGGCTTGCCGTATAAGGAATTCATGTTCTAAACTTTCTGCGTCCCATGATAAACCGACTTCGTTATGCTTTTCTTCACATAGAACAGTACTTAATAATCCTAAAGTTACCGGCGTAGAATTTCTTATCTTTACGGATACTCTTCTGGTATTGATTCTATAAGCGGTTTTAATCAAACGAAATAATCTATTTCCAAACATTATGCAAAAGGATCGATGGTAAAGCGTATTAATAAATTATATTATTTCATCTTAATTTTTCTAACCAAACATTTTTAAATTCATTTGACATTTAATAAATAAGCAAAAGTGACATTTGACATTTTTAAAGATTTTTCGATCTTCTCCAATCTAGGCAACATCGTGGAGATAATTAAATTGTAATTGGAATACTCCCTGTTTTCCAATTAGAGCACTTGAGCGCATTACATTGCAATGAAAAAAAATATTTCTCCTAAAATATACACTAAGTAATCTATATTCCTATATAGTGCAAAAACCCAATCTTTCTTCATTAACATTGAGAAATATTTTCGCCATTGTCTAATTATGCGTATATTCGCAATATCCCTAGAGTTTACGCGAAAATTTTAATGATCAAATCGTCCTACGACATATATTTATATAAAGATTAGGGACTAGACATTAATATTTAATTTAATAAACACACGACATTTTAATACGCCATCAACACAGATATCATTTTAGGTGTGTTATCTGCGCGTTTCTGCGTTGATAAACTTAAAAGGGCATAATTCTACGTTTCAAGAACAAGAGAGAGAACGTGTCAAGAACGTACGTTGTCTGGGTATATTCTGATTTCTGCGTTGATTTTAAGAAAAACAGATTGATTGCTTGCGTTTGCATCGATACTCGACAGTGCGCCTATGAGTGTCGGATCACGGATAGCGATGGGCGTTGAATGAACGGACTATAGTTCAATCAACCAGTCGACGATGCGTCGACGGTTCGACGGTTCACGTATTTCAAATGAACTAGTTCAATTCATAGACTAAGACAGTCCGTCTCGCAATGTAAACTAGTAACTATAGACTGTCTAGCGTCTACAACTACATTGACGCGTACGTGAACCACAATCCACGATTTGAACTAGTCGATCGACTGTTGACAAAAGAAAATGAACGGTCTTAAGTTTCGTTCACGCTAAATACGTCGACGACCCATCGCTAATCACGGATGGGCGTCGATCGCGCGGCGACGGCACATCAGTCTTCTCATGCATAAATAAATGAAATTTTCTTTAGTACAGTTGTAAAAAAACTTTTTATAATACTTTTAAAATATTTACAACAGATAACAAACTAGTAATATTTAGAAAAATATATACCGATACTAGCAGAACTCGTGGCTTCGCTCGCGCTAAAACTACAAAAAAAAAACTCTAAAATAGTAGGTTTCATACAAACTTTCATCCGCTATTTTACCCCCATAAGGGATGAATTTCGAAAAATACTAAAACACGAATTTAATTAATTGTATTGAAGAGCATTTATACCAAGTTTCAAGTAATTCTAATCATATTTTTTTTTTGGATTGTATTATATCGTGTTTTCCCGTGGGAATTAGGTAAAGTCCCGCGGTAAAAATAGCCTATGTCACTCTCCAGCCCTCCAACTATCTCCACGCAAAAAATCACGCCAAGCCGTTTCGACGTGAAAGAAAGACAAACAAACACACTTTCACATTTATAACATTAAGTATGGATATGAACTATACAGGTATATAATTAAATAACAACTAAATAATTCCAAAACAGTTACTATTATAATATTTATTTACCTACTATCTATTTACAAATTCAAATCTTTGAGAGTAATCACGACAATGAGCTGAAGATTTGTTCAAATTAAAGTTTAATGTTGCCACCCCTCGATCAGCTGCAGCAATTAATTTAGTGGAATCAAAATCTAGACAGTAGACAGGAGATGATTTCTTCTGTGTAAAATACATCTGAAACAAATTTTATTACTTATCTTATTTTCGTATTCATATTTTCGCAAAAAAATATTAATTCATGTTTTCACTTTTATTAATTTTATGTACTTATATGATAGCAACAAACACCAAGAACACTCCTAGTGCATACGAAATGACATCTTGATTTTCTCGTTAGGTTTTTTTGTTTAAATTAAAAACCTTTATTTCACTCATTTGATTTTACAATCCTTTATAGCTAACATTCAGAGCACGTTATGGAATTGTTAACTAATAATAGCGCGTTGTGGTCAAAACTCTTGAACGAGTCACGATGCGATGTTCATGTTATGGCAGTTTAACTTAACCGCTTCCGGTTAAAAAAAAAACCTTTTTACAAAAATAAAAACCTGATTGCGTAAAAAGCCAACTAAAAATATGAAAAAAGTTGACGAAAAAACATAATATTGTGCAAGTCTTACATAATATAATACATGTTTTGTAATAGCTGCGTGTGTGTACATACACTCGAAAAACATTACCCTCTTTCGGGCGCGGTCGGGTAAAAAAGCCTTGAAAAGCTTTGAGCCTAAAATAAATAAATGAAAACTGTTTTTAATTTGAATACCTGTAAATGATATTTAGATCGTAGATCATATAGAACACATCGCGTGTACTCCGACGAACCAGTAACTATAGTGCGGTCACAATCAGTTTTTAGACAATATAAAGACGATAGAAATGGATCTGTAGTCTGGTATACCTACAAAATAAAAAGGGAATATATTTTTATGCAATTAAGTAATAGTACCTCGGCGACCAAGCTTCGCTCGGAGTTTTTGGTCATAAGTAAAATTTTCTTTATTTTAAAAAAAAACTAAAAACTTGAATACAAAAAAAAACATAAGTATAAATTTTGTATCCGACCGGGATTCGAACCCGAACACCTGTGATCGACAATCTTGCGCCTTGGCCTCTTGACCAAGATGCTTAAGCCGGAGCGTGCGAAATTAGCGACCATATTTTGCGTGCGAATGAAAACTGCATGAAAACTCGAAAACAAGCGTTTTCTCAGACATAAGACTAATTTAGATCGTTTTTTCGCACCCGAAAACCCCCACATACCAAATTTTAGCTAGAGCCGTTTCCGAGATCGCCGGTATAAATAATAAATATACAAGAATTGCTATTTTAAAGGTTACAGATTAAGTAATTAAGCTACAAAGACATTATACAAAGTTTTTTAAAAAGATTAAAGTACTTACTACATTTGAATTTCTGGTATCAAAAACCTGCACTTTTCCCGAATAAGTAACATATGCCACACACTGTTCATTTAGCCAATGGATATCACGTACGACTGTCGCATAATTTATAGATGATGAAGTCATAGTAAATGTGCCACTGTAAATATAAATAAAACATAATATTTAGTCAAACAATAATGTAATTTTCCTAACTATAAAGGCACCATATCCAAAGGTAATATGATAGTTTACAAATGGGAAGTTAACTAACCATCCATCTCTTTGACTGACGTAGCTATGAAGGCTTGGTTTTTTTTTAGGTTTTAAGATTTAATTTTAGGTGTAATTGGTTATTTTACTATAACATATGACTGTACAACTAATAATTGTTTGATAAATTTTAGTCTGGGATTTTTTTATTAAAATTTAAAATTGTAAATAACTCGACTTACGTATTTACATCAAGAATCATTGGTTTATCCTGCCCAGTTGGACCTAAAGCTAATTTATCTTCTGCCTTATTGGCTGCTATGCTTTGACAGCAAACTTGATGAGGAAGGAGATATTCAATTTTGCCTGTAACAAACAAAGTGTTAAACTAAGTAACAGTTAGTGTCAAAATAAGGTTCCATAAATAATAGCTAACATACATAATATATATGGTGTGTATCTGACTTAAACATTACTTTCCATACATTATATTAATAGGACATAGGTTCAACCTTGTATTTTAATATGTTAAAACTTCACAAGTAAGATTTTATTGTAATAAATTTAAAATTCAAACATGTCATACTTACGACTAATATTAGAGGGCATTTTATATTGTACATCACTTTCATTATTTTCCAATTGCCAAAAACATATGCTATCACTTCTGTTTGAGACAGTTACAATTGTGTTTCCAACTTTTTCAACTGCAGATACCTCTTCTAGTCCTTCTTCATGACAATCTTTTATATGAATTAGAAGGTTTGGTTTATGATCATTGTCATTTAATTTATATACCGCTGCACACCCATCTCTGTAATAATTATAATACAAGTCTTTATCAAAATCATTTTCAAATTTTATGAATGTAATAGATGTACAGTAAAAATTTATAACTTTTATAAATATTAGCATAACAATTAATTTGTAGTTTTCATTGCTCTCATTTATAAAAAAAAAACAAATACATAAAGGTTTCAGCTGACTCTCAGGCAAACCATTTAAAAATAGGTTATAAAATAGAAATATAAAAGCTTTGTTATATTATAATATTAGGTAAGTATTTATTTTTGTACTTGCCTATTACCACAAATAATAATGTTGTCTTTGACTACAAATCTTGAAATGTCATTAGTGCGTACATCTGCTCTTTTTACTATTGGCACTTCAAAAGACCAAATATATCCATTATGAGGTATACCTCTTCTATCAAGTTTATAGCATCGAAGCTCTGAACCAACAGATAAATATAATGTCTCAGAGTTACTGAAATGTAGCCATGGCATATAATTTGTTTTGTGTTGTATTATTACCTAAAATTATTGTTTTCATAGTAATAATAATAAAGTATGCTTCTTAATTATGTTTTTTTAGAAAGTAATAATTATGAATTTGTAATATAATTAAAAAAATAGTTTAGATACCTTTGTTTTATATATTCCTTTGCACCAATTTTTAAAAATTCTACATTTGTTATACCACGTAAACAAATTTTGGTCACTAAAAAGAACTTTATGATTAGTATATATTGTGTAATATATAAAAATGTAAACATATAAAAACCATGTCACACCTTTTGTTTATTAAAATAAATTTTTGCTTTGATATTAACCGCCACAGAGTATTTTGATTTATTATGATAGTTTTCATAGTTTTACAGGTCAACATTAAATTTCGAATATCTGATAATGTTACATATGATAATATATTAATCAAAATTTCCCTAGGTAAACATAATATAGTGTTCTCATACATTTTTATATTTATTTGAAATGAAATTTCATTTATAACGAGGTATAATAATGAAATCACTTTGCAAGTCTTGAGAAGGACTATTATATCGCTGAATGGTTTATATGGATATATAATGAGCAAATCGTCATTTTTTTAAATTTGCTTTAAAGTTAATAAGTCTATTTTAACATTTACACCATTAGTTTAACTTGTAAATTGTCAATGCCAATCGCCACAGGCCACTGTCATTTTAATTTTAGTGCTGTCAATCGTTGTTTGATTTTATTATTTTACGGTTTTCACTGATCACATAAAAATATAAAAAAAACCATTTACACTTTTTATTCTACCACTTACAAATTACAATAATTTACTGCTCACTCTGGTGATAATTTTAGTGTATTAATTAGATTATTATGAATAGACTTATAGCAGAGGACTAACAGTTAAATAAAGATCTACATGTTTGTCCCGGCAACTAAGTACTAGGACATCAGACCTAAATCCTAATAGTAATACTTATTCATCCCAACATCTTACATGATGGTATTACGTTATTCAAAATAATTTATACCATGAATTTTAGTAATGTCTCAATTTTTGACAGTTGAAAACCTTTTTTTGTATGTTTAAAAACCACAGATTAACGAACTAGTCCCCGTTTTCCAATTACAGAGCATAATGCCGTACTTTGGCGCACAATGCAGGAGTGTGCTAATGCTTATTTGGAAGCAGAGGGCACTAGGCTTAGTGTTGAAAGAAAAAAATATAGCGAACTAATATGTGTATATTAAACAGGGTCATTTTTAATTTACTGAAAACCTTTTGGGAATATACTATTTACATTATCACAACAACATCTGTAACAAGAAAAAATAATATTTCCTAAATTTTACAAAAATAAAAAGTGCACTAAGCACTAAGTAGTACTTTTCAAAATGCTTGATTGTGCGGAGCATTGCTGTAGTTGGAAGATCCGAAGTTAGCATTATGCCGCATAATGCGGCTTAGTACTCTAATTGGAAAACAGAGAGTAACTAATCAAAACTTCGTAGAACTTTCAAAGTATCAGCTGTCTCCTGTCAGCTGTCACATTCCTTCAAACGTTGACTTACAAGTTACAAGAATAATTTGAAGTAGGTACTATTTTGTGAGTGAGTCATTATTCATTTACTCTGTGACTAAAGGAAAACGGTCTTCTGCGCAGTATTTAATAGTTTAGTCTTGTTATCTTAGTTTTTGTGAAATGGAAATTACATAAATTAAAAGTGATACTAACATATTATATTTAAAAATCTAACGTTGTAAAACTGGAATGGCTTGTTCTTAAGCAAATTGTATTGGACTGTTATTGTGACATTACGATTTACGACTACGAAGTGTGTTGCTATGGATGTATTTAAACAGGGTATGCTTATTAAAATGTAAAACTTAATATGTTTTTAAACAACTATTTCATATATTTTTAAATTTAAACTAAAAGTTGAAAAAGAAATGAAATTAATATCGCATAGTGCGTTGTTATGACAAGCTCAATCAAGGCCGTACTCTCCCGTACCTGGCACTTGCATACTGCGTAAGCCGTAAAGCGCAGTGCATATGAATCCTAGTGGGTGGATCTAGTTTTTATCAATTGTTTATCATGTTGTGCGCCACATCCGCCGAGTGCCCCAACAGTTTCAAGCAATAGCAGTTAAATAGTCATTTTTTCGTGAACATTGCTAATCAGAATTTCCAATGAGAATGTTGTGCTAGTTACTAGTGTTCTTGTTATTTTATTTATAAAATATATTGTATGTTTTGTTGATAATATTTTTGTTACATTTATATTTCGAAGGTATGAGTGATTATTGATTTTTTTTTAATAATTAAGCCAAAATGACGTAAAATTATTATATGGAAGTATGTATAACAATTTAATAGTAAATTATCTCTACAGGTATGAAAGGTCCAACAAGGCCTGCACCTAGTGTACCAGGAATGGTTACCAGGTACTCTCCAGTAACTAATTGGAATGATGACCCTTTTGAGGCAGATGTGTTTGAACCACAACCATATTCGCAAAAGAAGAAACCACCTCCTAGGCCACCACCACCCAATATACAGAAACAATCAGATGTCCTAAACAAACCTTCACATTTTATACGTAGACCAACAGTCCTTTCTTCTCTTTTGTCTCGGAAAAATAAAAATACAGTGAACCATCCAAGTGCTAACAACCAGTCTAATGTGTTAACAAATATAAGTAGTGAAGTGGACACTAATAAAATGTTTCCCAAGTGTGATAAAGTTAATATACAAACCGGAACTCTTATAGATTTGTCATCACCACCTAGTTCTCCTACTTTCACAACTAGATCCAGTAGTGATGGTGTCAGTGTTGACAGTTTTGGATCTGATGCTACAACATCAACGAATCATCATAATGCATTTAGTGGAGGAAATGCTTCTCAAGCTGAGAGTGGATTTGAAGATGACTTTGAGCTCTTCGTAAATACCCGAAAACCACTAAGCAAAGAGGATACATTAGAAGATTTTTCAACTGTTGACCCATTTTCTCCCCCAGTTATAAATAAACCTACAACTATGAAAAAATCATTATTTAGTTCAGATTCTTTTGAGACATTGAGTAATGCAAGTAGTCAATACTCGGTTCCTCCATTTAAAGGACCAACAATAATTCGTGCAAAGCCAGCAAGACCTAAGCCACCAGATAACTCTGCACTGTTAAAAAGCACATTTGGAAGCAATTTCCAAACAACCTCAATGAATGTTAACACTACTACTCCTATTCAGAAAATTGGCAATGGTTTTGTAGATAATGTGGTAAGTGATATTTTTATTTTTTATAGACTTCTGATATTCATACTTATTATATTTTTTCTTAATATTATAAATGTGAAAGTGTGTTTGCTTGTTTGTCCTTCTTTCATGTCTAAACAGAGTGATGGATTGGTGTCATTTTTTGTGTACAAATAGTTGGAGGGTTGGAGAGTGACATAGGCTATTTTTTACTGTGGGAGATTATCCCATACTCTCGGGAAAACATGTTATAGTACAGCTTACAACAACTCGTCATACATAATATGTATATAAATTATACATACATAATATATATATATATATATATATATATATATATATATATAGTCTATCAGGCTATCTATATTGTTATGTTAATAAAATAAATGTTACTTCGATATTTAAAATAGCAACTTGAGTTTCTTGCCGGCTCTTCTTAGCAGAACTACTTTCCGAGCCGGTGGCAGTTCAGTTTCAGAGCCGTTTCTCATGAACTGACTACACTGACGCTTACTTAATGTAATCTTATTGACGATTCAAAAGCACTTGTATATATAAATAAAGCTTATTTTATTTCACAAAAAATTGAAATAAAACTATCCATTCTACATCCATATTTAATATATTAGGTATAAATTTGAAAATTTTGTGAGGATGTATGGATGTTTGTAACTCTTTAACGCCAGAACGGATCTGGATGAAATTTGGCAAAGAGATATAATCTATTGTAGTCTAGAATAACACATAGGCTTTTTATCTCGGAAAAATGTACGGTTCCCGAGGAATAGGTTCGTTTTTGTTTTCCTAGAGGCGAACCCGAGCGAAGCGAGGATGATATATTTTCCCGCAGTAAAAAGTATTCTATATGTTGACCCGGATAACCAGCTATCATCATACCAAATTTTATCAAAATCACTCCAGTGGTTTTTTCGTGATGCGGTAACAGACAGATAGGGATACAAAAATTCTAAAAACTATAGATTCGGCCTTTGTATCGATAACGATGACTATTTCAATAAAAAAATTTAAAAAATATTTAATGTTAAGATTCGGCTCTGTTAATTATATTCGTATGTATAGATGTGTAGTGGGTTTCACATTTGAGAACATGTGACCTGAATTAGCGAAGAAAACGTGAACTTTACTAAACGGAGCAATTTCCTAATATACTTGTTATTCTATTATTGCACGTCATCTAATAATTTGCATCAACAAGATTTTGTGTTAGAAAATAATGTAAGAAAATATACATACGATTCTTATCATTAAAAAAAAATAAGTAAAATTTATAGTTTATTATGATCTTTATTTTTTTGACCATTAATTTTAATGGTAGTAGCGCAAAGATCTAAAATCAATAGGTCCATTACATTTTATTACATTTTTGTTTGTAATAGGGTAGATACAACTTTTGTAATTTGTGATTTGACTTTGAAACCTTAAAAGTAATTCATGGTTGTTACATCACGATGTTAGTCGTTTACGTATCGAGACTTGTGTACGTAATCGGATTTTCATTCCAATATGAATTTAATATTAAAATATACGAGTAGGTAGTTATTAAGGCATTGCTAAGTTATTATCTTATTTTTAGACTAGCAACTCACCCTCGCTCCGATCGGGTTCGTCCCTAGATACCTTTTAACATTTAGTATAGATTTCTCAGAGATGACATATTTTCCCGCAGTATAAGTTGTCTATATGTTGGACACGGATAACCAGCTATCATCATACTAAATTTCATCAAAATCTGTCCAGTGGTTTTCCCTTGATGCGTTACTAGACAGATAGACTGACAGATTTTTTTTTAAAACTATAGATTCGGCCTCTGTATCAATAATAATGACTATTTCAATAAGATTTGCCAAAAAATTATTTTAGTGTACAGATTTGACTCAGATAGAATTTTATTATACATTTATTATGTATAGATATCAAAACATAAACGAGGATAAATATTTACGAAAAATGTCGAACTAGACGAAAGCGCGCTAAAGTGATAGTTTTTATTATGCTCAGAACTTGCTTAATATAACAGTATATTCAAATTTATACAATTTGATAACCAAATTTCGAATTTCTAATACCTATATGTATTCTATACCTACATACATATTTATTGTGTTTAAGGTGTCCTAAATATAATCTGACCTGATTATGAATATAAAGTATGTAATTAACAATAGATTTTTATTAAACAAAAAAATAATAATAATTTGTAATTATCTAAGCTTTGGGGATATTCCTATGTTAAATATTTTAATGTATCTTCTGTACAATAAATCTTAAACTAAGCATACTAGCAGAACCCGCGGCTTCGCTCGCGCTAAAACTACAAAAAATCCCAACAAAAGTAGAGTTTCATACAAACTTTCATCCTCTGTTTTACCCTCATATAGGGTGAATTTCGAAAAATGCTAAAACACGTATTTATTTAATTTTATTGAAGAGCATTAATACCAAGTTTCAAGTAATTCCGATCAAACACATTGTTTTGGATTAAGTATATTATAAAGTGTTTTTCTGTGGGGCTTAGGTAAACTCTCGCGGTAAAAATTAGCCTAATTCACTCTCCAGCCCTCCAACTATCTCCACACAAAAAATCACACCAATTCGTCAATCCGTTTCGAGGTGAAAGAAGGACAAACAAACAAACAAACAAACACAAACAAACAAACAAACAAACACACTTTCACATTTATAATATTGGTATGGATAAACCCGCGTGTTACCCATTGTAGGTTAAAGTATTAAAGTTTCGTTGTAATTTGATGAAGAAGAACAATTGTTTTTATGTATTCTTACTAGTAGATCCTGCGGCTACGCCCGCGTTCAATCTACAAAAAAATATCTTTGGATTTATGTTATACAGCGACTCACCCTCGCTTTGCTCGGGTTTGTCCCGCTATTGCTTCCCAATACAAACTTTCATCCCCATTTTCACCCCCTTAAGGGATAATTTGCGGGATAAAAAGTATCCTATGTCCTTTCCAGGGTCTCGAAATATTTTCTTACCCAATTTCATCTAAATCGGTTCAGTAGATCCAGAGATTACCCGCTACAACGTCACAAATTCACAAACTTTACCTCTTTATAAGATTAGTATAGATTTTTCATACAAATATACTAAAATAGCTAGTAATGATGGGGGTGGGGGTAGGATGGTGAAACATACTTTACGACCTACCAAATATTCAAAAAAAAAACATGCGTTGCGATGCGTTTTAATTATTTGGATCGGAATCCTAATTCTTTTTCTAACATAAAAGTAGCCTATGTTACTCTCTACAACATCAGATATCTTCCAGTGAAAGTCCTGTCCAAATCAGTCCAGCCGTTTCAGAGATTATCCGGAACAAACAGACATACAGACTGACATACAAATAAAAAAAAATGTGTTTTTCTTATAAGTACCGTATATAATTTCATATGCATTTAGTAAAACGCTGTTATTTTGACATTACAAATAGACACTTCAATTTTCAATTCAATCTGTATTCACCCGCGTTCAAACTACTAAAAAAAGAAACTGTTTGGTTTCATGTTATAACTAACAATAATTTGATAACATGCCGACTGCAGCGCTACCTACCGGGCCCAATTGTGTATTCAAACCATCCAGGTCCCCATTAAAATATACATACAAAATTTCATCCAAATCGGTCCAGCCCTTTAGGAGGAGTAAGGTGACAAACACACGTACAGAAGAATTATATATATTAAGATATTACACTATATTCTTAAACACGTTCAAAATGCTAGACGAATTTGGATATATTTTTTTTGGTACAAAGGTGGACTATAACGGACCTGTAGTACTCGTAATACATTGGTCATTGCTATTGCTAAGCGTGTACGCACCCGAGCTAAGCGAGGGCAGGTAGTTACATTATAGGTGGTTTTTTAATGCTCATCTTCAAATTTTTCAACTACAGCAACGCTCCGCACAATCGAGCACTTTGAAAAGTACTGCTGTGGAGTGATTTGCGCAATGGAACTAACTCAGCAACAGAAAATATACGAAGTGTTTCGTCGCGTTGTTCGTGTTTGTGCGCAACGAACTGTAATATCGATAATTAAACAAAAAAAATGGTACAAAAGTGGATAGATCATGTATTTTGTATTATCAATAGTTAATAGTGACAGACTTATTTGACATATTTTAATGATTTTTCAAGTATATTATAAAATATATTGATAAACGACATAAAATATCAGTAATAAAATTATCGTATTTCAGTTCGTAAGAGCAAAAATTTGAAAAAATAAATATTCGTGAGCCTGTAACTTTGTTGTTATTGATGATATGAAAAAGTTGACAAGGACTTTTTTATAGGATTTTAAGCGTACTACAAATTTGCCATTTAACATTTTTCTGTAGCTCTTACAGGTTAGCTAAAAAATGCAAAAAACCATAAATTTGAACTTTAAAGCTATATAACAAATAAAATATTGAAGATAGAAATTCGACTCAATGGAACTTTTTGTAGTAAATTTATAATTAAAAACGGTCCATTCATTCATTTTTTTGAAAAATATTTTCGTCATAGTTTGCAGGACAAAATAATGTTAAAAGTCATATTTTCCACACAATTTATATGGGAAAACTTAAAGTTCGATGGAGAACCTTGAAATTTTGAGCTCCGCTTTTAACAGGAGCTTTGTTGGATCATTTTCTAAGATATTTTGGGGTGAGAGCGAAGAAAAAAAATATCGTCATTTTTTGGCACACCCTAATATATATATAAATTAGTATTTTTCTAGAATTCAGAGACTACATAAAACTTTAAAGCTAGTAACCGCAGCGAAAGAAGTAGGGTTAACTTCTTGAGATTTAAGTATAAACCCTAAACTAAATTACGTAATTGTCGGCATAAGCTCTACTTATTGTTAGTAATAATCATATAGTCACTTAAAGTTTTATTTTGCTTAAAATTGTCGTACCAAAATAGCTTTATATTAAAAAAAATGTTTTTAAACAGTTTTCAATGTTATATCGTACCTCTGTGGTACCTAGATAAAAAAAATGAAAAAAAATAACCTGTTGCTATCATCATATTACAAAGCGAATGAAACTTTATGTTCACGTAACCTGCTTGCATCAAAAATGATTCGGATATCAACAGTCAGCAATATTTATTAATAAAAACAATATACATATTATGTACTCGTAGTCTCAATGCATCGGAATTTATACACCTACCAGTAATACAATTTTAATAAAATATTTTCAATCGATGGCAATGGTAGTTGTTTAATTCTTTTAAACAATTTGATATTTATTATTGATTAACCAAAACTTTCCAAATTGTAAGGGCCTCTATACAGATTTCGTCAAAATAATATTCTTATTAATATACAATAAGAGAACAATATGTCCAAATATTACTATAATTATTTTAGCAATATTAAATGTGAATACATTTACGTTGCAGGATTCAAAGGCGATAAGCTGGGAGCACGAAGGATCTCCAGAAAGAGAACCCACACCGCCCATGCCGACTATCCCACCGCCACCGCCACCGGTCATCGAAGACGACTTACCAGAAGTATGGCCAGATGATATCCCAGATTTGGAGTCATTAGAAATATCTGATGAAGAGGAGCAACCGTACGCCGTTGCACTATTTGATTACTTCACAGATCATCAGGAAGATTTATGTTTTTCAGTAAGTACATTTATTTCAGATGTTATTAGATATTTTAGATTTTAATTGATAATGTATCTTTTTCATTAAACAAATGATTATAATGTTTATAAGATACTAGCATTGCCCGCGGCTCCGCCCGCGTTCAGATGACCAAATACCAAATTCTTAGGTTTTACATATTAGTATACTCTTACAATGCAGTTTATGTATTTTTTCTCAGAAATTAGATATTTTCCCGCGCTAAAAAAGTATCCAATATGTTGACCCGGATAGCCAGCTATCATCATACCAAATTTGATCAAAATCTGTCCAGTGGTTTTCTCGTGATGCGGTAACAGACAGACAGACAGACAGACATAAATTCTAAAAACTATAGATTCGGACTCTATCGATAATAATTTCTATTTCAATTAGATTTTCCAAAAAAATATTTAATGTACAGATTCGACTTAGTTACAATTTTATTACATGTATAGATTTGAGAGATGCATATAGCGGTGGATGTTTTATATTTATATTATGTAAAAATGTACGAGTGAGATGACGTCTTTGGCGTGACCTTTGTTTTTTCATCGTGATGAATAATGTGTTTTGTATGAAATGAAAAACTGCAATTAGCCTAAAATAATCTTCCTTATAAATTTTACAAAAAACCAAGAAGTTTTAAGTTTATTTTATTCTTCGTTGTTTACTTATTGTCGAACTCTGAAGTATATTATTAACTGTTGATTATATAAACATAAATGTTTTAAATATTAGAGAAATTCGTAAATATACCAAAGAAATAAACTTACAATATCGTATTAAGCTTCATGATTGTTCCGCTCCTAATACTTTACCAGTCTACGTGTTTGTAAATACGTCAAATTATGGAAAATATACCCAGATATATTTAAATGAGACCTAAATTTTATGATTTATGTTTGAGAATTGAGGTCTTTGTCGTTAAAAAGTAATCTCTCTTGCCTTCATGCGTTAAATGTTTATTAATTAGTTTTCCAAAAATACTCTTAAATTCTGAATAAAAATCATTAAAGTTGTTTTATATGTGGGAAAATCGAACTTGTAATAGATCATCTCATCTTGCCGGCTCTTCTCAGCAGAACTGCTTTCCCAGCCGGTGTTAACTTCCTCACGGACTGAATACACTGACACTTACATTAAATTGACGATACAAAAGCACTTGTAATAAGTCTAATTGAATAAAGTTTATTTCATTTCATCCATAAGTAGGGTAAGGACAAAGATTAACCTTCCAACGTCGATGATTCAAATGACTCCTAAATAATTGCTATAAAGATTCGACCCTTAACCCTGCAATACAGACGTCTGACTTCATCTAATTGCAATTAGTATTTTAGTATCCAGTAATTTTGACTGCCGCGGTAGTGTAGTGGCTAGCATGTCCTGGGTTCGGGTCCCGGGTCGGGCCGAGTTTAGTTATTGAGTCTTTCTGTATAGTAAGCCTCAGTAACAGCCCGGAGTTGGGAAGTTGGCGGTGTTTCACCCCCGTGCCTCGGAGAGCACGTATAGCTGTCGGTCCTGCGCCTTTACTCTCACTGGCCGTGTCGAGTGGTCGTCCCACCAGAGTATGAGAGTGACAGGAATAGAGAGTTCACTTGTGTCTGCCCGCACACTTGTGCACTATAATATCTCCTGCGCAGATGGCTAGTCTCAATGAGATTGACCGCCGTGGCCGGAATCGGTCAGGATAACATCATCACCCAGTAATACGAGTATACTCCATACATTGCGGGGAGCAACGTCACATTAAAGGAAATGTTTTTCAAACGATTATGTTTATACGTGTATTACCTATACGTACGTTTAAGAAGGAATATCAATGAGTGTATAAATAACTTTTAAATGGTTTGATATCTTATTAACGCAAGGTTATTGACCCATCCAAGATCAGTTTTATTCTATCGTTAAAGCGTTTTATGTTATTCCGATGGATAACTATATGTCCTCATATGTTATATGTAGGTATAGTACGTACTAAATACGGAGTTTAAAAATTTCTCGAATGTGGCTTGAAGCCAAATATTTGACTATATTAAGATATAGCTTTTTTTCTTTTATCGTCTTTGCTTAGATACAAGTTCACGGACAATTTGCATGTTTAAATTTATTTACAAAATTCTTACAACGTGTTTGTGTATCTTATGTAGGTACTTTGCATTATAATTTTATGGCATGTAAGCTCAAATTATCATAGTATGTATTTAAAATCATTCGAGTATGAAATGTTTCAGTAAAAACGGAAACAAGAACGAGTTTTAATATGTGTTATGCAGAAAATCCAGTTATTTATATAAGTTGTTATATTGATACATCCGGTTCCGTTGTCATATTATACAGTCTACACTCGTTTTAAAAAGTATAGGTATAATGTGCTAATCTTATTTACTTAAAGGTTAATCTACTTAAATAGAGTATTTGTGACGCAAGCTCTCATTATGGAATATCGTCTAGTTTACATCACAATGCGCTAAAACCCTAGCAATGTTATCTAAATTTACCTCACCGTTCATGGACAAACTTGTTAGCGTTTATTTAGCAATTATCGTCATGACACCACACTATGTGTCTGTTTCTCTTACTGATGAAATTATTTTTAGATCGAGTATATTGTTTAAATGCTTTCACTAAAAACCTTTATTTAACACTAGCGACTCAGCCTCGCATCGCTCTGGTTCGCGTCTAGCTTGCTTCCTAATACAAACTTTCATCCCTATTTTCACCCCCTTAACGAATGATTTCCGAGATAAAAAGTATTCTATGTCCTTCCCGGTGTCTCAAACTATCTTCTTACCAAATTTAATCTAAATCAGTTCAGTAGATCCAGAGGTTACCCCCGACGACTGCACAAACTCACAAAGTTTATCTCTTTATAATATTATTATAGACTAGCATTGACCGCGGCTACGGCCGCGTTCAGATGACCGAAAACCAAATTCTTAGGTTTTACATATTAATTTAATCTTATATTGCAGTTTTTGTATTTTTTCTTAGAAATGACAGACAGACAAAAATTTTAAAAACTATTGATTCGGCCTCTGTATCGATAACAATGTTTATTTCAATAAGATTTTCCAAAAAATATTTAATGTACAGATTCGGGTTAGTTACAATTTTATTATATGTATAGATTTAAATAATGGCCAAAATAATAGCATTGCTGCTTTGTTTCCATCGTAAATATTTTTCACAAAAACAAATGAATTTTAAATTTGCTAAGACTTTGTATACCTATGCATTTTTTTTTTCAATATTTTTTTATACAATAATTAAAACAATTCTCCTCCTATATAAGATTTATATATATATACATATATATATATATATATATATTTAAGCGCACATACAAGTCTGATAATAAAAATTGAAAATATTTGGTAAAAACATGTTATTCATATTGACTCAGCGTAAGATATTTGCGTCAGGAAATTGAATAGTGCGCATGCGGTCCAATGACGTACAATTTTGTATTTCTGTTCATGTTTGTTTTGTTATATTATCGCTGTGAATATGAATATCAGTAATGTGGACAATTTGCAGTATTTATTTTATGAATGATAAAAAAAATCCACAGCGCGTATCGGTATCACACAGGAACTTGGTATCATACATTTCCAGATGGTACTGTTTTAATAACATTCAGTTTGGAGATGCATAATTTAATAGATTATTTTTGAAGTTATACTTCTTTTGGCTCGTTAGGAAAAATATGAGAGTAAAATTTTTACGATGCGCGCGCACACCGACAGGCATAAAGCGACATGATGAAGTTAGCTGCATTCCTTTTACAGAGAGTTGTGACATACGGGATGAAATCTTTAGCTATTTTTGTTCTGTTACGCCAAAGAAGTATAACTTCTTACGTGCGTACATAAGTACAGACTACACACGTTTTTTTTAATTTAAATTAGTATCTATTGTTTTAGTGTCTGTCTATCCTTGATGTGTTCACATGCTAGTTACTACTAACTAATAAGCATTTTTATTTTTTTATGAAAAGAAGTCAGGTCATAAAATATTAATTCAACAATTTTGTATACAATTATCATTTTATTATATATTTAAATTAAATAGTTTAACCGACATCACAACCACTTTAAATGTATTCGTTCCTTAAGAATGGCTCCTTCCCTAAGGATAACCAAAGTCCCAAAGTTCCACACTGATTTATTTGAAACTAGCGACTCGCCCTCGCTTCGCTCGGTTCTTCCCTAAGTACGTTTTAACGGTTAGTATGAAATACAAATCTTTGAATTTTTTGGCTTTTCTGTATTATAATATGCATGTATTATACATATAAACCTACCTCTTGAATCACTCTATCTATTAAAAATCCGCATCAAAAACCGTTGCGTAGTTTTAAAGATCTAAGCATACATATGGACAGACAGACAGCTGGAAACGACTTTGTTTCATACTATGTACTGATCTTGACACATAGGTATAATAATAATATTCTTCTTTTACATTGTTCAACCAATCGTACTACTCATATCAGTATTTAATTACGTAGAAGTCACAGATATAGTCTTGTTTGTTATCCATTATTGAATTCATAAGGTAATTTTCAAATATTAAATGGCCAAAAAAGCTTTATAAAGTTTCTGTAGGTAGGTATGTCTTTTGTACCTGATCTCTGGATCTGATTTAATGTGAATATCACTGGCCGAAAGTCAGTGTAGTAGTGGAGTAGAGTTCAAAATTAGACAATAGTTTTTCCATATCGATTTTTTTATCATATTTTTATACAAACAATGTCTACCAGACAACTTAATGTAAATATTGTAAGTGAATCATCGTTATCATTATAATGAAGGAATGAAAGAAAGATTGCTTTGTAAATAAGTTGATAAGTTAAGAATCTAATAATATACACATATTGTTTATTTGCACTATTAATATACCTAAACATTAGTATTTTTTCGTGATAAAAATACAACAATATTTAAAATGATAAATGATACCATAGATTATTATAAGGTATCTACTCGATGATAATAATTTTTTTTTGGAAAAACAATGTAGAATTTAGATTTTTTTAAATAACAGCAGCATTTAACAATAAATAGTTAGGCTTCCTTGAGCGAATACTGTAATTTTTCATGTAAATTAAGTGTAAATTGTATGTAGTACGTAATTATATAGTAAGGCTATCGTATATGTATACTTTATACATCATTAAATATATTTCATAACAAAGCAAAGTGAATAGCCTAACCTAGATAAAGTTTATTGGTCTTGTATTTATTTATAATTAAAAATGTTTATTATGCAAATATATATAGATTATAAAATGAAACCATATTTCCTAAATGCCCTCAACTAAGCTAATTTGTTTAATCTCCATTAAAAAAATAAACAAATCATAGATAATAATTATTTTTACTACTCTGTGCAATACGTTCACAAATAATAAGTATTATGTCCCATACAATAAACATACATACGTTATAATATGAGGATACATAATAAACTAGCGACTTACCCTCACTTCGCTCGATATCGTCCCTTATAGGTGATTCTTTAAATGGACATAGGTAACTTTTTTTTTAGCCTACAATATTTTAAGATATGAATATCTAATAGGTAAATATGTATTTTACGTATCGAAGTATATTAGATTTGCTTTGCATCGGCTGGCACCGACTTCGAAAATATCTGATTAGGTATCTATTCTAAATGAAAACCCCCGTTTAGTTATTTTTTACATTTTAGTGCCTGGAAGACGGTTTTTATTTTTTGTTAAAAAGTTTTTATTAACATACTTAAGCATGTACGGATACATCATTACTTACTCTATTATTTTGTAACTGATTTTTTCAAGACAAAGCACGTTTAAATAATTGAGTTGGTGATATAATATTACATTTTATGTGCTAGTTTTGCCTAAGTACAACTGTAAATATTTATTATTAATATTAATATAAATTATTAACATGTTGAATTCATAAGATATAATATTTCGAAGTCGGTGCCAGCCGATGCAAAGCAAATCTAATATATTATTTCGATACCTATAATACATCACAAATTGATGTATAATGTTTTAACTATAATATTTTATCTATTCTAAATGAAAACCCCCAACGATACTCCACTTGAATCGGCTCATGTGTTTGGTCTAAATAGTTCCACAAAGGTACAAACCCACATACATACATATATAGGCTGATAAACACATTACCCTCCTTTGCGTCGCGCTGTCGCGTAATGAAATTATGTCAAGTAAAAGGACGTGATGAGGAAAATAATATAACTCTATATTTAATTATTAGATTTTTTGACTTAATTTATTTTAATACAAATTAAAAAATATTACAGGCGAATTCGAAGATTACATTGATAAGGCGAGTGAACGATGAATGGTTGTACGGAAGATTGAGAAGTGGTGCAGAAGGCCTTTTCCCGTCCAATTACGTAGAGGTCAAAGTACCGCTACCAAACGAGAGGCCAGCTGGGATTGGTCAGGCGATAGCATTATACGACTTCGACCCAGTGCAAACAGGCGACCTAACGTTCAGAATAGGGGATAAAATTGCTGTACTCTCGAAAATCAACGATGAGTGGTACTTCGGTGAGTGCAATGGCCTGAAAGGACAATTTCCCGCGAATTACGTTCAAATGAGTTAGTCTATGTTCTTTACATGTATATAAAAGAGGTTTGAATGTGTATTTTCAATATAATGTAAATTAATTTCAGCATTATCATGTAAAATAACTTACCCCAGTAAATAGTAAATATTAAAAAATATATTAATTTAATTTCAATTATAATACTGTAGTCAATACTTTAATTATTTTCGTATTCCAATTTTTGTTTAGTCTAGGTATTTTTTTGTCTACAATACGACGGACTAGATAATTTTATTCTACATTCTAGCATGCTTGCTTGTTTGTTGCCTTACAATTTTTTAAAATAAATAATCAATGAAATATTATTCCTTATGTTCTTTTCTAAGATAACGTAACAGAATTACGGATATTTGAAAATTAATAAATTAAAAATTATAAATAATAATTAAAAATAATCAATTATATTCATTTACGAAATCGTCCAATAATTATTATTATAAAATATGTATGTAATATGTGATATAAAATGTGAACTTCACAAAGACTGATGCGTTTCGATTTGTTTTTTGCTTGATAAAAACCAGTTCAAAAAACTTTTCTAGCGTCCATTTCAAAATTAAAATGATTAAGCAATGCAATAATTTTCTTTCATAATAATAAAAGTGCAATAATGTACCATAAAGGCATGCAATGTTAGAGTTAAATAGAAATAAAAAGTCAAAGCGACGTAGCTTACTGGCTTGGTCTGACAGCAGAATAAGCCCTTTTAAGTCGCAGATACTTGATAAAATATATTTATGAACTGGGGTTTTCTATGAAAATGTAGTATGTATAAATAATGTATGGGCGCCGTAAATAGCTAGCCATTCGTTTAAACAAATAGTCCTTACGTGTACAATTATTATGCGGTTATCACATTTTTGCCATAATAAAATAAGTAGGAAATAATTATTTTTACTTCAATTACAAATGGCATACCGCGACTAATATAATCTAGATAACATTTGTTACGAATGAATGTTAATATCGTATTGTGCTCGTGTTTTTAATATATGTTGTGTTTGTGTTATGAAAGATCTGATTGTGTGTAGTTATATGTTGAAATTGGTAACTCCTATACTTGACTATAGGACATGACCATTTGATACAACGACATGATTCGACTTTATGATTTTTATATCTATTCTTTACAATTGAATATTAGTTAAAAACTAAAACCACTAAGGATTATACAAATTTTTCGCAGTACATTCAAAGTTACCAATTTTAACGTTATACAGTACCCAAATATACCTCATGGTTAACAAGATCTTTTATGTATCCACACTTTGGGTACCAAAGTGCGGCTTACTAATATATCTACTATATCGGCGGTTCCCAAATGGTGGTCCTCGGAACCCTAAGATACCGTGGTCACAGGGGTTCTCGAGTTTCGTCCGACAGTTAAATAAAAAGTAGACATGAAGCCTAATTTTAATGCTATTATAAATAAATATATGAAAAAAAAACATCAGATGAAATAGTTATATTTTTGGTACAATAAATATTATTTATATGCATTTTTCATTTATGATTTGTTCTTTCAAATCAAACAATAAAGTATTCTAATTACAACACATTCAGTTATTATTAAAAAGGGGGTCCATTTAAAAAAAATATGATCAATTATGGTTCCGTGGCCAAGATAAAATTGGGAATCGCTGTACTATAGAATCATTATGAAATTGTTACTGTAAAACTCTTCCCGGTCATAGCTTTTAATCTAAATCTGCTGCACAATTGTAACAAAAGTACCTATGTCACTTGATAACGCGGAAAATGTAATGCTAGTTTTATCGATGCACTAAAGTTTTATGCTTATAAATAATTGCGTTATAATAAAATAGAAACCGTTCGTTCGTAATAAATTATGAATCTTATGTATTTAATTTTTGTACATTTTTTTACTTTCTTATGGAATTAAATAAAAATTGTATGGCCAAAGGCTCGTTATTCATAAGTTTTCTCGACAGTAAAATAAGTATATGTGTATATTGTATTTGTAATTTTGTGTCATTTATTTTTAAGTAGCCTTTATTTTGGTGGGACCATATTGTTAAGTGCCTTATGTATTTCGAACTAAATCAATGTATATATTATCTACTTATTTATAATAAAATGTAATTATATTTTCTTTTTTATTTTGCATCTGCCTTTATATTTTGCGTTATAAGTAGTTACTTCGTAAGTAAGAATAATAACATACAAAATACTATGGATCTATTTCTATAGCTGTGGCATTTACTACAGTCTTATACTGGCAAATTAAAAACTCCGTCTAATTTTTTACAGGTGGCCACTTGGCCAGTCTCCATATGTTTACAGATTGTTTTAATTTTTATTTAACTAGGCATCGTAATTGTACACCTTTAACCAAGTTTGTGATTAAAGTTGCTGTTTCAAAAACACTATATTATGATCATAAAAATAAAATAGTGACACATAAATGAAATAAAAACGTAACAGCTGCCTAATAATGTGCCTTGAAATAGACATAATATGCCAAAATTTGATTTTATAAAATTTATTAAATATATCTGTAACAATTTCTGATTCTAGAGCTTATTTATTTATATATGTAAGTAATTTATATATACAGACTACGCGTAAGCAATGGCCACCTGTCACGTCTAAACTTACACAAATATATATGTACAATAAAACACTTATATCATCACATAGTGAGATTTATTATTTGAACAAAAATAATCTATTTTTAGGTACTTAAAATATTTACATTCCGCTTAAATTACAACTTAATGTCAACATACCCTGTTCGCTTTTCAACCGTTGCTTAAAAAAACATTGCGGTGGCAAGATAATATTCCGAATTGCGATATATGGCTTTAAATTCCAATCATGGAAACGGTAACGGTACTCAAAAACCTTCACAACTTGTTGAAAAGGGAAAAGAGGGCTAATATATCTAACAAATATTCTACTATAAACAATTACTTGCCTAATAACACAGTCCCGAAGTATTTCCTAACAATTTTGCTCATCCTTCAAACTTTTTCTAGATATTGTTCTCTCAATTCAAGATAACCCAAATTACATTATAAAATTAGACAATTATCATTAGTTTAGTGATATATGTCAACGTAAGAACGTTTTATTGAAAAGCTATGTTTAATTTTATTTCAACCTTTATAGGTTTAAAAATAATAAAACTGCTTTTAACGGATAAACCAAAGTTATGAACAAAATTACTATACAAATTTTTGGAATAGTTTTTATTTTTCTTAGTAATATTTTTTATAAAATAAAAATAAACCTTTTGCACGACTAGTTTTGCAATGTAATATTTCATGGGCTCGTGTGTCTACTTATATTGACATTCAGGTACATAAAATACAGCTACGTTTTGTGTTTATTGACAAAGAATTGTTCATAAAAATTCGGATTTGAAAACTTTGAACAATATTGAAAATAAAAAATATATCATAACACCACACAAATTCATACTATGACTTGCTCTTACCAAACTGTTTGGAATTAAGTAAACCTTAAATTCGTAGTTTAATTTAAAATGGGCAGTTGTATTGTAACATAAACTATCAGATAACGAATATCTGAAGTAATGTTTGTATTGTGTTGTAGATGATTGTGCGAAGGAAAGCTTCAATTGCAAAATTTAATGTACAATTAAAAAAATTAATTACATAATTTTCTAGCCTCATCTTAGATTTTCGAATTCTTAAAGCTATATTACACATTAAGATAACATCGCTTTAAAAGCAACAGAAGCTTGCAATTTAATGTGACATCTATATTAGAGGTGAGCGATTATGTATCAAATTCAATAGCTTTAGAAAAAAAAAAAACAAAATTTATTACATCTATTTATGTAGTATAAAAGAAGTAAACAGAGTCTATTTTATAGAAATTCTGTAGTTTTTTTAATAATAATATTTAAGAATAAAATAGACACAGACGCCATCGCCCACCTCTAAATACACACAAAAAGCGTTTAACCACTTATTCGATATTTACAAAATGTTTTTAAAACAGATGATTTTAAATACACAATCATCATCAATGCCGCATGAGTTGCAATTTTCATATTATACGTTTATTTACATACTGATGTTTTATTTAATCTGGCCTGTATATCGGTATTTTGGGTATGAATTCTATGAGTAGAACGTATTCCATCATGGAAGAAGAGTCGCAGTGTTGTTTAGTGAGGCGCCAACGCAAGCCCAGTTTGTTGTAGAGCCGGCTGTTCTCCCATTCCAACAGTTTGTTCAGTGAATGTTGTGTCTGTAAAATACATTAATATCTAAAATATAAAATTTCCATGTCACAATGTTAGTTACCGTACTCCTCCGAAACGGCTTTACCGATTTTTACTAAATTTTTATATGCGTATTCAGTAGGTCTGAGAATCAGCTACTATATATTTTCCATACCCCTAAGTGATAAGGGTGGCCCACGTTAGGGACGAACCCGAGCGGAGCGAGGGTGAGTCGCTAGTTTATAATATAAACAAATCGAGAGCTTTCTATCAATATACTCGTGCAATAGTATTTTGTAAAAATGTATACACAAAATATTTTTTCTTATATGCCCCGTAATAAATTGAGACTTAATTCACTTGCTCCTAAGCCTGCTTTATGTATATTACAGGTGAAAAATAATAAAGGTTTCATCTCGTTCTTTTTTTTTCGAAATACGTTCAACATGTTATGTAGTTCATATTATGTCTTTTACTATGTTTTAAAGGAATATTAATACAAATTAAATAAAAATAAAAACTGACTTTGTCACTCGGGAATGCAAATGAGAGTTTTTACTAGGAATATAAGTAATAATAAGTTCCCCAGTAAGATTCTGATCTTTGATAATCTTATATCATTACTAGCATTGCCCGCCGCTCCGCCCGCGTTCAGATGACCAAAAACCACATTCTTAGGTTTTACATAATATATATAGTATACTCTTACATTGCAGTTTTTGTATTTTTACTCAAAAATGAGACATTTTCCCGTGGTAAAAAGTATCCTATATGTTGACCCGGATAACCAGCTATCATCTTACTAAATTTCATCAAAATCTCTCCAGTGGTTTGTCTGTGATGCGGTAACAAACAGACAGACAAAAATTCTAAAAACTATAGATTCGGCCTCTGTATTGATATTAATGTTTATTTCAATAAGGTTTTTCAAAAAATACCTAATGTACAGATTCGGCTTAGTTACAATTTTATTATAAGTATAGATTATTAAAACAGTGAAAGTACATAGATTTTTTTGTTTTGCTATAAAGTTATTTAGTTAAGACACTTTGTTACAGGGTACTCGGGAACTCGGCAATCTAGAGCTTTTTAAAAAGACAAATTATGTGGTAATAAATCATTCTCACAGTCCTTTAACTGGCGCTAAAAATAATGTAGGTACGTGTATAATGTGTAAATTATCTATTGTTTTCCTGTAGTAACAATGTTTAGACCTACATAATAGCTTATTACTCACCCGTTTACTAAGACAAATGACCGGCCATAGAGAGCATCCAAGTGTACAGCAGCAACACACGCAACCACAGAAAAGCCACTTCACATTGACGGGCAACGTTTTCTTTAGAACACTGTTGATCCTAGCTATCGTCGCTTGGTATTCTTCTGGCGCCACACGAGATTGCAATCCAGAGGGAAATTCGCCGTTGAAGCGGTTGCTTAAACCAAATCTGAAATTAAAATATACTTTTTTGTTAACTTATTTTCACATATTGACCACACAAAATATTTTAAACTAGCATTGCCCGCGGCTCCGCCCGCGTTCAGATGACCAAAAACCAAATTCTTAGATTTTACATATTAGTATACTCTTACAATGCAGTTTCTGTATTTTTGCTCAGAAATGAGATATTTTTCCGCGGTAAAAAGTATCCTATATGTTGACCCGGACAACCAGCTATCATCATACCAAATTTCATCAAAATCCCTGCAGTGTTTTTTACGTGATGCGGTAACAGACAGACAGACAAAAATTTTAAAAACTATGGATTCGACACCTGTATCGATAATAATGTCTATTTCAATAAGATTTTCCAAAAAATATTTAATGTACAGATTTGGCTTAGTTACAATTTTATTATATGTATAGATGTCAAATATTCGCGTAAATCTAAGAGAGTATCACATAAAATATGTTTGTCTCGGCCTAAAATGGTGACCAGTCACAGGTGGACTATTATATACGTCATCTTTTACTTAATGAGAAATATTAAAATGAAGTTTGAAAGCACTATCTTTCAATTTTAAAAACTTAAAATATTTTTATGAATAATATTTGACATTTTACTAAATGCATAATATGAAAGTACCTATAACTATACGGTACTAATAAGAAAAAAAATCATTTTTTGTTTGTCTGTTTGTTTCAGCTAATCTCCGAAACGGTTGGACCGATTTTGACGGGACTTTCACTGGCAGATAGCTTATGTTGTAAGGAGTAAAATATAGGCTATTTTTATTTTAGAAAAAGAATCATTGTTCCGTGCAAAAAAGTTAAAACGCATGAAATTGTAAGCAATTCGGTGTACCTAAGGACGCACCCGAGCGAAGTGAGGGTAAGTCACTAGTAATAAACAAATATATAATATTCGCAAGAAAATATTTTGTTTATTTTGTTTAATAAATTGAAATGAATATAAATAATGTACGCGACACTGGAACTGTTCCAAAAATGGACAGTTGTTTTTGCTTACTCTAGCAGAGATAAAAGAAATAACATAGAAATAAATAAGTCATATTTCACTCTATACGCGTACTAAATTAACTTATGAGATATTGCATGCATTTTCAAAATTAAATACATATAAGTAATTTTACTGATAAATTAATGTAAGGGTGAAGTGAAAGGGAATATAATATTTATAAAAATGAATATTAAGATGATTGACAGGGTGTTAAAACTACGACAATTTTATGATTGTTTGCTAGCAAGCTAATGATGTAAAGCAATAAGTACTAAATTTTACTCTGGGAGTTACTAGTCTGTAGCTACGGATGTCTGGCAACAGTAGGGCTACCTGTTTCTTGTTGGGATCTAAAATTTGTATATCTAAGAACAGCAGGTCTGAGAGTATGGAATACATAAATGTGAATTTCTTAGACATAAAATCTTAGGATTTGATATTTAAGTTGAAAATAATCTGAATTTACTATTGCCTATTTTGATAATCAAATAATAATTTTTAGCAGAAATTCAATTTTAAAACAAACTAAAAAGCAATGTGTAAATGGCTTATATAATCATAATTAACCTGCTTGATCTTTCATAAAGTTGATAGTTAGAAAACAAAGATCAAAATACGAAGTTAATTATAAATACTTAATAATGTATATTATCTAAAAGTCCTATATTAATTACTTGACACATTACATAATAGTGATAAATATTTGTTATACCTTAAAGACCTACTAATTTTTACTATCTATTCCCAAGACAACAGAGCAATAACCATCAATTTATGTTGTATACAGCCCTTTTTAACATCCCACTCTCACTCATACTGAAGGGAGGCCAGTGCCCAGCGGCACTGGCCTCCCTTCAGTATGAGGAGAATCAGGCCATAGTCCACCACGCTAACCAAATGCGGGTTGGCGGACTTCACATGTCTTTTGAAAACTTGCTAGGTTCTCTCAGATATTCAGGTTTCCTCACAATGTTTTCCTTCACCGTTAAGAAAAGCGGTAATCATGTTGGAAATGATTTGCACATGAAAATATCAGAGGTACGAGACCCAGGATTTGAACTCGCTTCACTTTGTTTCCCAAGCGAGTGAGTTACAACTGGGCTACCACTGCCTTTACCATCAATCAATGTAGATTATAGTATATAGTGATGTCTTAACATAAAAAAATAGTCTGTTTTTTTTGTGTGGAATTTTCCATCTGATACATAACACTTCACATTTATGATATCAATTTAAAAAGAATACATTAAAAATAGTCACATATAACTAATTAGCTGAATCTTAATACAGACAATTTTATAAAATGCTAAAATAATGATTTCAAACAGAAACTAGATAGTCAGTTTTTTCATCAAGTGTCTCTTTTAATAGATAGAGAATGATTGCATTGAGACACTTACATCAAACATAAAAAAGAAATAGTTTTACTTTTTTTTATTAATTGGTTGACAATACACTAGAAAAAATATTGTCAGTATTAAACTTAAACCATAACAATCAATATAAAGTCAATAAGAAGATTGTTTATTCTCATTAACCTACAAATTCCATATTAACTAGTAATTGCTTTAAATAGTAATTGATATCAGCATTTAAATTATATACAACTAAAACCAGTTTCCTTCTATATAAATAATGTAGAAATGAATCATTCCATAATAACATTTATCAGAATATTAAAGGAGTGGTATTGTTAAGGTCTCATTTCCGCTCCAGAAAAATGAAAAAATATGTTATTAGATTTAATTTTTTTCTTTACGTATTCTGAAAATAGACTGTGTGCCCGGTAAGAAAATATATTTATGAGAGAAAAATATAGATTTATTGTATTTTTTTTCTCTTTTTAAATATAATTTTTTATTCAGGCACACTTTACTTTCAGAATATGTTAAGAAAAGATCAACTCATATGACATATTTTTTTCATTATTAAGGGGCGTAAATGAGGCCATATCGATATATATCCTTCCTTTGTATAACTTCCCAAGTCTTATAACCCAAGCCTTAAGATACAGTATTCTAAAAAATATTAAACTTCTAAAATAAATGTATCAAGATTTTTAAACTGGTATAGTATTAAGCATAACATTGAATTAGTTTCACTAATTTTCACTGTGGTACATCAAGGTTAACTCTCTTTAAAAAGGGGACATTACCTAACTTCATTATTAAATATGTTTCCAATACTAGTTTTAATATGTAGTACTATTACTCCTTAAAATATGTTATTATTTAATATTATCATAAGTAAAATGTCTTTTTAAGGAAATACAGAACATGTTTAGTATTAATTTCAGTTAAATATTGTTATTAATTTACTCAATTTATATATAATAACATTTTGTAGAAAGCTTTGTTTAAAACTCAACAGCTGTTCTATATATTATATTGATATAATTAATTAAGTTTTAATCAAAGTAGGTATCTAGAAAAAGTAAACTGTTAATTCATGACTTTGACTTTAATTAATAGAGAAATAAACATTTTGGCATTTAGTCAATGTTCTTAATAAAATGGTCAATGCTACAAACTAATAACAAAGAACCAAAAATAGCTTTGCACTTAGTCAATATATAAGCGATTTAAATTATATTAGAGGTATTACAAAAGGGAAATAGGCTAGTTTTAAGATTTAATTTAAACAGCTGATAAAATGAAACCTACACTGTCATGTTACCAGCTCCTCGAACGACGATAGGGTCAGGCACTAATGTCACATGCGTCTCTTCTATATTCTCCTCAGGTTCAGTCTCCTCTGGATAAATAGCATCAAAGTCCGCCATCTTTTAATAACACAAACTCAACAACCTTTACACTTCTTCTGTTTGAAACACATAACAAAGCACAGTGTTTGCTGTTTGCTAAATTTTCACATTCATTACAAAAAGAAGTATCAAGTGACGTTTTCATAAATACAAAATACGAGTGTTGCCACTTGCCACTTACTGTGTTGTTGATGACAAAAACATTGTGATATGTCTATAATGGTTAAATATAGAATAAGGATAAAACCTAAAAATTAAGTATAATTATTTTATTTACTTCTATAATATATAAGGAAAAATTTTGTTCTTAATACCCATACCTTAATTGCTTATGATATAAAATAATACTATTATCATCTGGTGGCGGGAGCGGTTAAATTAAGAATCAAAATTGTCAACAACAGTAGAACTTTAGAAGCATGAAGTCTCTAATTCGTTCATGTTTAGAAGGTATATTAAAGATGGCATTGAAATTTGAAAACTATATACTTTCAACTTTGTAATCTTTTTATCCTTTAGGACCTGTGAAAATCTGGGTATTGTCTAGAATCATCTAGATTCTAGACTCATTTAAAAAGAAAATGAAACTGAAATTACGTAAATATAACGGTATTTATTATCAAAATTTATTTAATATTTTCAATTATTGTGCTTCTCTTTTGCGCAAATTCTCAAATTCCAGTATCAGTATTTCATGTAGGTTGTATTGGCACGGTAATGTAATGCATATACCGTTGGCTTGGCGATCAGCCATAGATAAATATAATTATTTAAGCGAAAGCACTGAGCGGTGCAATCTCTTTCAGAAAGCAAAATTTTCAAACTAAATAAAGTTTCATTTCATTTTAAATAAAAACTTTTTAACAAAAAAATAAAAACCGACTTCAAACAAAAGCACTAAAAAAAGTAAAAAATAACTGATTGGTAGTTTTCATTTACTATACATACCTAATCAAATATTTTCGAAGTCGGTGTGCTTTGCTTTGTATGGGCTGGCACCGATTTCGAAAATATTTGATTAGGTATGTATTTAATAGGTAGGCTTTAATTACTTAGCCAAAGCACACCGACTTCGAAAATATTTGATTAGGTATGTATAGTAAATGAAAACTACCAATCAGTATTTTTTACTTTTTTTAGTGCTTTTGTTTGAAGTCGGTTTTTATTTTTTTGTTAAAAAGTTTTTATTTTTCCCTTTTTAGTGTAGACAGTAGTAGCAAAGTAAGAATTCTAACGTGTTAGGCTTGTCGAATCAAACAAAATAAGCCCAAACTCAAAGTATCCACTATTAGCCGTTGAAGAGTTCCACCTATCCACCTTCTGGCCTTACCATCAGATCAGGTCAACAATACCGAACCACTGTACTATCAACGGAAATAGAAACACTTGCAAAGTTTCAAGTCAATATGACAATTAGAAGTAGGTTAAATCCATCATTAGCTATTTTTCCACCCTTAGGGGTGGCATTTTTTTTTTAAATTTAAATGGGACCAATCTGGAAGTATACCCTTTCAAACAAAAGAAAAATCGTCCAAATCGGTTAATAAACGACGAAGTTCTGAGGTAACAAACATAAAAAAAAAAAAAAAAAAAACAAAAAAAAAATACAGTCGAATTGAGAACCTCCTCCTTTTTGAAGTCGGTTGAAAATTAAGAAATATTTTAAAGTAAAAACAGATATTGATATTTTATATACCTCACGTGTCTCTGATGATGAAGGTATGTTAATCTGCCGGTTTGTAATTTGGGGGGATGTTAAGTGAACACGAAAGTAGCTCCCATTCAAAAGACTGAAGATTCCGATGTGACGCAAGGACGCAAGGCGTCGGTGGTTTTTTGAATATGCGAAAAAATCGCTATTTTATAAATACTCGAGCGCGTCAGATTATTATACAGACGGTTCAGCTTGAAGCGGTTGGTCCTAGTGGTGCTGACCCATCTCTTCTAATCTGATGATTATTTGGAGAGACTAATTACGACGGCTTAAAAAATATGATTTCGTTCTGTAATGTCTTCATGGTAATGACGTAGTAGATGTAGGAAAGTAGTGTGGGAATGGCGCAAGAGAGTGACAGTTAGAGAAAGAAAAAGAAGTACAAGAAAGAGAAGCGCGGAGTGAAGAATACATGCTTTACTACACCTGCAACTGCTCTAAACTTTATCGATGATTTTTGTTTCTTCGGCTTGTGGAAATCGGTAGATTATAGAAATGTACATTATTCAGCATGTAATTAGCCCACCACATTTTAATCTGACGCGCTCAAATATTTCTAACTAATTAAAATATTTTTCTATTCTGATCGACTGCCCTAGACGCGCGAACTTATCACGTTGCACTCAAAAGAGTGCAAGGTCCCCCTTATGTTAATCTGCCGTGCTTGAGTAAATCCCGAAATACCCTACTGCAAGCAATGTGCTATGTACCTAAATATAAATTATGTGTGTGATTCTCAAAGCCTATGTTGTTAACAAAAATAACATGAAAAAGTTTTATCATAATAAATATACTGCTTTGTTTCATATTTGACGGCTTAAAAATAAATATAATAAAATTAGTGAGAAAAACCTTATAAGGGCAGGGCATTATATTGTGTTTTACGCGAACAACTACACATGCACTTCATAACATGCAGCTGTGACCTAATAAATTATTTTAAATACCTTATAGCTATAACTATACATAATAACACGCAATCGCTCTAATCTACTACGAATAATTTTAATAAAGGCTTATATCGTTTATTATATTATGTACATAAGTACCTATTTTATTACACTTAATTTTATCACAAAACTAGCGACACAGCTTCGCTTCACTTGGGTTCGTCCCTAGGTTGGTTCCTCATATAAACTTTCATCCCCATTTTCAAGGAATTTCTCTTTAAGGTATGATTTCCGGGATAAAAAATCCTATGTCCTTCCCACGGTCTCAAACTATCTTCTTACTAAATTTCATCTAAATCGGTTCAGTAGTTTCGGAGCCTATTCAGTACAAACAAACAAAAATCAAATCTTTACTCTTTATAATATTAGTATCGAATAACAAAAAGTGTTAATATAATATTTAATTTATTGTTTTGTGGCGTGTTCGGACATGTATCCATATCACCCTGCCCGTTGACGGCCGGAGGGTCCCCATGATCGGTTTCCCCAGAGTAATAAGAAAATATGTACCTATTCATATCCCCCCAATGTGTGTTCACCTTGTCATGGTGGGGGAAGGGCCGGCTAGATTGCCGGAAGTGAAGTAAAGAGCCACCATTTCGGTGGACGGTGTACTATGCAGATTGCTTCTGGTACTTCTCTAATAGCAGAGTGGTCTGTGGGAGCAATCCCTTGCTAACCATTAAGTTGCTTATCCGAAGGTATAATATTTAAGAAAAAATTACAAAGATCTTGAGGAGAAGATCTTGAAGTTAAAAAGCCTCGTATATTTTGCAGGCTAAAATCTATGAAATCAAAATGGAAGTAAATGTATGTATCGTTTAATGAGCATATTAGGTAGGTACTTTATCAATACAAATTAATACAATTACTAAAAGACAATAATAATTATATTCCACGACAAATCATAAACAAGTCTATGCCACGAGAACCGTACATTTTTCCGAGATAAAAAGCCTTTTTTAACGTTGGGAAATGCATTTACGCACGAGGTGTGGGACTCACCGGCAAAGCCAGTACTACCCACTAAAACCCAACAAAATCGCAGGATCGCTTACGCATTCAACTACGACGCCCCGACGGCAGGTCTGCCGAAGCAGACCACAATAACCACGGGGTTGCTCCAAGGTCCACTCTGCTATCAGAGAAGTACCCGGAGCAACCCGCATGGCACACCGCCCACCAAAGAGGGCCACCTCCCACCAGCCACCGAAGTGGGCCACCTCCCTGTGCGTTTCTTGGCAATAAAAGTTAAAATTATGATTTTAAGAACATGAAAGGAATTCTCTATCTTTATTTACACAATGAGCTATTATATTAATATGTTGCTCAAAAACCTGTTGATTATTTTAATATAGACATAAAAATTATTAATCACGAACTAATTCATTTTTTATTGCTGAATCTAGACTGTTATTGTTATGCCGATGACTTGCTTTAATTAAATAGTAGGCGTTTTATTCCAAAATATTTCTAAATCAGAAATATCAAATATTATTATGTACTATACACATCATCAAAATAATTAAAACCTTACCCTAGTGTGTAATTTTAGTGAATGTGAGTCTAGAAAAGTTGGCTGATGAAATAATGATTCTGTTTGCAGTAGACTTTACAAGGAGTGTATTTGACGAAATGACCCATTGGGCACTGTGTTTTAAAAAAGTAGTGTAGGCATTTTATCTGATGTTTCATAATGAAACTTGAAAACTCTTTAACTTTAGAAATTATTCCAAAATTACAATTTTATAGAAAATTGTATTGTATAAATACTAAAAAGTGACAAATTTAAATAAATTAAATAAAATAAATTCTGTTAATAATGGCTAATTTGAGAACATGATATTAAGTCTTAATAGGTATATATAAGTGCTTATTACACATTTTAAGGCTCAGTCGTCTTTAGTATGACTGTTGGGGACGACTTAAGCTCATCTCGTGTGCTTTGAATATCAACATTTTGGTGTTATGCATTTTCGATTTGAAAATTAAGAATATAATATTCTGACGAAATTTCATTGCCAATTTGTTTATAAAACAGTATCAAATTTACTTCCACGCATGTCCTATTCGCAACTTCGTAAGTGACCTAGATATTCTAATTTCAGCGTGTACCTATTAAATTTGTGGTTTAATACATTGTTGGATAGGTACATTAATAATTCAAGCGATAAAGGGCCCTTGTATGTTTATGATTAAACCTTTTTCTAGGCAGGTTCAATGCAGTGCAAGTACCTATATAAACAGTAGGAGAACCCCTCAGCAATCACAGGCTCTCAGTTCGTCTACGCGTCAACTGGTCACTACAGAATGAAGGTACTATACAATAAAACTATATTAAACTTTGTTAATAGTAAATTAAATGGATTTTTTTAATATAAAAATATTCATATTATATTCCTATAAAACATTTTTAATTAGTCACACGTAAACAATAATTTGCAATTATAGTTATTATTATTATTATTGCTTTCCTTACGTCAGATCATTTTAATTAAAAAATATAAAAAAGTTCAAAACCATATTATTTTTAGAAAATACTTTCTTTAAATAAAAGAATTATATTTATAGTTAACGTCGCTCCATATTATATCCACTTATGTTAACCCTTATTGTCCAAAGTTAAATCAAATCCATCAAAATTTTTACACGTTCAATTTTTGAATCTTATAATATTTAACAGCACTCTGTGCCGTTTTCGCTTTTAAGCAACGCTTTTTTGATTAAAATAATACAATTATTATCTTTACTTAGGTTCTAATTTTAGCAGCCCTCATGGCATCCAGCGCCTGTGCTGGTTTACTCTCTGCACCACTAGGGTTAGGCTATGCTAGGCCTTACGGCTTAGCTGCACCCCTCGCAGCTCCTATAGCAATCGCCAGGCCTGCTTTAGCCCCGTACGCAGTGGCTAGGCCTGCATTAGCGCCATACGCAGTAGCCAAAGTTGCAGCTCCTGTCGAAGATTACGACCCAAATCCCCAATATTCATACGCCTACGATATTCAAGACGCATTGACCGGTTAGTATATTTTTCATATTTTTTTATTGGAAATATTTTTTTATGTAGACATAGTAGTTGCAAAGTAAGAATAAAGTATTTTATAAAAATTTAGTAGGTGAAAATCAATCATCCTCTACTTTCTACACTTGCATAGGTGTTGTTTTCTTTAAATTTAAATGGGACCAACTTTGAGGTATACCCTATTCAATAAAAATAAGAGTCATCGAAATCGGACTACGCTGTAAATGTTATAATAATAATAATCTTTATTTCAGACGTAAGTACATCCATATATTGTTAATTGGTTAGTAATAATTATACTTAATACTATGTTAGTATTGTTATGCGTGATCAAACATTAAAAAAAATATACGGTCGAATAGTGCTCCTCCTTTTTTTCGTCGGGTAAAAAATTGTAAAATACTGAAGTTAAATTAAATTTAAACATTGCATTTCATGAAAATGAAGAAAAAGAGAGTTGTGATGCCTAAGGTTTTTATTTGTCGATTAGAATAAAATACAATTGTACAAATAAATTTATTTAAGGTGAATATAAAAAAAACTTACAATTAAATAGGGTAAATGGGTAAGCAATAAAAATTGTTTGATTACATAAAAATATGCGTACTTGAAGTATTTCCGCGGGTTTGCTAATGAAAATTACAGTAACTCAATTTCCTTAACGTCTTATTATATATAGCACATATAACATAATATATAAAGCTAACTTAAATTACAGGTGATTCCAAAAACCAACAGGAAACTCGTTCCGGGGACGTAGTACAAGGTTCATACTCCCTTGTTGAGCCAGATGGTACACGTCGTATCGTGGAGTACACCGCTGACCCCCACAATGGTTTCAATGCAGTTGTTCACAAAGAACCACTTGGCGGAGTCGTGAAAGCAGTTGCACCAGTCGCTGCTATACATTAGATTATTATGAAGCAGATTTATTATAAACCCTCAATGCCAATAAAATTGTTTTCTGTAGAATGTATTGGATAAATTTCTTGAATTTTTTTTATTGCCGTCATTTGGTATGAGGTTTTGATTAAATTTGCTTAGACGTTTCCCATCACAGTGACCTGCATATTTATTTTAATGTATTGTTAATATTAATGTTAAAAGTAGGGTAATAAATAAGAGGAATCTATGTTATTTCGTTTTATTTATAATCTGTTTGAAACGTATATTTTTATTGTGTAAGGACAAGACGAGTCCGGCACAAACTTTGATATATTATATGTAACCATAAAATAATATGCTTATGGTTTATGTAATTTCAATGCGCAATCATATGCTGTTTAGCATTATTATTCCTTTTTATAGTAAAGTAAAAAAAGGACAATGCCCTGTTAACGTTAATTATTGAAACTAACAATGTTTAACACCTCCAGGTAAATTTCTAAGACATTAATTAAATTTCTAAGAAATCTATTGTTAACTGTAACGCCAGCGTATCTGCAGACGTTGAGGGATTAATAATGTCATCAATATTTTAAGCTGTTTATGAACTAGAACAAGAAATAATGACATATACAAATGTGTGTCAGCCCCGCCCGCTTATATCATAAATATTAGTGATACACGCTTGGCCCTCTACGTAGGACATGCACGACTATTATAGGTACTTTAAAGCATGTTATATCTACGTGTAGTATCTAAATAATATATGGGAATAGTATTAAATAAGGTGACGTATTGTAATCCGTATTAATATTATAAATATGAAAGTGTGTTTGTTTGTCCTTCTTTCTCGTCAAAACGGAGTACGGATTGGCGGGATTTTTTGTGTGGAGATAGTTAGAGGGCTGGAGAGTGACATAGGGTACTATTAACCGCGGCAGATGATCTCATTCCCACGTGAAAATACGTTATAATACAACCCAAAAATTTATGATCATAATTACTTGAAACTTGGTATTAATGCTCTTCAATACAATAAAATAAATACGTGTTTTAGCATTTTCGAAGTTTACCTCATAAGGGGGTAAAATAGGGGAGGAAAGTTTGTATGAAATAATTGTTGCATTTAACGTAAATAATAGACATTATGCAAAAAAATCGTGCTAATAATAAAAATATTTTAAACCTAGAAGCGCGTTGATGTCTCTTCTATGTACATGTTTCAGACGTGTACAAAATCGACAAAAAAATCTATTCTTTCTTTGTCATAAACTGTTATCCACCGCCAAAGGTTAAAGCTTTTTTGTGATAAAGAATTAGTCATATAATATGCACATTAAACAATAATTTACTATTAGTAACGTAAATAGTTACTTATTCAAACAAAAAATATTGCTCGGCATCCGCTCACGAATTGTTCTATTTGTTAAGAGCTTCCTGCATATAATTGAAAATCACTTTATCTTATAAATTTGATGTTTAAATTAAGTATATTATAATACATGAATAAGGATTTCGCACTCTACTACATATATGTAATATATTTACAAGGACATTTAATTGAGGAGCACGTTCTAATTGGTCAATTAACTCCCAAAGTTTGGCCGTGACTAATATGAATAATGGACTAAGAATGGTAGGTAGTTGTACAACAATTGTAAAATCTTATTTATTTTGATAAAATAATATTTATCACATTATTTTCTAAAGCTTAGTTTAGGTTTAAGAAGTATCACAGCCGGGCGCGAAGCCAAGAAACGCACAGGGAGGTGGCCCGCTTCGGTGGGCTGTGGGAGGTGGCCCTCTTCGGAGGGCGGTGTACCATGCGGGTTGCTCCTGGTACTTCTCTGATAGCAGAGTGGACCTTGGAGCAACCCCATGGTTGTGGTGGTCTGCTTCGGCAGACCTGCCGTCGGGGCGTCGTAGTTGAATGCGTAAGCGATCCTGCGACGCCCCATTAAGACGGGGGAAGGTTTTGTTGGGTTTTAGTGGGTAGTACTGACTTCGCCGGTGAGTCCCACACTTCGTGCGTAAATGCATTTCCCAACGTTAAAAAAAAGGTTTAAGAAGTATCACACCTTTTTTATACAAATTTAAATTATATAATTTTAACAATTTATAGATATCCTTAATCATACTATAAATAAATCAAGTCATTTCTTTGTTTAAATGAAAAATAAGCCATCAATTATTTTTCATTCGATCTCTGATAAACATGTTTTCTGTCACGGAACAAACGGGTGCGTCCCTGGTGTCAAATGTAAGCCTACGTGTTACGTAGATCCAGGTCATAGTCTGTGTATTAAACATTCAAATCGGTCCAACCGATTCATTGTGAAGGAGTAATAAACGTATACACACAAACAAACATTCGCATGAATAATGAAAGTCGAATTATAATTTTTAGCAATTATTGCATTATAGCCACTACTAAAGAGATTAAAAATTATAACATTTATATTATTTAAAACGGAGGTTTTTTAGAAGGTCATTTGGCTTCTGTATAAAGAATATTACTTTAAAAATAATAGGCATCCTTTGAAACTTTGATTTAGTTATTTATTTAGATAAATATTAGAAGATAAGTATTTACTTATTTTCCAAGATTTATTGTTTATTTATGGTTTATTGGTTTGCTATATATTTTATTGGCGAAACAATCGAAAGGCATCAACGTCATTATGTATAGATATATAAAAATTGGTTTATAAACCAAAAATTAGCATAGGTTCTTTATATGAGTGCAGTATGTGGTTGGATACGACACCCAAAGAGCGGTTCAGAAGTTAATTATAATCCAGTGTCCCTATATATTTGGTGATCGAATCGAATGACTTAGACACCAATACACTACTTAACGGCACAAATTTACAATGTAACGTAAATTATCAGTGGAAATAGATTAGTTAGTACTATTAACGTACATACAGTTATATGATGATTGATTACTCCCGTTTGCAGTCTCGTCCGCCTATACTGTCCGCTTGTAGCCTTAGGTTAGTCACGATTACAAAATGTAACAAAAGGTTTATACGAGAATTCTAGAGGTTATCTATACATTCAAATAAAAGAAAGGACAGAAATTTACCTGTTATATCTAAAATTGAAAGTACATAAGCATCTGTATATTTAGATGTATTAAGAAAACAAACACCAAATACAATGTTGCAATAGGCGTATCTTTCATTGCGCAGTATAATGATTAATTTACTCTAAGATAGAGTTACATTTATTTAATTAATAATAAATATAAAATTTTATGTAATACAATTTTTTTATATAGAAGTTAAATGAGTGAAACCACTCTTTATTAATTTGTTTCTAGAACACGTGAATAAGCTACGTAATTAATAGTATAGTAGATAGCGTTAAGTGATCTGTAAGTAGCTAAAATAGACAAGAATACATAATCATTAGTTTTAAATTATATTTTAACTGACTCACAAAAAGAAGAGGTTCTCAATTCGGAAGTGTATTTTTTCGTATGTATACATAATGTTTTTTTAGGCCATACAAGAGCCCACAAATTAAAAAAAGTGATTTACTTTAAAATTTTATATATTTTAAAAATTATTTATTTCGCCAGACTTGTACTCGTAGTCTATATACTTTTTTTGAAAAAAGTCATTATACTAGATAATTTTATGGACAGAATTGTTTTTTATATTTTTTATTATATAGGTGCTATATTTATCAACGTTAGTTCAATTTCAACATGTCTAATTAAAAATAAAAATATTGAAATTCTAATGATACAGATTACATATACCTACATCATCATTAATAATTATAATTAGATTAAATATTGCATGTGTGTAAAATAAAAGTGATCAGTATGGAGTTTCTATTATAATGGTATAATGAATGCTCTGTGACAACGCAGGTTGTTGCTTGCAACGCGGAACATGCACTGGTGAACGCCACGCTTCTATAAATACGACCAATGTCGAGAGCGCTCACGTTATTACTTCAAACCCTTTATCAAGAACATTTGCGATATGTTTCAGGTAATTTTTAAATTATAAAAATATTATATTTTGATAATCAATAAAATTATTTGGTATAAAGTTGTGTAATTGTTTCCAGGTAGTGTTATTCGCATGTGTAGTGCAGGCAGTAGCAGGGATCATAGTAACAGATCCACCTCCAACAAGCACAGAATATAATTACTGGTACGACATTGTTGACCCTAGTACTGGCGACGCGAAGAGCTTACACGAGATCCGTCAAGGGGCTAACGTCAGGGGTTCCTACTCTGTCGTCGATCCCGATGGAATAAAACGTATTGTGGATTATATTGCTGGTAAAAACGGATTTAAAGCGACAGTCCGCAGAGAGCCTCTTAGTCACTATCATCTTAGACGTTACAATTATCGCCCTCCAGTCGCTCAAAATCTTAAAAGCAACGGATATGTGACCCCTGTGCGATATTTAAAGAGGTTTCAAACACCAGTGTTTTCCACAAGTAATTTCATTGAAAGTGAACAGACTTATTTTACGCCCGGCAACGACACGTCATCTGAAAGCCTTAACTTTAATCAAGGAGAATATTTTTTGCCCAATTATTATCTGCACCATTAAAATTACTTTATATTATGTGCAGACTTCATCGTTTTCATAAAAGTGATGTGATATTCTTTCATATAATTTATTAGGTACAAGTGGTATTAGTTTCAGTGGTAATACATAGAATTTAAAATACGTAAGAAGTGAACGTCCTTTGTGTTATTGATTTTACTATAAAACTCACATTTAAGTGATGTAGTATAAAATTAATTAAAGTTATACCTATTGTATATAAGATTTATAATTAATTTTATTGTGGATAAATATTTAAAAATATTATTTTGTATTAAAAAAAGATCTTTTACGTTAGTTTATTGCATTAACTTATGTTTCGCGTATTTATGTACATATATAGGAAGTATCTGTTTTGATAGAATATATGAAATTAATATTTTATATAACCAAAATATTTTTTATAATTTGCATTAATTTTATTTATAATAAATTACTTTTTGCCTGCGACTCCATTTGTCTTGTATGCATTATATTATATGCAATTAAGATGTATCAAATTTCGGAAATGTAAACGTAAGCTTTGCGGTAAGTGGTCAGTTCAAGGTCGCAGAAAGTGGGTCGCGCAGTAGCAGGCAGAGCCGGTCTTTTAATGTCCTGAATTTTGTAGAAATATAATTTCAATAATATAGAAATGTAATACAATAAGATATACGTATATATTTTTTAATTTAAAAAGTAAGTATTTTGTTAAATAAGAGAAAAAAATGTTATCTGTTTAATATAACCACGGTAATGTTATACCGTGATATAAGTGTCTATCTATTCATAAATTCACAAACGAGAAGTATCGATATTTTCAAAATTTTAGTCAAATTAATAAAATAAGATAGAAAATATATTTTTAAATAATAACACCAGTGTTTAGAATTTTATGTGTACGTTATGAGCCCTAAGTATTAAAAAATATATAATTAACAATCATGACTTTCCTTACATTATAATTTATAATTTATTTAGAAGGTGTTTCAGAATATTTACAATAATCTATACATAACTATTATAAAATTGTAGAGGTCGACTGTCAGTACATAGAAAAAAATGTTAAAAACCGAGTCAGGGGGATGTAAGAAGAGAAATAGAACAAATTCAGTTTTTTGTTTCTCTGTCTGTTTGTACGGGCTAATCTCTTGAAAGTGTTTGACCGATTTAAATGAAATTTTGCATGGTGGTACCTTATATCCCTAGTCAACATTTTAGATACTTTCATCCCGGAAAATTAAGAGTTCCCGTGGGATAGATTTGTTTTTTTTTCTAGAGGCGAACCCGAGCCAAGCGAGTGAGCCGCTAGTAAACAAATAATTTTATTAATATTTAAATATTTACTTTATTAATAAGCTACATGTTTATATACCAGTAGCATAATTTTTAATATATAAATGAAAACATAAGAACTAAGCCAGTATTTTTATTACTAAAACATTATTTCTGTAATTGTTAATTTATATATTTTTTATAGTAAGTTAAAGCGGTGCAACAGGGCACAGCTCAAACCAGTAGCCGCAGCCGCATCGCTTCGGCACCCCCATGTGTAACCACATGTATTCAATGTGGTTAGTCTCCGGGAAACATACACATCCCACGAGGCGTTTGCTGAATGCACTTGGAATTAGATTAGGCCGTTCACAAGTCCCTGGACCTAACGATTAAAATATAGTTTATTTAGTATCATATATATATATAATATATATATATATATTAAGATATGAATATCTAATATGTAAATATCTATTTTACGTATCGAAATATATTAGATTTGCTTTGCATCAGCTGGCACCGACTTCGAAACTATCTGATTAGGTTCTAAATGAAAACCCCCGTTTAGTTACCTACATACTAACCGCGGCTCCGCCCGCGTTCATATGACCAAAACCAAGTTCTTAGGTTTTATATATTAGTATACTCGTATTAGTATATTAGTTGACCCGGATAACCACCAGCTATTACCATACCAAATTTCTTCAAAATCCCTCCAGTGATTTTTCTGTGATGCGGTCACAGACAGACAGACAAAAATTCTTAAAACTATAGGTTCAGCCTCTATTACCTATAATAATGTGTATTTCAATAAAATTTTCCAAAAAATATTTGAAGCACAGATACTGCTTCATTTACTTTTAATGTATCTATAGATGTAACTAATTTATAAAGCCAAAAAGATTGGTTTTTGATAATTTAAACACGGGCGGGGCCGCGGGTAATTTAGAAGTAATTCTAATAAAATCATAGAAAGGTCGAATTAGTACATTTAATTTTTTGGAATTACAACTACGTATTTTAAATACACATGGCGACATCTATTGACAAATATCTAAATAATACAAAAATAAATATTCATTAAAATTTTTTTTTTAATGAATAAAATAGTGCTATTGATATACTTTTTCAAGATTAGCTATTTTTAATAGTTTTTGAAATATTTAGTAAGTTAACTTGCTAAAATCTATAAAGTATCATCGTTTTTTTATTCTAACCAGTTTTTGTATTTTTTCTCAGAAATGAGATATTTTTCTGCGGTAAAAAGTATCCTATATGTTGACTCGGATAATCAGCTATGACCATACTAAATATCATCAAAATCCGTCCAGTAGTTTTTCTGTGATGCGGTAACAGACAGACAGACAAACAGACAGACAAAAATTCTATAAACTATAGATTCGGCCTCTGTATCAATAATAATGTCTATTTCAATAAGATTTTCTAAAAAATATTTAATGTACAGATTTGACTTAGAATTTTATTATATGTATAGATTTAGGGGTTAAGTAAAACGGTTTATTTAAAAAAAAATCGAATAAAATTAAAATCGTAACCAATTTAAATATGTTTTTAGTTTAATTTGTACGCGAAATGTACTTGAGAATATATTAGTATTATATATAAACAATTAAAAAATAAATAGATGATTTTCATTGAACGTACCTTTTTTAATGCTCATCATCCGGAAAGGATCACAATCACCAGCGAGATGAGCAAGCATTTCCCGTTTCTCGATACCCGTCAACTGATCAAGGGTGTCATGGAAAGCTCCATATACTCTAGTGCCTATTTGTTTTAATGGTGTTATGGACCTCAAAGACCACATTTTTCCACAAGTAAAGCTAAAAACAATTAGTAGTTGAACCGTACTTACTTAATGTTGAATAAAATACATACGCATGTATTATAATTGTGGTTTAGTTTTAAAACAAAGGGATAAAATTTCTCACCTCTTTTATTTTTACTTTACTTGTTTAGTTTTTAAAATAAAATAGTAATTAGTTTAAAATAGTAATAAGGATTTAAGTTTATATATGTAGCAATATACTCTATGGATTTAAGTGACCGCTGTGATTTATATTAGACGTTACAATAACGTCAATGTAATATTTTACATATAATTTTTTTTAGTACAATATGTTTGTCCAACAAAAAGTATTTATTTAAATTTTATTTTGTAGGAAATAAACTTTTAATTAGTGTGTTTATTTATTGCGTTCTTTCGCCTGACCAAAGAGTGCTGGTTTCCAATGAAATGCAAGTGATCTTTAAGCCAGATATTGATCATAAGGTACCTGCTCTTTATCTTCTATTATGCTAGCAAATCTTGTTGGCTTCATATTCGGCTAACAGTGACCGTGCGATGTTCCCTTCGAAAGTAACAGCATTATATTTCATGCGCCGGCGTAATGGTATATCGTAACGCCTGCGGCAACCATAATATGTATAAAAAGTCCGTCACACTTTATTGCAGCACATTCGTATTGAGGTATCCTCATAGTGAAGTTAATCTCCATCCCTTACAAAATGGCCTTCAAGGTACTATAAACTCGTAAAAAAATCATTAAGAAAATTATTATGTAAAGAATTATTTTTTTTTCTTACATTTTCTTTTTTTAAAATATATGGAGATATCATTAATCGAATTTTCGAAAACTTAATGTAAATTTACTTTGCAGCTTGTTATCTTGGTATGCGTAGTCGCTGCAGCCCAAGCAGGCGTGATTGCTCCCGTAACCTATACGGCGCACCCGGCGCCGCTTGCATATGCCACTGCTCCAGTGGTTCATGCGGCCCCAGCTGCGTCCTACATCCAATCTTACCCCGTCGCCTACGCTGCCCCTATTGCTAAAGTTGCTGCTGTTGCACCAGTCACCAAAGTCGCTGTTGAAGAATATGACCCACATCCTCAGTATAGCTTCGCTTACGATGTTCAAGATAGTCTGACCGGAGACTCCAAAAGCCAGCAAGAATCTCGCGATGGTGACGTTGTCCATGGCTCCTACTCTGTTGTCGACCCCGATGGTATCAAGCGTACTGTTGAATATACAGCTGATCCTCACAATGGTTTTAACGCCGTTGTGCACAAGGAGCCAATTGCAGTAAAAGCCGTAGCTCCAGTCGCGAAAATTGCCGCAGCTCCTGTTGTCCACCACGTCCACGCTCCAATCGTCCATGCTGCTCCCGTGAGCTACTCTGCTCCGCTATACCATCACTGAATTGTTAGTTACAAACTAGTCATCAAACAAAAGGATCAAAAAATAATTTATTATAGATATGTAAAAGCAAATAAACTTATCAAAATTATTATATGTATGTAGTTTTTTTTCTGAAAAGGTCGAGTCTGGGGGTAGGTACATCGAGGTATAAACTTTGTATTCATTATAATAAAAATTATGAAAATCAGTTCACAATTATTGAAGTCTTGAAGATATTGCATAAAATACACAAAAAGTATCCACCCTTTTAAAGCCCTTCAAAAATGAGCAATAGAAGGATATCAATATGTACATATTGAATATTTTCAAAATATTTCAATTTTTAATAAAGAGACATATAACTTGTTAAGTTGTGGCTAAACAATATTAAAACTAAACTAGGTGTATATGATCTTTTTCTATCGCTTTCTCCTCTTGATCCTTCTATTTCTACGTCTATTTTTTAGTAAATCGCTTAGACTATTTTTGAATAAATTAATAATATACTCGTAGACACTACGAGACATCATCTAAAAGATTTAGCAGCTTTCTACCTTTTTGTAAGTCTTTTCAATTGCTTAACAAAATTTGGTTGTACCTAAGATGTTATTAACTGATTTTTTTTTAAAGTTTAGCTGATACAAGTACTTTCTTCTTTTTGAAGTCGGTCAAAAAAAAATAATGATGCAAACAAGATCATATTAAGATTAGGAGTTATTTTTTTAACCTTGAATTTCCTCAGGAATAACTAATGTTTGTTAAACACATTTAAGAGTATTTTACATCTTTATATATAACTTAATTTTTTTAAATATATTTTTAACTAATGAATAAACAAGATTAGAGTATGAATGAATTTCATTTCTTTCTGTAATTACCTTAAAATATTTTTTTTCAGATAAATCAATAAAATCAACTCCAAAATCGATCAAAAACTAATAAAATATCGATGAATTCGAAAAAATTATAACATTCATAGATTCTATGGCAAAAAAATACAAAACCACTGGTGTATTTTACGTGAATTCCAACGTTTATTATTTTTTCACGATTCATCAAATTAAAAAGTTGGAATGTTTACGGCGACATTGTATAAATAATAAGCGTCAAATTAAAAACTTAAGGATACTATTTTTTTCGTATTTTCCTGAAAAAGACATTGGTGTAATCGGTTTACAAAAATTTGGTCAATAAAGTGCACTTCTTCAATAATAATTGAAAAAAAAAATTAATTTACAAAGTAAGAATTATCGATTTCTCCAATTTTTAAAATTTTTAAGGGTGTTTTTGCAAGATGACCATACAATGTTTTTATATTTTCAAAAAGTAGAGTTCAAGACGAAAACAATGAGCGCTATCTAAAAATTGAACGAATTTTTTTTTAAATGTATCCACCCACTTGAAGTTGGGGGTGATTTTCAGCCTATCGAGACCATAAAACATACTTTTCTCGGAAATGTATAAACATTTCAATTTCATTTTTTTTTATTTATTATATTTATTTCGAAGATTACATTCCCTTAGTTTCATGGAAATCAAAAGATTATTCTAGAAATAGAAAATAAAAAACCAAGAAACAGTTAAAAACCGAGTTTTTTTGTAAATATCTCGAAAACTTTGAGGTTATTGTAAAAAATGTTATTACGTTACGTGTAAACGTCACAGTAAGCCGGAAATTGAAAAAAACTATTTTTCAATGCTGTGCGTTCCCCCATTTCTCGGGGGTAGCTGGGTATATGGAGCATTTTACGTATTTCTATTCCTTATATACCTGCAAACATTTTAAAATCATAAAACTTCAGGTTTTCAATATTTTGTTCCCAAGCCGGATTCCGATTGCACTAATAATTTTGATATTGATCTTCGCATATACCATTTGCAGAAATGTCAATTGTCAAAGTACATAAAGTACACATACATTATTACCTAGTCGTCCTAAATCTTGATATCCCAGTGAAAAAGAAAGAAATAAAATATTTTTACGGTTATATAGAAAAAATACTAATTTAATAAATAGATAAGTGAGTGTAAATCCGAAAAATTAAATACATAGATACTAGATATAATCAAAAATGTCGATATTAGCAGTAGTAGTGGCGGCGCCTAAGGCTCTCTGTAGTACATATAAAAACCGCACGCTCGCATGCAGTACATATCATTAAATCAAGTGATCTTATCAGACATAATGGCTTTTAAGGTGTGTAAAATGATTTTATTTTTATTACTTATTTTATATAAAATAAATTTAAATTGTTTATTTCTTTACTTATAAATAAGATATAACTCTATCTGTTACCTTTTCACGCTTAAACCGCTAAACAGATTTCGATAAAATTTGTCAAAGACAAAGATTAAATCTGGGATCGTACATAGACTTCTCTTTATTCCCGCCCTGCTTATCACACGATTTAACTTGCCTTTCTGTTTATCTCTATAAGCGCGTTTCGACTAATATACTTATATTTTAAATACTTTAAATAATTAATTAATATTAGTACACATATTATGCGTTTCTAGGTAATTTAAAAGAAATATATGAAAATACTTAAAATAAAAAATATACTTGTTAACAGTTCGTCGTGTTCGCTTGCTTGGTGGCTGCCGCGAGCGCCGGCCTAGTTCCAGCAGCCCACGTGACATACGGTGCGCCGGTGTACCACGCCGCGCCCGTAGCGTATGAAGAATACGACGCGCACTCCAAGTACAGCTTCGCCTACGACGTACAAGACTCCGTCAGTGGAGACTCCAAGAGCCAGCACGAGTCCCGTGACGGCGACCTCGTACAAGGCTCGTACTCCGTCGTGGAGCCCGACGGCACCAAGCGGATCGTCGACTACTCTGCTGACCCCCACAATGGGTTCAACGCAGTCGTGCGCAAGGAGGCTCTCGGTGTGAAGGTCGCCGCGCCCGTGGCCTACGCCTCCCCCGTCGTGCACGCACCTTTGGCTTACTCCGCTCCTATTTACCACCATTAAGCAGATGCTTATTCAACGAACTAATCTTAAATATTAAAGATATTTATTAAATAATTATATTCTATTATTGATAATGCCCATAATAATTACCGTGATCCCGTATTATAATACTTCTTTTTTAGATATCAGTGGCTCCTTTTTCAGACCACTTATAAAATTCTATCGCTCCATACAAATTACCATTTACTCCACCTAATTCTTTACAAATTACAAATATGATATAATCTATTATAAATTAGTTATGTACTACACAACATACGTAAGTAATTTGTGTACTACACTAAAACAGTTCATAATTTCTTTACGACTTATGTTAATATAAATTAAACTAGAGAAGCGTACCGAGGGTTCGAGGTATAATTAATTGTAAAAATGTACTTAGTTTACAAAGTAAAAATTATCGATTATTCCATTTTTTTAATTTTTACGGGTGTTTTTACAGGACGACTATGTAATGTTTTTATTTTTTCAAAAAGTAGAGTTGAGTCAAGACGAAAACAATGAGGCCTATTTGAAAATTGAACGATTTTTTTTTAAATGTAAACGTTCACTTGAAGTTAATTTTCAGCCTCTCGAGACCATAAAACATACTTTTCTCGGAAATGGCTAAACATTTCAATTTCAATTTTTTTAAATTTATTATTTGTATTTTAAAGATTACATTCCTTAGTTTTATGAATATCTAAATATTATGCAAGAAATAAAAAATAAAAAACCAAGAAGAAGTTACAAACCGAGTTTTCTGCAAATATCTCGAAAACTTTGAGGTTATTGTAAAAAGGGTTATTTATAGAAGTTGTACATTTTTACTAGACCCACAATTTTTGTGGAAAACATTTTTCGATAGCACGACACAGTAAAACGGAAATTGAAAAAGAAAACTATTTTTCGACGCTTTGCGTCCCCTCATTTCTCGAAACTGGGCATCGGGGACATTTTACGAATTTCTATTCCATATATACCTTCTAACATTTTAAAAATCATAAAACTTCAGGTTTTCAATTAAAAAAAATCTCTTAATAATAAATGGATTCCGCTTGGTCTAATTCATTTTATTGACGGTATAAATAGGTTTGTATTTCATAGTATTACTACATTTAATTAACATCTCCATGTAAATTTCTAAGAAATCTATTGTATTATCTATTAAATCTAACTGTAACGCCTGCATGTCCGCGGTCGTGGAGGGATTAATGTAAGCAGAATTGTCAAGTGATACTCAATTCAGCACAATTTCAGTTAGAAACAAGTTTTTATGTATTGATTTTTTTTATAATATATGAAAATGATGCGAAATCAAAACAATTAATAAAAAAAAAAAAAAAAATACATCACCATATAATTATTTTAATTTCTTAAATTATTTTATTAGTAGATAAGGTGCTAGTTGCGATTATGTCATAGATTTTTCTTACATTGTAAGTAGTATATAGTTTTTTTGTCATCGTTAAAACAGTTTAAATTTTTGTCTGTGTGATTTGCATTTGTTAAGGCCATTTAAAATCTATGTAAGACCAATGTAATTAAAAACTTTGAAGCGCCTACTATTTTGTTATTCGGCTTATTACATAGATAAATAGAATCAAAACAGTGAATAATGTTGTAGATTTTTAAACCCCTACGAAAAAAGAGAGGTTATGTAGTTTAAGTTTATCGCTTGTATCTGTGTATATGTATCAGTCTGTGGCATCATAGCGCCCAAACTGATGAACTGATTTGTGTAGTTGATTTCTTTTTTTAAAGGTGACTTGTCGAGAGTATATTAATTATTAATGTTAATACTTTATGTTTTTATAAATCAGGTGCCATAGTCAATATGTTAAATGAAATAAAAATAGAATAAGTTACATAGGTTATAATTATTTGTTAATTTGAACTTGTATTGGAATGCGGTGCAGGGTATCAAATTCTGAGCAATATTGCGGTCGAGCGACCGACAGAAATGTTGCCTGGCGCTTTGATACTGATATCTGTATTATGAGATATATAAAATAACTTTTCATAGCAACAGACGAAGATATTATTTACAAGGAATAAATGTACACTATCGCTAGGAAGTTGAAAATAGACGTTATGGACTAAGATCCCACTGCAAGATTGCTACGTTCATTGCCTATTTAATCGAAATCAATTTTTTATATACAATAATAAAAGGGACAATATGTTTTGACCGGGGTGCCTATTCAAATGTGCCCGCTAGTATGTTTAATTAACTAAATAATAGTTGACTTTTTGGAATAAAAACGATGCATTTGTTATTACAATGAATTATACTCCACTTCACAGAACTATACGTAGAGATCTTGAAAAATGATTGCTGCCGTTGCGCATTTAGCCGTAACCTCTTCGCAGCCAGGTATAAGCGGGTCATATTTTGGTATGTTTATGCGTTCATAGCGTACATGCATCATTTATATATCAAATGAAAGCTTATTTTTTTCTGTACCTAATAAACTACGTCTGCCTATGTAAAAGTGGCCGCAAAAGTGGTTGCGAGTCATTAAAAGTGTTTTTGTTACATTTATACGTTCATGGCGTATATTCATCATTTATATATCAAATTAAAGCTATTTTTTTTCTGTGCATGATAAAATACCTCTCACCTATGTAAAAGTGGCCGCAATGGAAAGAAAAGAAGGAAAGAATATAATATTATAAGTCATTTGTCAGACAATAACAACGGTATTCCATACTAACCGTTAAAACGTACCGACCTAGGGACGAACCCGAGCGAAGCGAGGGTGAGTCGCTAGTTATACATAATTGACATTGACGCATTGTTGTAAATGATAGGTCCGCCTCTAACATTATCTATTAAAAGTAGTCCGAAGTAGTGTACAAAATAAACTGTCCTGAACTTTCCGATTTTACAGCAGTTCTTATGGGTTTTCCCTATATATTTTTATACTTAAACCACCCCTGACACATCAACCTAACAAAACAAAAAATATATATTCAAATCGCTTTTGAATTTTAACGATATTAACGAACGGAAAAAATTGAACTCGCATGTCACAACTCACAGTCTCTAGAGATAGTAAATCAATAAGTGTTATAATTATTAATACAATGTTTTGAACGGCCTATCACTGGGTATGCGTCCTACTCAAATTGAAGAATGTAAAGAGGATCAGACCATCACAGTAAGTGCGGGTTAGCAGTTCATATGTATTTGGATAACTAGTTAGATTTACTTAGACATAGAAGTTTTTCTTCATCATAAGACACGTGGTAATCAAATCTATAATACTTGTATTATGGTGTATAATTGGGAAATTAAGAATAGATACAGACAAAACCAGTTCATCACCTTTTTCTCCTCTGTTTGTCAATCGATTTTTTTTGTAAAAAATATGGATGAATTTCAAACCATCGGGCAAACTTCTTGAACTAGTCCTTTTTAGTCCAGTCAAATAAGGTCTGAAATCAAAATTTGAACCTCAACTTTGCATTTTTGGTATAATGTAGTTTTAGTGATCCAAAAACAATGTGTAAAGGTTTTCGTTTAATTAACACCCGCCAAGGGTTGAGAAAAAAATTTCAAAAATGTTTATTCGCAATAACTCGAAAACAGTAAAAATAAGACAAAAAAGTTTTTATAAAAATATGTAGAGCTTAAAATGTTACATAAAAAATACCATGACTTTTTTCCTCCAGTCAACCTTTACACATTTTTATTAAAACTTTTTTGTCTAATTTTAACCGTTTTGGAGTAATTGCGAAAAAATATTTTTGACAATTTTTTTTCAACCCTTGCCGGGGGTTGCAGATACTAAAACCTTTACACATTATTTTTGTATCATTAAAACTATATTATATCAAAAATGCAAAGTTGAATGCCAAATTTTGATTTCAGACCTTATTTGACTGGACTATATTTTAAAACAATAAAAATATAAATTGTCCATTAAAACATTACTAATGATCGATTAATTGGCAAAATATATAAATCAAGATCTTACGATTTGAAATATATACTTATTTTAAGACATACAACACATTAATTACACTGATTAAAGAGGATGATATTCGTATACGACAAAAAGACATTTATGATTTTTATCGTTTTTCTTTATTATACTTTACACACCATACTTTGATTCAATACTATAACAATTATGTAGGTTAGATCCTGGACAGAAAAAGCAGTTTTTGTTTAATTTCATAACATTTGGCCTAAAGTCAAGAACACTGAATTTTCCGCCATTGACAAATTGCTACTCATTTTCAATTGCGCGCACATCCATAGTGATGCACCGACATAATACTAAGCGCGAACTTGGCCCGGTGTCACAACCTATGCCGCTATATATACCTCGGTAAACTCTTCAGGAGCATAGTCACACTTGGCTTCATCATCAACTCATTCAAACAACAATGGCCTTTAAGGTAAAAAAAATATCTTGAGAAAATATTTTTTTATTTATAATAATCAATTATTAATTTGATTAACTTTTATCCTTATCATCTTGTTTTTACTTTTTTTATTGATACATAAAAAATTGATGAGATACATATAAATACAAAAAAAACTTCATAATCTATAATAGCTTTTGCAATATTATGTAAAGTATTATGTACATACAAAGAACACCATATTAGTTAACGCTAATCTTATTATAATTCAGGAGACGACAAGTGTCCGTCCTTGACAATTATTTACACGGCTTGTTAGTAATTTCTCCGTGCTCGCTTTACGCAATGTGCTCTAGTGTCATCCTCATAAAACTGTGTCACTATTTCAAGTACGATGTATGAGACGTATGAACATATATGTGACATCTAATTTACCTCTTAGGATTAGTATCTATTCAAGATTTAAATATATTTTTTAATAAATATTTACAGATCGTCATTTTCTCCTGCCTTGTGGCTTTAGCCCGTGCTGGTGTTCCAGTGGCAGTCGCCGCTCCTTTAGCCGCGGCACCTGTTGTTGCAGCACCCGCAGTCGCCGCCAGGCTCGAAGAATTTGACGCTCTCCCTCAATACCGATTTGGTTACAATGTAGCCGACGCCCTAACTGGTGACTACAAGAGTCAACAAGAAGAACGTAACGGTGACTTGGTACAAGGATCATACTCACTCGTGGATCCTGATGGCACACGCCGCGTTGTCGATTATTCCGCTGACTCTGTCAATGGATTCAATGCAGTTGTGCGCAAAGAGCCTTTAGTCGCTGCTGCACCAGCGGTGGTTGCCGAGCCCGCGGTGGTGCCTGCGCGCATCGCCGCCGCCCCTGTCGCTGCCGCTCCCGTCGTCGCCGCCCCGGTAGCTAAATACACCGCTGCATATTCTGCCCCATTGGGGTACGCAGCATACACCGCTCCAGTCGCCTACTCTGCTCCCTTCACGAGATTTGCCTCCTATTCATCCCCATTGATCGCTAGCAGATATGCAGCTCCACTGGTCGCCGTCTAATTATTATTTTACATTACATACATTATGACTGATTTCTCTCTATATTTGGCCAATAAACTTTTATATTTGTGACAATTTATTACCTTTATTTTAAGTTATTCTTACATAAACTTCTAATTTTATATGAGTACATACAAACATATATACGACAAAAGAATACTGATAGGCTAATCTTATAAAATTATCGTTTTTACTTGAAATTTAAAAGCCTTTTATTAGTAAAAAATGAGTTTTAAGTATAGAACAAAGCAACAAAGTTACTAAATTTCTTGCATAATAAGGAAACTATCAAATAAATATAGACGACCCTACTTGCTGTGCCAGCGGTCGCGGGTTCGAGTCCCGCTGAGGGCATTCATTTGTGTGATGAGCACGAATGTTTGTACTCCACCCACGGATGTTTATATTTATAATATATTTGTAATAAAATTTTTATATATATGTAGTGTATCAACTATCTGGTATCCATAACACAAGCCTCGTAGTTTATTACCATGGAGCTAGAGGGTGCTGTGTTAATAAAAAAAAATAGATTTTAATAAAAAATGTTCTGAAAGTTGAGTCTAAAACGTAAATTTTTCAGACTGAAAGATCTTAAAAGAATAATATTAAGTTACTAGCAGATCCCGCGGCTTCGCTCGCGCTAAAACAACAAAAAAATCTTAAGTTAGTTTTCATACAAACTTTCATTCCATATTTTACCTCCTTATGGAATGAATTTCAAGAAATACGTATTTATCTAATTGTATTGAAGAGCATTAATAGCAAGTAATTTTGATGATAAAAATTTTTTGGGCTGTATAATAACTGATTGTGTTTTCCCGTCGGAATAAGATAATCTCCCGCGGTAAAAAGTAGCCTATGTCACTCTCCAGCCCTCCAACTATCACCATACAAAAAATCATACCAATCCGTCAATCTATTTCGACGTGAAAGAAGGACAAACACACTTTCACATTTATAATATTAGTACGGATACTACAGTAATGTTATATTACCGTGGTTATACTTAAATTAATCTTATATTTTATGAAACATCATACTGCGTCTGTAAAAAATAAAGTTAGTAACAATCATAGTTTAAAAAACTAAAAAAACACGCTCTAATGATGAACCGAACAAAAAGTAAAAGATCATTTTTTGTGTAAGAATAGTAATCGTGGGGAGCTTTCTACAATATTTTTATAATAACTCTACTTTTAGAAATCGAAGGTACCAATGGAATAATAACTGATCTAGCACCTTACAACTACCAGTATTTTTTTAAATTATAACTTATTTTCAATTTTTTAGCTTGATCTGCTACAAAAGCGTGTTTTTTTTAGTTTTTTTTATATTATGTATTATCCTTCTTGGTCCTTTGTTAAAGGAGTCTGCCCACTACATCGTTTCATACACTTTTAATGTGCAAAGTTTCAGTTCAATCTGAAGTTTTGAGTGGATGAAAATTGCGTTTAAAGTTTCCGTTACATAGATAGATTGATTGATAGATACAAGTAACTCTAATAAAAGCGTGTTAAATACATGTTTATTTAATTGTAATAATATTGAATGATGTGCATTAAGGCGAAGTTTCAAGTAAACTGATCATAAACATTTTTTTCCCATATAAATATTACCACCTCTTTTTACCCTTTTATGGGTTGAATTTCAGAAATATCTGATATACGAATTCCCTTTATTTGTTATTTTAAACGTAAATACCATCTTCCGTATATTCCTAATTAGAAACGACACAGTTTCATACAATCTTTCATCCCCTGCTTTACCCCCTTGGGAGATGAATTTCGAAAAAAGAAATTATAAATGATTATATTGTCATCGGTCCTTGTTAAATGTGCAAAGAATCAGTTCAATTTGAAGTTTTGAAGAGGGTGAAAATCACCTTCAAAAAATCCGTCACATAGATCGATCTAGATAGGTAGATAGTAGATACAAGCTGATAAAGGCGTGTTAAAAAATAGCGAGATACTCGTATATCCTAGTGCTATATTTTAAAATAGATAGTGCCAGGTTTACAAAGTTCATGATAAGTTTTAATAATAATTAATGTTTATTTTTGTCATTTAAGGTTACATAGGTACAAAATGTTAAATTACAGAAAAGATTTTAATCTTTTCTGCGATAGTTCAAGAATATTATTGTTTACTTAATCTGTAACATTTCATTCAAAAACCGAAAAGGTCTGCTTTATAGTTGACAGAAAATGTGATCGTATAAATCGTTAAATCCTGCATTTTTTGACATATTTTAAAATTTCTTAAATATTTTCAATATTATACAATATGGAGGAAAAACAACTTTATAGCGCATTAACAGTATACAGAGAAAGAGGAGCATATTTGCGACGCCTTGAACAATTTGAAAAAGCTAAGGCATCATACGATGAAGCCTTCAGAAATGCACCAGACGATGTTCGAATGCTCACTGGCCGAAGTCAGGTATGTGCAGATGCAGTTCAACCTATTCAAGCATACTCTGATGCAGAATTGGCCCTTAAATTAGAACCTGGAAATATGAATGCTCGAAATATGCAAGCTCGAGCAATGTACACTATGTCTGATTTTGAAAAATCAGTAGTAATGAATTACAGAGGTGCTAGACATCGACATCAACCACCTTATTTCATAGAGGGAATAAATCAAGGAGTTGAGACTATTCAAGACTGTATTGGAGTCAATGCAGGAAATGTTATGTTAGAGTTTTTACCATTAATAAAACATAATGAAGCAGTACGTGTTGATGAAGATGATCCACAGAAACCTCCACATGTATCTAGAATACCTAAACCGAAAAAGAAGCGAAAACTTACTCAAATGGAGGCTCGTAAACATTTGACTTTATCACGTGTATTGGCAATGAAATACTTAGGGCCAATGGCATATGACAAATTTTTTCTACTAGAACTTATGGAAGATCAAAGGCTTAAATCTGCAAACGCAGGTGGAAGTGTAGAATTAAAATGTATTGTCAAGGAAGCTTTAAGATCACTTAGTCAGAGACAAGATATGTTGCGATCACAGAGACCATATTATACGGTCAAACTTGCAGAAAAGGCTGAATCAAAACATCAGAATCAGCACAAAGAAAATGTTCTAATTAAAGAGCGTGAGATTGGTGCAAGGACAGCAGAGAGACTTCTAAAACAAATAGAAAAGAGTATGCGTGAGAATCGCGTAATGGATTTAATTGCTCAAGCAGAACGAATGCAAATGTTCCTTGACGGTAAAACACCAAGAACTCTTCCAGATAAAGAAGTATACACAGATCGTTTGTATCGTGCTGTTGGAGAAGCCTATCTATCACAACATCGTCTTTCGTATACTCTAAGTGAACGTGGAAATCGACGTCGTATTGCTTTCCTGATGGGCTTACCAGTAGGACGCCCAACATCATTTGATTCTGTCATGGCTAATTATCCTTATAAATTTATAGATATAAAACAAGCTACTGCAAAAGTAATGGCGACGTTGGAAATGTGTGAAAATTCAACTATGAAATGTTGGCTAATGTATGAAATTGCTCGCCTCTTATGTACTCAAAAGAATTACGCACTTGCTAAGTTCTATGCCAAGCGATGTCAACGAGAAGCTCAAGAAATAAATAATGTCACTTGGTGGCTCAATGGGTGTTTCGTTCTTATGAGTGGGGACATGCAACAAGGTAATTCAAACGAAGTTCGCATACAAGTCGAAGAAGCTTATGAATTTTCAAAAAAAATGCAAGATCCAGAACGTGTACAAGCATTCTTAAGCAAGTGTGCTGAAATGGCGACAGAGACAATGACTGCAGATGAAAGAAAAGCCATAATGCAACGTGAACGACAAATTATAGGCGTAATGGATGAAAGTCAACGCGTTGAAACGCAAGTATTGTTCAAACGGATGTCTACAGTTCCGCCTGGTCGACGCTTTTCAGTTTTGCCACGAAAGTCAGAACCTGGCGAGGAACGAGTAGAACGTAAGCGTCGACGCCAAAGAGGGCTGTCAGTTATACCTGGTCCGGAGAGAGCTCTACCACCTCCACCAAAATCTGGCACTCTTGGATTCCAGGTTTTCGATATTTAATTTACGAGGATATTTTATATTCTTCAAATGCAATTGTTTTTTTTGTTCAATTAAAGTAAAAGATCTTTTTAATAAATAATATTTTATATTTAATTTACAACATGACATTTTATTTTTATTTAATGATGATATAAAGGAGCAGAATATGTGAAGGGTGAAGCATGTACTATGGGCGCAGAGTGTACCACAGGTGTGGCGGTGTAGGCAACAGGAGCTGCAACCTTGGTGACTACTGGGGCAATGGCTTTCACGGCAAGAGGTTCTCTGTGTACAACGGCATTGAAACCGTTATGAGGATCTGCGGTGTATTCTACAGTACGCTTAACACCATCGGGGTCTACAACGGAGTATGAGCCTTGTACGACGTCTCCGTTACGGCTTTCATGCTGGGATTTAGAATCACCAGTGTGACCATCTTGAACATCGTAAGAAAAGGTGTATTGAGGATTGGCGTCATATTCTTCAACAGCAACTTTGGCGATGGGTGCCACTGCTGCAATCTTGGTAACTGGAGAGGTGTAAGAAAGAGGTGCAGCATAACCAACATGGCTTGTATAAGAAAGAGGTGCAGAGTATGCAACGTGAGCAGCGGGCAACAAGCCAGCGCTAGCTGCAGCTACCATACAGCTGAAGATTACAATCTGTAAAAATAATAATTTCTTAGTCATTCATGGTTAACGTAATGCTTATCTTACTTTTACCCATTCTTGTATTTTAAACAAATTATTACTGTGAATAAGATTATCCAGAGGCATCAATATATTTTAACATGAGGAAGTAAATATTATTCAATTCATTTTGAGAGCCAGTTAGTCATACAATTATCTAATAGCCAAAAAGTCTAATGCTAGAAGAGATTTATGGAAATCAATAATACTAGTTTATAAAAGTAATATGTACATATAAAATTACAATTGTGTTTATATGAAAATAAAATTAAAATTACAAATATTAGTAAAAAATGATATCACCTTAAAAGTCATTTTGGTTGTATCTTTGTTTAGATGTAAAATTAAACTAATAAATATACATTGTGCTCTCGTTATATATTAATCTCATAGGTGACGTCACACATCTGGCTTGGTAATTGAATACTGCTTTGGACTTTCGATTAAATAAGTAGTAGCAAGGTCGCGATGTCAGCGCAAATGCGGCCATCGGCTCATATAAGGTCACTTATTCTTCCACAAAATAAAAGTGAAAATTGTTAATGAAGTTGAACTTCAAAATAATTATTATTTGACAAGGCTCTATAGCGTAAATCTTTTTTCCGGGAGTTTTGAAAATTGATAATGAAATAATTTTTTGTCAAGTTGTCTGTATTAATACGAGTATTATAAATGTGAAAGTTTGTGAGTATGGTGTTACTCTTTCACGACAGAACCGCTGAACGGATCTAGATGAAATTTGGCACAGAAATAGATTATAGTCTGGAACAACACATAGGCTTTTTATCCCGGAAAAATAGGCGGTTCCCGGGGGATAGGTTTGTGTATAGGTTTTTGTTTTCCTAGAGGCCGCTGCAGAGCCGCTAGTATATAAAATAAATAAATAAACATGTTGGGACATCATCTAGTTAATAAACAACACATATATGTATAACTTTATATACATACACTAGCAGTACCCGCGGCTTCGCCCGCTTTCAAACTACAAAATAACCTCTTTGGCTTTGTTATAACTAATAATAATTTGATGACACACCGACTGCAGCGCCATCTACCGAGTTCATTCGTGAATTCAAACCTTGCACGGACCCACTCGAATGAACACAAAAAATATCATTAAAATCGTCCTTGCCGTTTAGGTAAAGATCAGTGACATACTGACAGCAGCGCCACCTATCGGGTCCAATTGTATTTTCAAACCATCCAAGAACCCATTTAAATATACATACAAAATTTCATCATAATCGGTCCAGCCGTTTATGATTTTTATGATTTTTTAATAATTCTGACGAAATTTTGTAAATATGAAATTAATTTTTTTCAATATATTTTTAACTAATGAATAAACAATATTAAACTATGAACACCTTAAAATCAAATTTTTCAGAAAAATCAATAAAATTAACTCCAAAATCGATCAAAAACTAAAAAAATATCGATAAATTCGAAAAAATTATAACATAAATAGTTTCTAGGGCAAAAAAATACAAAAACAATGGTATACGTGAATTCCAACTTTTATTATTTTTTCACGAATCATCAAATTGCAAAGTTGGAATGTTTACGGCGACATTGTATAAAATTATAATAAGCGTTAAATTAAAAACTTAAGGATGCCATTTTTTTGGTTTTTTCCTGAAAAATACATTGGTATAAACAGTATAAAAATTTGGTCAATAAAGTACACTCTTCAATGATAATTGAAAAAAATGTAGTTTACAAAGTAAAAACTATCGATTTCTCCAATTTTTATATTTTTTATATTATTATACAATGTTTTTATATTTTCAAAAATTAGAGTTCAAGATGAAAAGAATGAGCCCTATCTGTAAATTGAACGAATTTTTTTTTAAATGTAAACGCCCACTTGAATTTGGGGTGATTTTCAGCCACTCGAGACAATAAAACATACTTTTCTCGGAAATGGCTAAACATTTCAATTTCATTTTTTTAAATTTATTATATGTATTTCGGAGTACATTCCTTAAGTTTCATGGAAATCAAAAGTTTATTCTAGAAATTAAAAATAAAAAATCAAGAAAAAGGTATAAACCGAGTTTTTTGTAAATTTCTCGAAAACTTTGAGGTTATTGTAAAAAGTGTCATTTATAAAAGTTGTTGATTTTTACTAGACCTACAACTTTTGTAAAAAACATTTTTCGATAGAACGTCAGAGTAAGCCCAAAATTGAATAAAACTATTTTTCAACGCTTTACGTCCTCCCATTTTTCGAGGGTAGCTTGGCATAGGGGGCATTTTACGAATTTCTATTCCTTATACACCTGCTAACGTTTTAAAATCATAAAACTTCAGGTTTTTAATATTTTGTTCCCAAACCGGATTCCAATTGGAATAATATAGGATAAATAAATAATTAATGTCCTAAGCTTTTTTGTTAATTTAATAGTTTTGTAAGTTGAATAGTACTACTGTTGACTGCTGCTGCACCCCTAAGTTCCACGACGGTTGGTATAATAAGACAACATCATCATCAATAGTAGGAGACAGTAGTATTAGTATAGTATTATGTGATCTGTGCTAGTAGTAAGTAGTTTATCGCAAGGCGATAAAAAAAATTGTCTTGTGGAACATCAAACATGATATTTCAATAAATTAATAAAAGTATATAAAATAAGTTTTATTTTTTATCCCATCTTTATAAAAGACTAAAGGTAGGGTAATTTTCTAAATCGAATAAATGATATAGAAACGCATACTAATAAATTTCAAATTATAATATAACGTTGATGAAACTTTATCAAAAATCATTACGAGTGTTTACACCACAACACACGAACGTACGTACGTAGGTACGTATGTACATTTTCCTTTTTATATCGACAAAAATATATTTTGTAGTATCTCTCTTATCCTAATTATTTAAAACATAAATGGAATTTCATAAAAAATACCGAAAATCTACAGAAGTTTCACTTCTTGCACGTACACATTGATACTGACTCACGCAAAGAAGAGGGTAATGTGTTTATCAGTCCATGTATGTATATGTGTGTGCGTGTGTGTGTGTGTGTGCGTGTGTGTGTGCGTGTGTGTGTGTGTTCCTATGTGGCGTACCTACTAGAAACCAAATACGTGTGCCGATTTTGATGTTTTATACGTCGTTAAATTTGTTTTGATAACGCGAATGTCATAGGCTATATACTACATATGTATATCAAGATAGTTAAAAATTAAAATACTCAGATAGTTAATAATTAAAATACCAGAACCAAGCTTATTTAAAAGCTCTCACAACTCGTCAGAAAGTAATATTTTCATGAAAAAAGGCGACATCAATTCAATCATTTAATAACATAAATAACAATTATAAAAAGCCTTAATTTTTAATAGGTAGGTATATACAACAACACAACAAAATTGTATTAATTCATCTACAAATAATAAGGTAGTCTGTGGGCTAAAAAGGGGGCAGGTGCTGGGGCAAAGACAGGTGCTCTAGCAACCACTGGGGCGGGGGCTACGACGGGAGCCGGCGCGATGACTCTAGCAGGAGCAGCTACCACAAGGGGTTCACGACGGACGACAGCGTTGAAACCGTTGAGGGAATCAGCAGAATAGTCCACAGTCCTCCTGGTACCGTCAGGGTCGACAACGCTGTATGAACCGGTGACTAAATCACCATTTCTGTGTTCTTGGTGGCCCTTGTAATCACCGGTTAGCGCATCTTGAACGTCATAGCCATAGGAGTATTGAGGGAAAGGATCCAGGCGCGCCACGGGCACTGGCGCTACGATGCTGGCGGATGTCACACCTACCATGCAGATGAATACTACAATCTGAAACAATAATAATTATAAAATCAATTTAATTATAAAATTATAAAACGTTTATATTTAATATTCCAAGTTATATTAGAGAGATAATATGTATTTATGTTATTTAAAAATATCTATTGATTACATCTATAACTGTTAAATGTCGATATAATTAATCACAGTGCTACTAGTAATGTAATGATCCATAAGCGATTGGTTGCGTAACGCGTGGACACGAATTGATATGCACGGATTGTATAGCGCACTGAATACATGCACTCATTGCGACATGTTCCTGTTCAAAAGAAAGGGTCACTTTTCGTAATTATATACGTCGGGAATATTAATAGTTAAGTTTGTGGGAAGCTAATGGATAATTGTTGACTTTGATTTATATTAGGTCAAACGTGGTGCGGTGTTTCAATTAAGTTTCACTTTTTATCCACCGAATATATTATGTATTTGTTTCTTTGTTTTCTGCAAAAACTGCATCTAGACTCTAAACTCTTCAGAAAGTTAATCTCTGGTCTTTCCTATTTATAAGCTATATCGCATACTAATTTACTTAGTTTTTTTTATTTAAATAATATTGTTATATAAAGTATATAATAATTTCAAATTCTACAATAAAGAATATTTTTAAATATAAAATACTTTTTTTCGCTTAAATGTTTTTTTAGAGGTAGAAGTAGACTCTAAATGGTTTACTCCATAATAGCTCAGAGGTAATATACCTATCAAAGTTTCACACAAACGATCGTGAATCATCGTACTAAAATACTTACACAATTCTTTTGTACAATTATACATATAAGTAATCTTATCAAACATATACATCTAGTATATAAAGTTTTAAGGATTTAAATTTTACTTACTTAAAAATTAGTTCAACATTTTTAAAGCTCTTCAAATAAAATTATATAAATAGAAGACGAAATTGAAAGTACCGTGTCGCAAATCGTCCAAATAAGGCGCGTTTGTCAATCAAGCATGGCCGTATAAGATGCTATCCACAAATGATAAGCGGCATGATAAATGATAACACGTGTTGTAGCGCTATTATTGGTCGAGATCTTTAATTTTATTATACCGAGTCTTCTACTAAGACTGTAGTAAGTAGGTCTCTATGTAAACTTTCATGTAAAGCAAGTTAAATAAAGTTGGAACTATAAAAATACGTAAGAAAGAATAATTATTATATGATTTTAGCTGAATAGATTTAAAAGACTAAATAACAATACACAAATATAATCCAGATAAGTCAATTAATTAAAAGAAAAATTTTACTTTTTAGGACAAGTATAAAAAAATGTTAGGAAAACCTATTTTTTCAAAAAACTTACTTATTATATATTATTTTACTTATCATCATTTAGTGATATGATATTATTTTATTGATTAAAGTTATCAAAATGATATATTAAATATAATTTCTCACCTTGTTGTTCATGGTTGATTGCTTAGGGGATGTGCAGTGTACAAGTTGAACTGTGCCTATCCTGGGACATCACCGCGTTATATATACACTGCTGCGTAACGAGGAACGTGAGCACAATACAGGTGGCTCATTGAAGAAAGTTACACCTGCAAGACGTTGTTACGCTTTATAATATACTTTCTTCATATAGAGCACGCGTGGACTTGAATATATGTCAACCGAACCAGCAAACTGCCGAAAATACGACTCATTTGTTGGAATGCTAATTACATTTATTACCTATACCTATGAATGTCAATTATTTTAAAATATGTTTGATTTTGACAAAAATAATTGTTGATAACGGATTCGCTTTCTTACTTTAGTTATTTATGTTAGTTGAAGTTATTGTTGGTATAGTATATACTATTTAGTTTTAAACTGCTCAAAGCAGTATCAGAACGGGTTTTGATAAATATATTTAAATAATAATTACCTATTTACAGATTTTTGAAAAAAAAATCTAGCCAAAATTTGACTTTCATTTTTGGAAACAAAACACGGATGAACTGAATGACATCAGCTTACAATGTTGTTTTAATTGCTTACTATTGGAAAAAATACTAACTATATAATTATAGTACAGATTGTTGAAGTTGATCACTTGAATATCCTGATAATACCATGAACGCGAAAATTTGTGAGGATACATGGTTGGATGGGTGGGTGGATGGGTAGATTTTTGTTGCTCTTTCACGGAAGAACTACTTTACAATAATTTAGCTTATACCTCAATAAAAAATAATAGATATAATAGTATATTTTTGTAATCGACGCTTAAAAACCAGTATTTTGCCCATTAGATTGATCCGGAGGAAAGAAAATATTTTCAAGACACATTGGCGTCTTAGATCCGCTATTTTGATTTTTATTTATATCTACATATATATCCTATTAAACTCGCTTTGTCAAGAGTCAAAACGAAGCGAACGACGTATGAATCATCAAAATCAGTTAAGCCGTTTAGTAATTACGAGAGAACATAGTATCGGACATACATATGTACATATATACATACATGCAAACTAATTTTTAAATGTGAAAGTTTGAGAGGTTTAATGGATTTTTGTTACTCTTTCACGAAGCGAAGCGAGGGTGAATCGCTAGTACAAACATACATTTAAACACACAAAACTCCTTTGAGCTTCGCAGCGGTCGGGTAAAAGAAATGGCCAAAGGTAAATCTGACTTGCACATCGAGGGCTTGAAACAGGTATGTTTTAATATACTTATTTGTTACCTCAAAAGTAAGACACAATATTTACCCATCTATGATATTCAATTTTTGGCGGTATAAATAAGTTTGTTGACAGATAAAAAAGCTACCAAATATTGATAGACTGCAATAAGGTTCTCTCTGATTCTGAGAGTTTTTATTTAGTAGGTTTTTACAGTTTCACGTCATCATTGCAAAAAAACTATAATGATAATGAAAGCTAAAATGTAAAAAAGATCGTAGATATAAAATTGTTATCATGAAAATTAGCGATGTTTAATGATTTCATGACATTAAAATAAAATAAAAATCTTAAAAATTGTTAAGATTATAATAATAGCAACCCCAATTTTATAATTTCGAGTTAGAAAACTGTAGCAACCCTAATTAAAATTATTTATTAAAGTTTTTCCAAATTATAATGTGCTTCGGTGCCATTTTTCTTCTCTTCATTTTGATATATTTTTTGTGGATAGACACCGTCTGTAATAGCTATAACTTTTGAGACGTCAACTATGTACAGCATTCAAAATGTCATGATCGAAAAATCGTTATTTAAAATGAAAAAAATAATTTTATTTAAAAATTAGGTTTATTTTCAACCGACTTCAAAAAGGAGGAGGTTCTCAATTGGCCTGTATTTTTTTTGTTTTTTTTTTTTTTTTATGTTTGTTACCTCAGAACTCCGTCATTTATTGACCGATTTGGACAATTTTTGTTTTGTTTGAAAGGGTATACTTCCAGATTGGTCCCATTTAAATTTCAAAAAAAATACCACCCCTAAGGGTGGAAAAACAACTAATGATGAATTTAACCTACTTCTAATTGTCATATTGACTTGAAACTTTGCAAGTATTTCTATTTCCGTTGATAGTACAGTGGTTCGGTATTGTTGACCTGATCTGATGGCAAGGCCAGAAGGTGGATAGGTGGAACTCTTCAACGGCTAATAGTAGATACTTTGAGTTTGGGCTTATTTTGTTTGATTTGACAAGCCTAACACGTTAGAATCCTTACTTTGCTACTACTGTCTACACTAAAAAGGCAAAAATAAAAACTTTTTAACAAAAAAATAAAAACCGACTTCAAACAAAATCACTAAAAAGTAAAAAATAACTGATTGGTAGTTTTCATTTACTATACATACCTAATCAAATATTTTCGAAGTCGGTGTGCTTTGGCTAAGTAATTAAAGCCTACCTATTAAATACAAACTTAATCAAATATTTTCGAAATCGGTGCCAGCCCACACAAAGCAAAGCACACCGACTTCGAAAATATTTGATTAGGTATGTATAGTAAATGAAAACTACCAATCAGTTATTTTTTACTTTTTAGTGATTTTGTTTGAAGTCGGTTTTTATTTTTTTGTTAAAAAGTTTTTATTCAATCAAATATATAGACTACGTGTTACAAAATAGTGATGCTAAGCAAAATTATTCTCACAATTTCATTAAGAGATGGCTTCTTTTTCAGGTGGAATGAGACTTATTCTATGATTCGCTATTTACTGATTTCGATATTCGCGATTCATAGACAATTTTTAGGTTTATGCTCTTATTTATCTGATTTGAAAAAGCCATCTTATTCAGTAGAAATATGTTTCTCAAACATCATTAATTCTATTGCAACTATTTAATTTATTTACTTAAATATATTTCGAGTGAGAGAACAGAAAAAGTTTCAACAAAGTGAGGTATCTTTTGGTTGGGTTACTTACACGATACTTTCATTTAATATCCTTTTTAACCGACTTCCAAAAAGGAGGAGGTTATCAATTCGTTGGAACCCTTTTTTTCTTTTTTTTATTTATGTTCACCGATTACTCGAAGGCGCCTGAACCGATTTGGAATTTTTTTTTGTTTCAAAGGGTATACTTCCCAGGTGGTCCCATATAATTTTTTTCGAAATCGGTCAAGCGGTTTTTAAAAAATTCAACCATAAATATTTTTTGTAAATAACTTGTTTAATCGAATATGTTATTAAAAAACTTTCTTCTTATAAATTACCTGCTTATTACGTCTACACTAAAAATGGAAAAATAAAAACTTTTTATCAAAAAATAAAAACCGACTTCCAGGCACTATAATGTAAAAAATAACTAAACGGAGGTTTTCATTTAGTCGGTAGTAAGTCGGTGCCAGCCTACAATATTTTAAGATATGAATATCTAATAGGTAAATATATTATATTTTACGTATCGAAATATATTAGATTCGCTTTGCATCGGCTCGAAGTCAAAGAAGTTCGTGATTTCTGGACATTCTGGACATTTTTACCAAATTATTTATTAATAGACCGATTATAATTTAATAGTAACAACGTACTTAATTTGTGCACAATTGATAGAAATGAATTATTTATGACAATTTTGTTAATAATATACAAAGTTTTTGTTATAATATCATTTAAAAAATCTATTATTCTCATTAGCAATATAGTGTGTACTCACCTCCTGCATGCACCTCAGACAGGAAAATATGCACATGCTTTATAATTTTTATTATAATTATTTTGCGACTACCTTTTTTTTTTTTAACGTTGGGAAATGCATTTACGCACGACGTGTGGAACTCACCGGTGTAATACAGCCAGTACTACCCACTAAAACCCAACAAAACCTTCCCCCGTCTTAATGGGGCGTCGCAGGATCGCTTACGCATTCAACTACGACGCCCCGACGGCAGGTCTGCCGAAGCAGACCACCACAACCATGGGGTTGCTCCACAGTCCACTCTGCTATCAGAGAAGTACCAGGAGCAACCCGCATGGTGCACCGCCCCCCGAAGAGGGCCACCTCCCACCGCCCACCGAAGTGGGCAACCTCCCTGTGCGTTTCTTAGCTTCGCGCCCGGTTGGACTGCCGGGCACTACTGAGCCCCCCACCACGACAAGGTGAACGCACGTTGGGGGGATTTTGCGACTACCTAGTCCAACAAAGCGCTAGAGGCAATACTTATGAAAAATTGATTTTAGTACCATTTTAATAATTTGACAATACGAGAGACATAAACTTAATAAGGAGCCCAAACAATACAGATGTACCAATCTACTCTTTGACTTTTTGTATACTGCTTAGCGCCTACTTTTTCCCTGGATTATTTTAAATGTGTTTAGACTTTAAAGTTTATTTTTAATAATACTTTATTAGATTTACGCGAATACTTGACATTTTAAATAAAACTATCTTTTCGGATTTTTTCGCGAAGAGGGAACCAAAAATCAAAATAAATTCGCGAAAAAATCCGAAAAGATAGTTTTATTTAAAATGTTTATTTTTAAATCATTAGGGATATTAATGAAATAATACTAGAAATAAAACAAAGAAAAGTTTTAATTAACTATGTACAATATCAAATATTTATAAAATGGACCATTAAGTAGGGTTTTCTAGGGGTAACGATAACCAGCTGCGACATTTTCGACGATCTTGGCTGGTGCTGCTGCGACCGGCGTGGCGGCAAATTGGGCGGGTGCGGCTACGGGAGCGGCATAGGTGAACCTCGCAGGTACAGCTGAGGTATAGGCAGCTGCTACTGGAGCAGAGTAGGCAGCGGCATTGGTCGCGTAGCCTGATACTGGAGCGGCATACCGGGTTGCTACAAATGGACTAGCGGCGTATCGAGCGCTCACTAAGGGAGCGGGGGCAGCCACGTACTGAGCGGCAGGGGCAACGAGATATTGAGCTGCAGGCGCAACGTATTGAGTTGCAGCAACAGGAGCTGTAGCGTATCTAGAAACTACTGGAGCTGCTACGGGCGCTGCCGCTACAGTGTAACGAGCAGCAGGAGCGACGGCGTAACGAGCTGCTACAACAGCAGCCGCGGGTTGGGCTACGATAGGAGCAGCAACCTTAGCAGCTACCACGGGCTCGGCAACGGCAACTGCAGGAGCTGCGGCAATGCGAGCGGGCACGACTGCAGGCTCAGCAACAACAGCAGGCGCTGCAGCAACCAGGGGTTCGTTACGTACAACTGCATTGAAACCATTGACAGGGTCCGAAGCATAATCTACAACGCGGCGTGTACCGTCAGCTTCTACAAAAGAGTACTGTCCTTGAACGACGTCCCCATCGCGTTGTTCCTGTTGGCTCTTGTAGTCTCCAGTGAGAGAGTCAGCTACATTGTACCCAAACCTATACTGAGGAAAAGAATCGAGTTCCTCTAGTCTTGCCGCGACAGCTGGAGCAGTGTATGCAACAGGGGCTGCTGCTATAGCTGCTCGTACTGCGCCTCCGTAAGCCACGGCCACAAGGCAAGAGAAGACCACGAACTAGAACAATAAGTATTGTATTAATCCTTAACAATAATATTATAATTTTATCTGGAATTATTAGTCAATTATTATTAATTGAAGTAAAGTTAAAATTAAGTTCCTAGAAAAAATTTTAGATGTTACAGATCTACATGATTATTTTGATTTCATTGGCAGGCAGTTTACAATAAGAAAATAAGGTCCACTTAATATGCAATAGCAAAAATTAGGTGATTATAATGTATCATTAATATTTAGAATTATAATTTTTTAAAGTAAAAAATATTTTCTTTGAGAAAAATCTCTTGAGTTTGCACTTTTATACACTTTCACAAACACAATATTAAGCACTTCACAAAAAAATCCTTTAAGGGTTTGTACCTTGAAGACCATTTTTCTGTTGTTTATTTGTTGATATGTACAGGGATGGTAGAAGCTGTGAACTGTACCCCTTATTTGCCACTAACGGTATTTATAGTGTAGTATAGACAGTGTCATACTGTTGCCTCATCCTGGTGGCATCTCCTAATTTAAATATATTCAAGTACGCACGTATGCAGCCGCTGGCACAGCTCAACAATATCATATAAACAATCCTCAATACATTTAAAACAATTAAAAATAAAAGAAAAAAATCTAACGCGTAAGGATAATCTCTAACTAAATATTCAAATAACACTACTATTTTAAAAGTAAATTCTCTTAGTTTTCAAGCGAGCGCATTATCTGTGGTTTAACACTGTTTGGAATTTGCTTAGAATATTTTCCTCTGATATACATAATACGATTTTATTAGAAAGTCGGCAGTCGAAAATGTCTATTATACATATAAATACTGCTCTTTAGAGAAAAATGTAAAATAAAAACACAGAAAATGACATAAAAAAAATTAACATGCACTATATGCACTTTTGTAATTCATTCATAGATTTATTCTTGTAGTTTACATTTACCAAAACCTAGACTTAGAATTTATGTGAGTTGTTCACGCAACAATGGTAAAATTAAAAATTTTAAATTGCAAAAGATAAAAAATAGTGATAGTGCTCCCCATAGCTGTAAATGAGGGATGAAAAAAATGTTTTAAATGTACATAAACGTGTAGGGCATCCCTAGATAGGTCTTTAAAATTCAAATGGATATACCTGTTAATGAGATTTTTTGTTCAAGCCAAGTTATAGAGATAGTTATACATATAACGTCGAATATATTGTTTCCCCTCTTTCCTTTGTAGTATGATGAAGAGCTTTCAAAATACTTTCAACGAAAATTATTTTAAAGAAAATAACGTTAAGTAGTTTTTGAGATATAATACATATTTACCGTTTCACGCGTTCGACCTTAAAATTATCTTTGTTTCTCTAGTAATATCTACTAATAAATGCAAACTTATTTATGTCGTCAATAAAATAAATATCGTAAATTGGTAAATATTTTATTTTACTCTTGACTTAACAAATTAGTATACGAATATTACTTAAAACAAAAAAATAATAATGTTTCATCCTACGTGTGAGATTCGTACTCGTATTTATCTTTTTTTTTACCCAACTGCGCGACGCGAAGGAGGGTGATGTGCTTATCAATATATGTATGTATGTATGTATGTATGTATGCATGTATGTATGTATGTATGTATGTATGTATGTATGTGTCGAGTGGGGTATCAAAATAAAGCTTTTTAAAAGGTGATTACAAAAATATATACAACGTATATGTATAAAAGTAATTTAGGATAAAAATTGCTAAATATAACTTCAAATGTCTAATTGGCCAAAACTAAAAAGCTGTAAATACAAAAATATATTATAAAAATAAAAAACACGATTGCTTATAAGCTTACTAAAAAGATGAAAACAACTTGATTAAGGAATATAGTATTATTCAGTCGGAGACACAAGTTTCATCCTTGCCGCGAGATGTACATAATGTGTATGTATGTCTTCGACTGCATAGTACTATATTACTTTGTCAATTTGTTTTCATCTTTTTAGTTAGGTTATATGCAGTCGGCTGTTTTATTTTTTATGATATATTTTGCATTATTTCAAAGGCAGAGTACGCCAATAAAGCAACTCAACGGCTAGTTTGTTCCGACTTTCATTAATGTGATTATATTATGATTTCTGATAATAAAGACCACAGATTTAGACTTTCTCTATATTTGAGGTAAACATATTTTTTAGGGAATAAAAAATAACACTCGACACTAAAGAAATTTCAGAATTGGATCAATGTCCGAGATTACCAGGGGTATGTAGGTACATACGTTTGCTTGGTAATAAGTTATGTATATGTCTAAGTTTCTTATAAATTTACTAACTTAAAAATGTTAAAACGTACCTAGGGACGCATCCGAGCGAAGCAAGGATAAGTCGCTAGTTTCATTTTAGTAAAACTGTCAGATTTTAATAGAAGCGTTTTACATTCGTTCCTTTTGCGTTTACCAAGTAATATTGCAGATAACGATACCCTCCACCATCATTACTTGATCGTCCTGCAACAGCAAATTATTCATCAAAATCCTTCTAGTAAGCTCAAGTTCCGTTCATCTCCTTCTTGTTCTATCATCAGATCTTCACATTTAATTTTCTCTCTAACTTCGCAATCAGGATGGACTAAAGAGAATTATTTGATACTTTTTAATTGTTTTAACGCACAAAAAGAAAAGATGGAACTATTGCAATCATTAGAATCGCTTTTATCTGTTTAATGTCCTGCTGATCAATTATGACTGTAACTACATAGTTTAACTGCGCAGCAGTTCTTACATGTGTATAATCATGTGCGTAAACACATGCTCACCTTTCTAATCAAATGAATTTTCAAAGTGAGTAAAAATATTAATTGATATATTTTTGTAATACGAATATATATTACAAAATATAACGAGGATGATTTGATTTTTATTTAATTTGGGTTTTATTTCACATACCGCTCGAGATTATTACATGATTGGGTTATTTACTATAAGAACATTATATTACCAGCTCCTTCTATAGTTAGAATAATAACATGACTCTGTTCTTATTTAAATGGAGTCGTTATCGATATGCATTTTTTAAATTATTTGTATATTTTATTTTATTTAGTACTCATCATCTCCCTGACCATTTCCCAATTACTTGTAGTCGGCGCAGTACACCTTCCGCACTGCTGATAGGATTTGGCAAAAGTTTTATGACCGACCGCCTGCCTGACATCAACCCTCCGTGTGAATGCTATTGTTTATTTTATTTTTTACTTATTTCATTTATTTAAATATGTTTAGGTAACAAATTATATCGAATAATTTATTACTTAATGTTTTATTTGAAATAAATAAATACACTGTTGAGATTCATTTTCATCGCAAAATAATCTATATAAATAAAAATCAATTCCCAAATGTATGTAAGCCAATTACTTCAGAACGGCTGTACCTATTTGGCTAATTCTTTTTTTGTTGTGTTTGTAATTATCAAGACAAGTTTTATATGAAAGAAATGTTTCAAAAATTGTACAAAAAAGTGAAAAATTTGGGTAAACAAATTTGCATATAAAAATGAGTTGTCAGATTGCTCTGCAGTTATTCAAATTCTTACATTGTTTTATCTTATATAGCGAGGTACTGTTCGTCTTATAATATTTAATGGTAAAAACCATAAGTTTAATACACATTCCTAATAATAATAGAATTTTTTATGACAATATTATTAAATTTCTATTTTACTTAGAAAATAAAATAACAACGACTCTCTCTAGATTTTAGTCTGCCCTACTCTCCCGCAGGCAATTGTTTTTCGGAAGACAAATTTAAAAACTTGACATTACCTACATTGTTTCCATACGCGTAAGTTTTAATTTATCAGAATTTACGTTTTTTTGGTTTTATTCTTTAGTTTGACTTAACATTACTTACGACGCTAATATTTTGCAGAAATATTTGCTTGGCACTGCGCATCCATTGTTTTCATATGTAAATATTACCAATTGAGTATTTATTTATTGCCTTTTTTCATACATTTAGTCCATAGCGATAATTAAATATATACTTACGGTAATACTACTGAAATTTCGGCCCTCTACATACAACCGTCTGAACTAGTATATTGGTATCCTAAATATAATTATAAACTTTATATTATGTAGTATACAGTTGTAAATTGTGATCATTCCATTATTATGTTTCTAAAGAATATAATAATTATTTTAATAAATTAATTTGTAACCATGCTTCTTATATTTTATATTTTATTAATCTTGTAAATATTTGCTTTGAATTTTAAAATTACTACTGTAAAATAAAAGACCCTAAGCATAGCATAAACCTAAACATAAAATAACTTTGTATCCACAACTTCAACTTTTTTAAAATAAAACAATAAAATGTAAACAAAGTATTAATTTTATTAACTATGTACATATCAAGTCTTTATAAAATGGGCCATTAAGTACGGGTTTTCTCTAAGGGTAACGGTAACCAGCTGCGACACTTTCGACGATTTTGGCTGGTGCTGCTGCGACCGGCGCGGCGGCAAATCGGGCGGGAGCGGCTACGGGAGCGGCATAGGTGAACCTCGCAGGTACAGCTGAGGTATAGGCAGCTGCTACTGGAGCAGAGTAGGCAGCGACATTGGTCGCGTAGGCTGGCACTGGAGCGGCATAGCGGGCTGCTACAAATGGACTAGCGGCGTATCGAGCGCTCACTAAGGGAGCAGAGGCGGTGTAGTATTGAGCAGCAGGGGCGGTGTAGTATTGAGCGGCAGGGGCAGCAACATATTGGGCGGCAGGGGCGGCGACATACTGAGCTGAAGCAACAGGAGCAGTAGCGTATCTGGCATAAACTGGAGCTGCTACTGGAGCTGCTGCTACGGGAGCTGCTGCTACAGCATAACGGGCGGCAGGAGCGACGGCATAACGAGCTGCTACAACAGCAGGCGCGGGTTGGGCTATGATAGGAGCAGCAACTTTAGCGGCTACCACGGGCTCGGCAACGGCAACGGCGGGAGCAGCAGCAACTAGGGGCTCCTTACGTACAACTGCATTGAAACCATTGACAGAGTCTGCGGCGTAGTCTACGACTCGTCGTGTACCGTCGGGCTCGACAAGAGAGTACTGTCCTTGAACGACATCCCCATCACGTTGTTCCTGTTGGCTCTTGTAGTCTCCAGTGAAAGAGTCAGCTACATTGTACCCGAACCTGTACTGAGGAAAAGAATCGAATTCCTCTAGTCTTGCTGCGACAGCTGGAGCAGTATATGCAACAGGGGCAGCTGCTATAGCTGCTGGTGCTACACTTCCGCAAGCCACAGCCACTAGGCAGGAGAAGACCACAATCTAAAACAATAAATACTATATTAATTATATTTCAAATAAGCTAAAAATTTACTTAATTTTAATGATAATTTTAATATTATAGATCCATCCGATAATTTTTATTAGCCATTAAGCAGTTATGCAATGAGAAAATCAATCTTCACGTGAACCATATCATAAAGGATTGAATTTTAATAATATTACAAGATATAGCACATCTCGTCTTCAATATTAAAAATATTTTCTTTAGAAATGAGCTTTATAGAACGGCACTTTTTATGCACTTTCACTATCACAATTTTAAAACACTTCACAAATAATCCATTAAGTCTCTGTACCTTGAAGACCATTTTGTTGTTGTTTGTTGTTATGCACAGGGATGCTAGAAGCTGAGAACTGTACCCCTTGTTAGGCACTAACAGTATTTATAGTAGACAGTGCCATACAGTTGCCTCATCCTGGTGGCATCTCCAAATTTAAATATATTCAAGTACGCACGTATGAAGCCTGGCCGCTAGTTCAGCTGGACAATGCCATGTAAACAAAGGCGTTACTTGTGCAATTCGACCGGGACTGTGAAATATCGCGGTCATGCTATTTTTTTTTTCAATAATTCTTATTTGTTTCAGGTATTACTCGATCTTCACATTTCACTATTTACTACTCCAACACACTGAAATGTTTCTCATTTGCATATGAATTTATTATAAGCGAATTAAACTTAACATAAAATAGATATTTTTGTTTCCAAAAAGTAATAATAATTATAAGATTATTTTTAAAATCCAATATTATATCCAATCCAATATTTAAGTAAATATATAATTTATTTAGGTCCATCCCATAGGGTCATAAAGTGATGTAAGGTAGTTTTTTAAATGGTTGAATGTAAATAGGACTCGTAAACTGAGGCTTCTGTACCATCAAACCATTACCTACATATTTAATAGACGTTATTGTCCAATATCGATCTACCAAATCCCATAAACTTTATTTGACTTTAATAGGTTTAAATTCATTATGCGAGATGATATATACAAAATATGTATTATAAATTATAATATAAGAATCTCAATATATACATCTATATATTATATCTCAAAACATACAGCCCTTAATATAGGACAGACGAAATCTTAAAAATACTGCTTTTATACATATATGTTACCGTAAATATATTTTTTTGTCATTACAAGTAATTATCACAGCATCTCATATGGCACTTGAGCAATACATAAGGAGCACTATAATGTATAGATGGACGTTAAACGACGTTGCGTTATACATAAATTTGAGTAAAGAGTGCAAGTGATCCAGTTTAAATGTAGTTACACTTGATGCTAACATTTGAAACTTGTCCGGATCGTGCCACGAATCGCTAAGTTGTGAAATGACTTAAAAGTTTTCTAGTGCTTTGTACACTTTGTACTATAAATCTTTAGTATATAGTAGTATACCTTGACGTAAATAAACCTGTATAAGCTTTACATAATTTTGTAAAATATGCATACCTACCAATAATAGATTTTTAAATTATGATACATTTCAACACCCTTTTTTTGGTTTTACATCAATAATGTAAACAAATCTCAGACTTCGTTTTTGAACTACGTCTTATTGTCGAATCGATTTAAAACTTGTTGGTATATTCCGGAAGGCAATGAATACCACAAAGCTGATCTGATATAGAAAATCAGGTGGTAGATAGAAAAACCTTCTTCATGTTTGGTCTCGTTTTAAAATAATTTAAGCACTTTATTTCGGACGGTATAACGTTGGACATTCAAAACTATTGATGCTTCTTATTATCGTCCCTGTGTTTATATTCTATTTTTATGTTAATGATCTAGGATGTATGTATGTACATATATAAATTTTAAAAGCCTTAAAAAGCTTTACCATAATTATTTTGCATTATTTTATTTTATTTGTGAAAATTCTATTCTAACACAGCCGTATAGTGTTTTAAAAATGTTAATTTATACATGTTGAAATGGGTTTATTATGTCATAATTACAGTTTAACGCTGCTAATAACTAAAACAATACATGATATTAGTACTCGTAACAGTTTCGTAAAGAACTAAAAGAATCCGTCTCGTCGGCGTCTCATTTCTATTGTTTTCTGAATGACAAATATGTACGTGCTAAATTATGTGGAAACTTTAAAAATATTTTTATAAAAATAATTCAAATATGCTAGTAAAACACGAGCAATTTATTAGTAGGTTACTATAAATAAAAATATAAAAACAACGATATAGTCCGTATGTAGTACCTTATAATAGAATGATAACTACATACTAATACATATCGCCAAGTGAATAGTTAAAGTCGGGCGTTTAAAGAGTAAAAAAAGTAAATTTTCAATCTGACTTTCCACCATATGGTTGATTATATTAAAAACGTACATATGTTACTCGTTGGAATGTGAGAAATAATAATTACGTAAAAGTCTGTTTTAATTCATATATGCGAAGAAGCATGCAGCATATAGAGCAATCAGTCTAGAGCATAACTAGTGCAATGTTGCAAGGCCGTAAGACAAAGGTCGGGTATGACTCGCGACCCAACCTAAAATTTCATTTGGACGTGCTTTACATGCGTGAGCATATACTACTCATCCCTTCATTAGGATTGTCAAAAAATATTTATGTTATTGTATAAAATGTATATATTGTATATATAATATATAGTATAGGCAGTGGTAGCCCAGTGGTAACGCGGTCGCTTGGGAAACCGAGTGAAGCGGGTTCAAATCCCGGGTCTCGCACCTCTGATATTTTCATGTACAAATCATTTCTAATATGATTACCACTGACCTTACGGTAAAGGAAAACATCGTTAGGAAACCTGCATGTCTGAGAAAACCTAGCAAGTTTTCGAAAAACATGTGCAGCCCGCCAACCCGCACTTAGCCAGCGTGGTGGACTATGGCCGGATCCCCCACGTATTAAAGGGAGGCCCGTGTCCAGCAGTGGGACGTTAAAAAGGGTTGAATACAATATGATATATAGTATTCTAGTTAGTGTAAGTGGCACGGCCGTTCTAAGAAAATATAAATAAATATAAACAAATACATAAATAGTATATATTATAGTTTTTAATATTATATCATTAAAACATAACAAAGTAAATGAATTATATAAATATTCATTTAAAAAAAAACGACAGTTCTATTTAGCATTTTTGCAATAAATAAAAATTTAAATAAAATTATAGATGATATTATTAGAAGAATACCTTTTATTTAATTAATAAACTTTAACAACAATAATTTATGAAAGGAACATCATAATTTATTAATTCTTGAAGTGAAACTCCATTAGAATCGTTGCGATTTGTAACTCTATGAAACGAAAATGCGCCACTAAAAAGAGATAAGCACATAAATATACCTATATATATAGGATTAAGCCGGAGAGAGAATGAGATAGAATACATTGTCACGTTACCATGGTAAGCGTTGTTATTGTCTGAAAAATATATAATATTATATTCTTTCCGTATATGATATTCTATAAATATATGATTGTAATATGCCTAATATGCCTTATTTAATTATTGATTTGTTTTAATTTAATCGCGATATTTTCCAAAGAAGTTTTACTTCAACCGCGCGTAAAGGTTACACGCACCCATTTTATATACTGGCATTTTTTATTGAATAATATTGTCAACCCTATCTATTCCATTAAAGAGCGATGCGCGTATAAAAATGGCAGGTATTTTCCCAGTTGCGACGCGCACGCGTCCTTCGCAAGGCCTACCTTTACGCAATTTTACGTTTAGTATGTGTTTGATTCGTATCGAATATTACCGCTACTGGAATTTAATAAGATATCCTCATAAAACCAGACTTGGTATATAAACTCAACATAATCCAGTTCATAATATTTTTACACAAGTGAATTCACAAATCTAGAGAAGGTAAAGTGGAATAATTACAATTTAGAAGACATAAATAATAAAATTTAAAGAATAATAAGAAAACAGAACTTCGTAAATAGTTAAAATTTATCTGTGAAAAGTCTTAAAAAGAGGAAAATTATACAAGATGATCGTTCAGTACAACAGATAGATAAGATATCAACGCGCTCAAAGCTCTTAACAAAAAAAATATTAATGTCTACGTAGTATCAAAATTAAAAACCTGAAACTTAAAAAGTTGTATACAAATAATAAAACAATTATATGAATCAGTATTGTTAAAAATATATTGTCACCTGGCATAGCGGTCATTTAGGATCTGCTGCTACGTCAAAGGTCATTTAGTGTTTGATACTCGTTCGAGACAGATATTTGTCCTTATCTAATAATGTGTTTGTTTACACTTTACTGTTATATTTTTGGACTTTGACGTTTTTGGTCACTTCCACTGTAATTACTTTAAGAAAGTATCAATGTGCAAAAATCACATCAGTTGTTCTGTTAGAGCGTGAAAGAAGAGCAAACCAAAAAAACTGTTTTTTGCATTATATTAATAATATCAATCAAAAATAATTTCATTAGCTTTATAATGTTGTAAATATTTATTATGCATCCGGTGTAACTTTCTCGGTTGGCCTCTGTAAACTCGTTCTAATACCATGTGCTGACATTATACGCACTTCAGAACTAGTTCGCACTTACCTTCACATTATTACAGGACACATACATACATATATTCAATGTAGGAGCGCATTCATAATAAATGTCACTTGTGTTTTCATACTACAATAAAATATAGTATTACATCATATTATTTAATTTCGATTTAATGATATACGTATATATATATTAATTATATACTTTTATTTATTGGTACGTGATCAGTCAGATTAAATTATAAAGCAATAATTGTTAAAATTCCTATCTAAAAGAGTCTGCGCTGTCTAATAAATTCCTAAGTAAAATATATGAGTAAATAAAATTCTAAAACTTATAATAAACCTTCATATTTATGATTATATCATTGAAGCATTGTAAATAAATGAATAAATAGGCATAAAATACTTTTTTTACGTAGATATCCTTTTTTAATTTTTTTTTTGTATGTTATAAGACAAGTGTTTCCTGTCATTATTTTATAATGATTATCCCTTTAGGTTAGCAGAAAACCGTAAATTCGATATATCTGATGCAATTTCGCCAGTTTTGCATTCACTCGGATAAATTTGATATGTTCTTATTCCGTTACATCTGCGACCTTTTAAACTTAAACATTCCAGTCGAGTGCGTGCCGCTTGCTTCGCATATGTTATCATGTAAGGCTCACACAAGTGTGACACGTAATAATACAATAGGTTATTTTATAAAGCGCAAATTTAATTGAAAAAAAAATCTATAGATGAGAGTGAGTAAATGTTGTA